TTTACTCGGAGGTACAAGTACTCGTACTTGGCAACCTAAGTACTCGGCAGTAGTCGGTACTCGGAAAACAGTACTCGACTACAACACTGATCTTCTGTGGTTAAATTCTCAACCTTCCCAAAATTTTCATTAATTCTGCTAGGGAGAATATCTTTGTAAAAACTGTGCCTCTAGCTCTCCTCTATTGTGAAATCTTCGAAATCAGAGGCGCTGTCAGACAATAGGCCTACATTGTTTCAATTCGCGAGCGAATCGTATATCGAAATGTGTGAACTGCATCATCACTGAAGCCCGCCGAACACAAGAGCTACGCGTGCTGACATGGCTGAGCAAAAAAAAAAGTCATTCGGGGGCCGTTTGCTCAGCACGTACGTAAAGCTCACAAAATATCCCCCTGTGCGGTGAATTTTTGCTGAGTTTTCTGCCTCACGAGGCTGTGAGGCAAATATCTTCCCTGTTTGATTTCTTCTTGCCTCCCGAGGCGAAAAACTCACTGTGTACGGACAGTCAACTTACGTGGCGGTACGTGCCGAGCTAAAAAGATTAACTAACCAATGAAAGCACATACTCTGTACAGCCACGTGATTTTAAAATATGTTGGTGCAAATCTTCTAACGCCTGCTGGCCTTTGCCCCATTTTCTTAACCATACGACCGACAAACAAGAATAATATGCTTTCATTGGCTTGTTATCTGTTTAGCTCAGGTTGACCGTACACAGTGAGTTTTTTCGCCTCGAGAGGCCAAAGAAATCAAACAGGGGAGATATTTGCCTCACGGCCTAGCGAGACAGAAAACTTAGCAAAAATTCACCGTACACGGTAAGCTATTCGTGCTGAGCAAACGGCCTCGAATGACCATTTCCTCAGCACGTACATTGTAGCTCTCGCCGTGCGCCGGATGTGCAGGTACGAGTACGGCACAAAACAGTCGTTTGATTGTAGAGCCGTATCTTAATGTCATCAAAAGGGTCTTTGTAGGTTGTAGCAAATGCTCCAAACTGTTTCTGAATTGCCACTAGCTTGGCATTTGCGTTACGATCTCCCTTTTTTTTGCGACAAGGGAATTTAGACTAGTAACCTTGCCTCAATTGATTGCACAGATAATTGGAAATACCAATCCAAAATGATCGTAGGGGCCTGTCCAGTACAACGTCAGATGACGACCGTTTCTATCGACTCGTATTTATGAGATTTTCAAGGACATGGGTATATTGTATACAGGGAGTCCATTGTGATTGATACAAATTCAACTGTTCGTGTCTTTTCTTTTCTAGGGTCAGTCAGGTTCTTTTAGTAATTAATTTTCGTTCAGTACGAATCGCCAAAAATTATCTAGCATTCCTGAAATGCAGCAAATTTCGTTCTCCTCCCGAAGGCGTTGATCTCGACTTTTATTTATCTACATTTTTTTGGGAAAACACTTCTGGCCGGATTTATTGATATTTGTAATGTTTGTTATGTCTATTAGCTTCACATATTTTAAAGAGATTGTACATGTATAACAGTTGTGGAACAAAATGATTTTTAAGGTAAAACAAGCAATTGGCGTCTTTCATTTTCACGACCTACTTCAACACCGTCAAAATCTTAAAGGTTTTTTTTTCTCAATATTTTCCTTTTTTTGCCATAAAATAATGTGAACCTTAACAGCCATAACTTCAACGGAATATATAGAAGTGCAACCAATAGTATTGTAAGAAGAATTTTATTCTTTTTCCTAATATATACCTGCAAAACCCTCATTTAAACCTCTGCCCAGGTCTTTCGATTTTGCCAGAATGTATAGCATGTCTGTCAGTGGCGAACCCAGGATTTGGCTGGGGGGGGGGGGGGGCTCACAATTTTTTTTTCAATTTCTTTTAGGAAGTTAAAAGTGTTTCCCAATTTTTTTTTCAAACTTGTTGGCCGGGGGGGGGGGGGACTATTTTGACGATGGTGGTGCCACTTACACCCCTATTATACTTTTTTCCCCAAATTTTTCAGTTGTTAAAATTTGTCACATTATTTTTTCTAAAAAATGTTTAGCCGCAGAAATTTTTGTTACGGTGGGGGGACGGACTATTTTGACAATGGTGGTGTCACTTGCACACCTACACCTCGAAAAAAAGGCCACATACATATCATCGTGGGGACTAAGAAAGATAGGAACGGTGTAACAATTTCTTTTTTTCCACTGACCGTGTACAGAGTCAACGGCAGAACTAAGCCCTAGTTCAAACTGGATTAATATACAAATTTTACTAGGCATGGATGTCTTTTTACACGAATAACCAGTTTCTTTAAAGTATATGATTTCAATGAACAAAGAATTTCCGAAAAGAGGTACATCCGGTTCTTTCAGCATCAGCAATTCTTCGGAATTGAAAATTACCCAAGTTCGTGTCTTCCGGGTATTCATGCCATGTACCAAGCAAAGCCCAAATCATACTTTTTCAGACTCATTTCTTCTTCACAGACGACAGCGGTAATATTTTTTTTTTTTAAATGTCATCCCCAGTATTTCCTTTTTTTTTTTTTTTTTAAAGTTTGTTTATATCACGCAAAACTAGGGCGAGATTAAAGGGGTACTTTTGAGCAACGCGCTCTTAAGGAAAGATCGTTAACATATGAAATGTTGCGCTACTGATACTATTTTCGAGTTTCATCCCAAAAGAATAAATTTCTCTTTTAAGTTGCTATGTTTCGAGCAATACTACAGTAGGCCTTTGTCCCCAAAACAGTGTCTGTTTGACTGTTTTTGAGAAAAAAAACCTACAAAACCATGAAGTCAACTTTGAAATGTTTTAATTGTGCAGATACTCCTAATCCTACACAATTGTCAATAATTTGATGACAATAACATTTTTGGATACTGTGACCAAGTTCCTTGCCATAATCAATTTCAGTGCTTTACGGGGTAAGCTGTAGAATCCTTCATGTTGTGAAAAAGGGTTGCAGTTGGCAGCGGCGAAGCTACGGAGCGGGGGGGGGGGGGGGGGGGGCTGGGGGGGGGGGGGAGTGGCGCACGTCCTCCATAAAAAGTTCGCCCAGACCTCGTCCCAGAGTGTCGAACAGTACGCGCCCACCACTAGCTACTCTCTCACCCTGGTATTGGATCATTGCAAGTGTCGCGGTCCTTTTCACTAGTCCGCGGGCCATTTTTCACTCGTCCGTGGGCATTTTCACTAGTCCGCGGGCTTTTTTTCACTAGTCCGCGGTCCTTTTCACTAGTCCGCGGTCCTTTTCACTAGTCCTCCGGGGACCTTTTCACTTGTCCGCGGGCCTTTTTCAATAGCCGCATGTGTTTTAATCCGTTCAACAGAAGTTTTAAATATTTGCACCAGAATCCATGAACAATAATGGGCACATGTATAACTTTGATCTTTGATCTTGTCAGTGTTTGCAACAAACAGATCTAATGGCAGCGAATAAAAACAGGCACAAATTGATTAGTAACAAATGAAATATATTTTGTATTAATAAATTAAATAAACTTATTCAAATCGTAAATCAAATAACTTAAGGTACTTTTCATTTCGTTTGATTTTTTTAAAGGTGATTAGAACAGATGTATCGCATCGCAGTTTTCGGCCCCAATCTTTTTCATTTGCGACACAAAATCCATCAAAACTGGCCCCACAAAAAAGAGATAAAAATTTGGAATACCACGAAGCGCACACTTTGTCACGACGAGAAACTGACCAGCACTGTCCGTACCGCGCAGTATCAGCGCGCATGGACTGCCATGAAAACCGGTCAAATTCATACACGGAAAAGGAAGATGTGGTTATGTGAATTAGGTCGCAAAATATTCTTTCTCCGCCGATGTTTTCGCGACATGTCTACGATGTCGAATTCGACCAGTTTACACTACGCACATATATGCTTTGATTTCCAACGAGTTCCGCAGTCCGCACGTGAAGTGAATCGAGCCCTGAAGTAAACATATACAAAAAACACTATTATTATTTTTGCGAAATCTGAACATAATTGTATACACCTTTAAGAACTTTAATTTAATCAGTGCCATTCGTTTAAATGTATGTTGCAGTACTCCGGTAATACCAATTGACGCTGATCATTAAAGGGAAATGCGATCGCTTCACTCAGTCAAGTCGATAGATCAAAGCATGCAACACGTAGGCCAAACTCTTAATTACTTCTAACACACATTCACCAAAAGATTTCCACATTGAGACACGTTGTGTGGAGTTGCTTATGTCCACACAAGGTTTCCCCCCTCTCTGGAAAACAGGTTTAGAGGCATTTTGGGTTAAAGGGAATATACATCATTTGCTTTTGCTGTAATTTTCAGAAATGGATGGAATTGGGGGGTTGGAAATATAAAGCAAATATAGTTGCACTGACTTTTTGGAGGTTTTGGGTTCGAAAATGCTATAAAAACCAAGAAAAACGATCATTTTCCTGTAGTCTGGTTCCCTGACTCCATATAAGAAGAAACAGAGCAGTTTACATACATTGGGGATTGTAAGGTCAGGGAACCAGTCTAGCTGGCTCGTACCCGTTCATAGGTTTGTAATCGATTGCAAACAAGTGCAATGGTCAATTGGGGCCAGTATTTGAAAAAAAGCCAGTTGTTTCCAACGCTGATCGGCCGATCAGCGTTGGAAATTGATACAAAAATACCACTTTTCTTGAAAATGACAGTATACCAGGTGCCATAATTTTACAGGATGCTTCAGGCTGTCATTTACCAACATCCTATTAAGGTATTTCGCAAAAACTTGGTAGTTTTTTTTTCCCGATGTTTGCAAATGTTGTATATTCCCTTTAAGTTATGTGTCGCAAAATGAAGAGAAACACTCAATACTTTTCACAATGTGAGTAAATTGATGTTTATCACAGGTTTTTCTTAACTACACGAAAACAAAGGACTGTCCACACTTTTCGTAAGTAACGTAAACATTGGTGCGTAAACGCGTGGATAAGACTCACGCAAACCTAGCAGGGGATTTGAAACTTATAGACAACTACAGATTTCGGGCTAAGGCCTACCTACCTTTTTTTTCTTCTGCAGTTAGTCTGTACATTCATCAGCATCACCCAGCATTCCCAGTGTGGTACAACTCTGACCAGCAACACGAGCCAACACTGACGAACTCCTTTCACAGTGCAGTAGCTCTCTACTTGTCTTGTAGGTCTTAGTCAATTCAAGCATTAACGATGCTGCTAATGGCAGATGAGATTACCGTTTTAAGAATTCAGCGAAGCCCATTACTATTTCATTGCGATGTTATGCACCCAAGGTCTTGCGGCGCATGCGCAACGGCAAGTGCCAGGCAAATAAAGCAACACGTAAGCCAACCCACCGTATAGCTTGCAATATTTAGCGGGTCGTGTGATGAGAGTTTCCATGGTGATTTATTCCTGTAAAAAGAAGGGGGGCTGATGAAGAGGCTCTCGTGTAGCTGATCACTGGTCCTCAATGCAAAATACTGCATAGAGCACTACATTTGCTGCAAATTTCTTATTCGCGACCTACGTAATGCTGTTTGGCAAATATAAACAAATTAAACCACATGGTTTCTCAGCTCAAAACGATTGATCTCCAACTAGCACACAACTCACATAATGGGATGACCATTTACTGGTAGCAGGTTTTGCCATACGATAGCACTGCCCGACCATCTTCACTAGTCTGCAACAAGTTCAAGTCACAAGTTACAGTCAGTCAGTCAATCAGTCGGGGAGTCAGTCGGGGGGGGGGGGTTGGGTCAGACAGTCAGTCGGTCGGTCGGTCAGTCGGGGGGGGGGGTTGAGTCGGGGAGTCAGTCAGTCAGTCGGTCGGTCAGTCGGTTGGTCGGTCAGTCGGTTGGTCGGTCAGTCAGTCAGTCGGTCGGTCGGTCGGTCGGTCGGTCGGTCGGTCGGTCAGTCAGTCAATCAGTCAGTCAGGGAGTCGGTTGGTCAGTCAGTCGGGGAGTCGGTCAGTCAGTAAGTCCGTCGGTTGGTCAGTCAGTCGGTCTGTCAGTCGGTCAGTCGGGGAGTCAGTCAGTCAGTCCTTCTCTCAGTCAGTCCAAAGCGGACACAAGATATGGCCCTCTTGAGCCATTGAAAATTACACCTAATTCATTTTATATGTTTCCACTGAGCCTAGTGTGCAAATAGACCAGCAGTGTATATGTATTTGTTTAAAAAAAATCAAACAACCAGTAGATCGAGTACCCTTACATGGGGATGAAACTATCTAAAGTAAAACAAACTTGATAAAACAGATAACACTCGGTTAACTACAATGAGGAAGGTCTGTACCGAACCCCGGTGGAAAAAAGAGCCAATTACACCGCCTCCGTTAACTTCACGCACGAGTTGTTTTTATAGACAACCAGAGGTCAACGGACAAAGACAGTATAAACACCACAGAACAACAGACGCTCGTCCTCCTTTGTTAATGACTAAGTGCAGGATGCCTCTGAGTGGCATAATTGTGCTTAAAACCTTGGGCGCATTGGTGACATTTTGAAAGTGATTCAGAAAAAAATGGTTTCGAGATACGTTGTCTATAATTTTATTTCAAAACATCTTGAATTGGGTTTCCAGATATCTTATTTGGATTTCGAGTCTATCTTGAAATGGATTTCGAGATATCTTGAAATGGAGTTCAAGCTATTCTAAAATGGATTTCGAGTTATTTTGAAATGGATTTCGAGATATTTTGAAATATATTCCGAGATATCTCGCAATAGTCTTGATTTTGAATTCAAGACATCTTGAAATTGACTCCGGGATATCTTAAAACAAACATTGACATATATATTTGACTGGCATCTTTATAACATAATGAGTAAAAGTAGGCTAAATGTAGCTGTGAAAATATCACGTGATTTGCGTTCTCTGTTCACAAGTTATTTCTATTCTAACAGAAATACAACAAAATTCAGCAGTCAACTCGCTTACCGATACGCATTGATGAATAGCCTTTAAATACATGAACCATGGAGGTTTTCCCACCTCCATGAATGAGCGAACACTTGAATAAAGGAAAACAAATAAAAATCACCATCCTTGTTTCAGAAAAAGACTTGATTTGTTCCTCATAATACACAAAAATCGAGTAGAAATAATGTTTCAGCCTTGACTCAAATTTAATATCATTTGAATTTGAACTTGTGTAGCAATCTCTGGTTTTCACTCAGCTAAATAGCTTCGAAGCATTAAGTGTATTCCACTGGACAGCTGTAAAAATGGGTTCTTTTAGTAAAAAAAAACATGCATAACTTCTGATAGCAATTTCTGTATTTGTTTTTCACGAGTGAAAGAACATGCTTGTTTAGTACATGCTTCATTGGCGTATCAAATTTAGTTGCTTTTTAAAGGGGTGGACCATTAATCGAGGTCACTTTCTTTTGGACTCACCCTGCAAAGAAAAATGCCAATTCGTTGTGATGAACATGACGCAACTCAGACAGAATTAAACCAATTCGATCCAAAGAACAAACCTTGCGAGAAACGATGAAATGAAAAAAAAAAAATCTTTGTTGCACTTCACCTTCACGGTAACTAAAATCAATGGGGACTTTTTTTTAGCGAAACCATACGCCTATGTATTTGGGTCATGTTACACATGTACAATTAGTGTCAAATTAAGCGTGACATGTAAATTTCCCGCCATTGCATATTAGCCTACCTCTGAAATTTGTAATTCGCCATTTAAAGGGAATGTACAACATTTGCTTTTGCTGCAATTTTCAGAAATAAATGGATTTGGATGATTAGTATGTTATAGCAAATATTGTAACACTGACTTGTTTCACGTTTTGGGTTCGTCAGAAGCTGGAAAAACCCAGAAAATCAATCATATTTTTGTAGTCTGGTTCCCTGACGCCACTTAAGATATAACGGAGCAATTTATAGACTTTGGGGAATTGTAAGGTCTGAGAATCAGTCTAGCAGGCTTGTAGTCTTCACAGGTGTGTAATCAATTGCAAAGAAACTACAGATGAAAATTCGGAGCACTTTTTGGAAAAAAAGCCAGTTTTCTCCAATGCTGGTCGGCCGACCAGTGTTGGAAAAAAAAATCAGTTTTTCTTGAATATGTCAGCACACCAGGAGCCCCAACTTTACAGGATGCTTTAGACTGTCACTCCCTAACAATCCAGTAAGATAATTCGTGATGATTTGATCATTTCGTTTGTTGAAGTTTGCAAATGTTGTATCTTCCCTTTAAGTATACCATTAAAAATGACTTCAATTTTTGTATTAGGTGGCTTACATAATCACTACTGCTCCAGAATGTACAAAATCATACATGGCAGATTGAACACGGGCAGGACTTAAAAATAAGTAGACACCACATTCTGGAGAGGATTTCAGGGAAAAGGGAAGGCTGGGGTGTTTATCTACGATGCTTTTTTCTCTCCTGCATTATAAGGCTTGGCAATTTGAGAATACACTTAGGAACGTAACGATTCGGTTTGTCATATTTGGCCTCATTTTACTAGTTTCAGAACATTTGTCAGCAACTGAACGGTGGGGTGGGGTGGTGGAGGGGGGGGGGGGGCGACCGACCACCTCACACATGCAAAGGGGGGGGGGGGTTACCCATCTCAATCATACATTGAATCCAACCTTATTTTTTTTAATAACTCCTCCATTCAAACAGGCATACAAAATGAAAAATCACTGCACTGCCACATATTGGTTAAACAAGCAAACAAACGCCTCTTCATGTCGAGATCACTGGAACGATTTGGCTTTGATCACGAGGAACTGTTTACAACAGTTATGTCAGACCTATGGTTGAGTACGCGGATATGATATGGCATTCTAGTTAAACAAAAAAGAGAAAACCGATGATCCTAAAAGGATACAGAAACGAGCTCGTAGGACCATCATGCGTATGGGGAATCAGTGCACTTCATTCTTCGATGCGCTCAACCTTTGTAACTTTAATAGATACACTACAGGGCGAGTAAAAAAACGAAACCCAACTGTCGGGACCATTGTTTTAGTAAAGTTCTGCATGTAGCACTTTGAAAATCTAGCATATGAAAGCTAAATTCATGAGCTTTTTTTAGTACAAGAATCATTCAAATCACTCGTGTACTTTTTATGTTACGGACTTTTAAACACAACCACCGTTTTCAAGTTCTGTCCACGGATCACACAAACGTATTGTTCTTTCAGCAAAACGAAAACAAATGACGCAGGTACGTGTGTGAATTCTTTTCGGTTTGCTGAAAGAACGCACACCTTTTGTGTGATCCGTGCACTGGACAGAACTTTAAAACGGTGGTTGTATTTAAAATTCTGTTACTTGAAAAGTACGTAAGTGATTTGAATGATTCTTGTACTAAAAGAAAGCTTATGAATTGGGCTTTCATATCCTAGATTTTGAAAGTGCTACATGCAGAACTTCAATAAAACAATAGGTCCCGACACTTGGATTTCGTGTTTTTTTACTCACCCCTGTAGATAGAAGAAGTGTAGGACATTGCATAAGATTTGCTAATGCACTTGGCTCTAATGCAAGAACAACTCACTTACTCCCCCCCCCCCCCCCCCCCCCCCCCCCCCCCACGGGGCCAGCAAGTCATGGTAGGAATCTTAGGCACAGTATCCCAATAAGGCAACTCCCTATTAGTATTAGAACCAAGCGCTTCCAACAAAGTCCCATCCCTTACTTCATAAACATTTTAAATGCTGGCTCTGTGATATTTTGTTGTGCACCTTTTCTTTTCTAGGTGCATGTTGTCTCATCTTTCCTGTATTCTTCCTGTTTTCTTGGTTTTACCTGCCTTTTTTTACTCATGTAATATATATTTTTTGGGTATTATGCAAGTTTTTAACGCTTTTAAAATTAATTGCTTTTAATGTTATTGTCTTTTGAAATTTGGCACTCTGGCCGGGCCACGATTATTTTGAGACAAATAAAAGAAATGCAACGAAATGAAATATTGTCTGCACTGCAGACTGAATATATTCAGAGCCAAGTAATTTTCATAATTTTCCAAGGCCGGAAAAACCACCAGACTATGGGTTTTAACTCCATTAAAGTATAAACCAGACGAGGCAATTAGAGCTGGTCCGTGTCACAAATAAACATCAGCCAATTGCTATGACGACGATACGGCGTCCGGCGTCTCCGAGTGACGTCACCATGGGAAAGATGACAGTGGCCTGTTGCACCAAGACTACTAGAGCTTTTGGGCGTATCAATAGATGATGATTGTTCGGGAATACATGTACAATGAAAGGATACACATTTCTTAACACCTTGATGTTTCGGCTGCGCTTGCTTCGGCCGTTTATATTTCTCCCACCATTTTCACATTGGTTAAGTATTACACATAGTATCCACAATTCATTCACTGAAATTTAAATTTGAAGTTGAACAATTAAAAACAAATAACGGTAACATGAACATTAAACAAATGAATTTTATGTGAGCCCTATATCTTCAATATCAATATTCCAAAGGACGGATTTAATCAGAGGAACTGGAAGCTAGGATAACATTTCTGATAAAATATAAAATATTTACAACTGATTTTTTTTATGTACATTATAAAGTCCCATATAATAACAGGTTCTTTTTAGAACCATGTAAAAGTCGATGAATCACATTAAAATAACGCAATTGTAAAGCCGTTAGGTAGTGCAGTGCTTAATTTGCACATTTTTCCTCAACTGGACGGATGAAAGAAGTCAGTTTTAAAGGCCATCATTCAAATGGAGGGGAAATAGGGTTCTTTACTCCATCTCTTTGAATCACTATATAATGTATACATGTTAATATTTACAAATACAAAATACAGTTTACCAATTCCTATTGGTCGAGAGCCCGTCACTTGGGTGGTTTTAAATGGTTGATACAACACCAACTGGTTTTAAGCATTTTTCTGCCCCGGCACCGATATGTTCTGCGCCACATTGTGATTGTTGCAACAGGAGGAGCTTTAACAATCAATACTTGGAAGGTAACAGATCGCATGGCGGGGCTGATATTTGAGTGAAGGCGTGCCCCTGCTATAGGGGGTCCGGGGTAGCCCCTCCCGCATTCTAAGGCAAATTGAGAATAAATTTGGGTACTTTTTAGTCAAAGTTTATTACTTTTGGCCCCATTTTTCTAGTATCAAAAAAAAATTGCATATACCAAGCCTCACCCCACATTCGCTACTGTGCTGAACAATTGTAAGAAATTGGCCGTCTTTTGCAAAAATATTTGAACCTCATTAGAAAATTCAGATTATGGCCATTTAGAAATCTGTCCAGGAAGAGCAGTGAATATCAATATTGCTGGCTACGGCCGCCTTTCTCTACACAAAATAATGCACTATTGGTTCTACAATCACTCTTTTCATAACCCATTTTAACTTCTATTTTTGTGATTAAACTGTAATCACGTGTCGATGACTAACAAAAACAAACAGGGCTGGAGCACTTTGGGGCAGTATTAGGGAGTAACACACAGGGCGCTTTAGGGCAGTACACAAACACATGGGTTATTGAGACACGACATCAATTTTCAAACCAATCCCTCTACCCCTCTGTCTGTCCCATAAATCCGATACAATTCTCATCATCAGATCTCGATGGGTTTGACGACGGGCTTGCGGATGTGTCTCATGTTTGCACCCGGCTCCTGCGGCTTGAAGGGGGCGTGGACGCCGTACGGGCGGGGTACCGGCAGCTCGCTGTCGTCATCCGGGATGTAAGCGTTGGGGCGGGGCTCGGCCGTCGTGGTGGTCCCGCCCGCTGTGATGTATTGCTCCTCTTCCTCCTCCGCCTGTGTCATCATAATAAAAAATTTAAAAATCGGTATTAGGCCGTGGACGAATAAGTTGGCTGTGGCTTTCAATTGACCCATCGCGGTAGAATCGCGTTAGAATTGCATCAACGCAGCTGGGTGAAATATTGTCCAATTAACATGATAAACAAATGGACACGGAATGCGCAAAATCTGAGACAACCAACTCAGTGTACAAAAACTCCATAGGGTTGTCTAAGGTGCGTGGCTAACTCGCAAACAGCGATAGGTCAATTACGCATGCACCTATGGATGTGGCTTACTCCATGTCCCATAGAAGTGTGTGCTACTGATAACCGTAGCCGAGACTTCGGATTGGGCAAGCAAACTACAAACCTATGTTGTTCAAATAAAACTGAAGGTTGACAATGCTAGCCGTTACTGGCTGCTGTGGCTTCTGGACCCGTGTTGTCTAGTCAAGTTCCTTGTGAACATCACAAGTGAATCACCAAGTCAATTCTCAAGTCACATGCAGTAATACAATATTAACAAGGGAACACCTCTGTCATTGCTGATTTGTCTTGGCCGGATGACTTGTGATGAACTTGTGATGATTTGTGTGATCCATCTCAAGTTCCTGGACTACAACACTGCGAAACCCCATACTGGCTTGAATACAGCGTGCACGAGGTATGCTCGGAATTTCAGGGGTAGGGTCGCCGAGTTGTAAGGAGTCACTGAATTTTGTGACTCGAGTCGAGTCAAGACCTGATAAGGAAGTGACTCGAGCCAAGTCGAATCATTAAATCAAGAAGGTCCAGTCGAGTCAAGTCATAGTGTGTAGTTGAGTTGAGTCGAATCGAGCCAAATTTATGCTCAATAACAGTCATTTGAACACCAAGAATGGAAGAAGGAACACAAGGCACTAGTTTATTATGAAGACCCAAAGATTTAAAATATGCTACATGGTACCCATAGACAGCTTCTGCAGGACATTTCTACCAAAGATCTACGTAACAGTTGACAAAAAGGGAAACTTCGGTTTGATCTCTGGTTTGACTATGGGTCTGGCATAATGTTTTATGCCGATAACGTCAAAACCAATTGGCAATGTGAGAAACTGTTTCTGATTATGTGGAAATATATCTAATTGTGTTTTTAAAGTAGGACATAAAGGTAGCCATAGTTCCTTCAATGGCTTAGGAAATCGCCCGAAGCTGATGATTAAACCACGAATTGGGAAATGCATTACAGTAGTTTGTGCACTACATTATAAAACTGCGATGTGGGAGTCCTCGATACCGTGTATAATTATGTGTACGCCATAACTTGACGTTAACGTGAAGTACGTGAACATTAAGAACTTCGTGCTGTATGTCACCGCAAATATACTTTCGCAGTTTTGGGACTCGAGTGTTATTAGCCTTAAGCTCCTGTCGAGTCGAGTCTCCTGATGAGGGACTTGTGTCGAGTCTTGTCCAGTCATTCACTCCAGTCGAGTCCACTCAGTTACCCGTTGCGACTCGAGCCGAGTCAAGTCACCAAAAATAGTGACTCGAGTTGGACTCGAGTTGACGTCATTGGCTAGAGCCATTACAACTCTGCAGGGTTGCAAAAGTTCCTATGATTTTACCCTGTACTGCCGCGACGACTTGACCATGCTTGAAACCTTTAAAAATTAGGTGCATTAGGTAGCTGCATTAGGCAAACACAATCCAAATCCACTCTTTTAAGTCAATGGCCAACAAGTATCTAAGGCCAAAAAAAAAAGTCTCTGGTTTCTGGTATGGAGCTTGCCCCAAAAGTGGTGCGGCGACGCGGCTTTTTTTTTTTTTTTACCTGTTTTTTTTTTTTTTTGGCTTCAAATGTCGGCTGATGACTGCAAATGGTGCCCGACTAAACTTAGTGCAAATATGTGGGAGTCCAGAGAGGCCACATAAATCTTATTCTCGATCATAACCCCATCTAAAAACACGTTAAAATTGTGCAGCAGCAGAATTCCAGTCAAACCAGTGAGTTTGGCGGTTTTGAAACATCATCTTGTATTGAAAAAAAAACTTGTTCATTTTGCCGACGCGCATGGCTACGGCGACGCGCGCGCAAACCAGAAACCGGAGACTTTTTTTTGGGGGGCCTAAGGTCCATTTTTTTTTTTTTTAGTGTTGCTTGTTATTGTCCAGTTTTTTTCGATCACACGTGATCTTGTTTTCTCGATTTTTTTTTTTTATTGTTGTCTCTTGATTTTGTTTTCTTCGTTGACGCTTCAGGTGTGTGGGGGGTTGCTGTAAAGCAACTTATAGTGCTTGCACTTTTCCCACTCTACCTGATTCGTTTTGTTTAATAATAATAATAATAATTGGACCAATACTGACCATTTTCCTCATGGTGGCGTCGTCCTTGCGCCGATTCTCGTCCCGCACCATGCGCTCCCAGGTGCGTGCGGCCTCCTCTGAGGGCGCTTCGCCTTGCTCCATGCGCAGGTAGGCCTGGTCCAGCTCGGCCTCCTGGCTGCGGACCCGCTGCTGGAGGCCTAAGGCCGCGGCCTGCTGCATGGACAGCTCCGAGACCGCCGCCATCATCTTGCGGGTCACGTCCTTGATCTTAGCCTGAATCTCGTTAACCTGGAGAGAGGTAGAGTGGAGAATGAAGATTGGAGTATTCAGAACTCAAGTTTTTATTGTTGAAATGATAATCCTCAAACAGTTCACAAATTCCTCTCTCAAGACAGCTTTTTTTTTAAGTGTATGAAATGTACAACAATAACTTGCCATTACACACAAATTTGGCAAAAGCTAAGGACAGTTTCAGACTGGTGTTCCAGACTAGTGCCAACCCAAAGCATTCTGAAGATTTAAGAAAGGTTGACTGTTGCAGTAATTCTAAGCGACAGGAAAAATTTGAGGTTTGAGACACTCCTATAGTACATTGAATATTAATATCCCCAATTTGCCTGCCTGAACCAAACCAAAAGTCTAAACCAATCACTGAACGTCCACGAAGCGCATTTTGTTTTGGTGGATCCTACGATATTGTCTATTGCAATATTCCACTCCAAACTAGATTTTCTGGCAAGTATTTTGACATCTCTCAGCTCCAAACTACAAAAACTGCATGACGTTTCCCGTTTTGAAACTCCATGGGATTTAGGTGAAGACCTAAACCTTTTGTTTCGATCCAACTCAATTTTGATCTATTTGAGAACCATGTATTAAAAGGGAAGAATGCAAATTTGAACAAGAGGTTACTCGAGGTTTACCATAAGGTTTATATAAGGTTTCATAAAGTTTACAGGGTACCTCAGGGTTCAACCTCGAGTTACCTCTGGTTAAATTTTGCATTCTCTCCTTAAGCAAAATGTAAATCAAACAAATCGTTGTTGTTGGTCATTCGCTTCTTTTCTGTTTTCCTTGAAAAGTTTTGTAAAACAAATTTTGTCAACTGCGGGGCTACTGAAACAGACTCTTAACTAGCCAGCAGGCATTTTCACTCGCCCGCATGTTGTTTTTTGGGTTTTTTTTTATAGCTCAAATACAAAATGGCATGCTTTCAGGCTCAACTCTGTCGCAATTTTGTCAGTGTTTCTAATAAACAGATCTTATTTAAAATAAGTTAACCCTTTAAAACAGTTGATAACATTTTACACAAATTGATACAGGTTTGCTTTCTGAATATAATGATATATTTTTTCCTGTCCTTTCATCTTTGCCCAATATTTGTTTGACTTGCCAGCCGGGCTACTTAAGGCATAGTTTGACTAGCCCGACACTGTTTTGACTAGCATTTGGCTAGCGAGCTACCGCTAATTTCGAACCCTGCTGCATGACGATACCTTCTTAGCCAGCTGTAGCGTGTCTTCCTTGCCGCTTTCTACTTTGCTCTGGACGGTCTGGGCTAGTCTCTGCACCTGCTCATGAACCAGATCCTTCTCCAGGAGTTGCTCCTCTTTCTCGGCCAAACGAACCTCCAGCTTCACGTGAAAAAAAAAATCAAAAACTGATGAGAATAAACTACTTCTAATAATGTGGTGTTACATTGAGTAACCCGCGCTTTACCAAAGTCTCAAAGAGCTTCACAAATATTGCCCTGCTTAGCAGGCAACAAGATAAGTCTTCTGCTTGAGAAGAGTGCACTTTGGTCTCTACCCTCAAAGGTATCAATTTACACACCTTGGTGGAAAAAGGCAATTGTAGTAAAGTGTCTTGCCCAAGAACACAAGCACCTTGTTCCCCTTCAGGGGTGGAACTTACATAACATCGCCTGCGAGTCGAATACCATAACCAGTGAAACACTGTGCTCTGATGGTTTAATAGTTGACTACATCGTTCTAGCAGAGTTCATTGCAAGTCCATCACAAGTCCATCACAAGTCCTCCAGGCCAGAGTTAAGTCACAAGTTATTCAAATGATTGATATTAGCCTGTTACTTGTGAAAAAAAACTTGTGATTGATATTAGCCTGTTACTTGTGAAAAAAACCTGTGAAAGGACATCAGCTTTATCTCCCAAACGAGGAAAAGTCTGGCTCAGAGAATTTCCATTATGTCCAAAAGAATTTCCCACATTTGGTCAGAGAATTTACATTTTGTTCGGACATAAACCCTTGATGTACCTGATCCTCCAAATAAGTTCAGTATTTGCAGGCATGCAACTGGGAAGTTAGATAGAACAAGGAAACTCCAAATCACACAAGACTTTGTACAGTGTTTTTCAATTTGTAATGGCATTCATGAGAAGTAAATAACGAGGAAATCAGCGGATCCGAGAAAAAGTTGCATGCCTGTATTTGAGAAAAAAAAGTGATTGCCCATGTTTTTTTTGCCCACTACCCTCCACTATCTGCTACTGTGCTTTGAGGTGAACCACAGTACACTGCAAAAACTGCCAAAGGGTACTGACAGAAAGCTAGGCCATGCTGTGAGGAAACTCTTTGGTCAGCAATAAACAAATGAGACCAAAGTAAACAAGTCTGTCGATCATGTCTGTGAGTCAAAGAATCCTCCAATATGCGCGCTTCTGCTAGAGTGCAGCACTGGCATGCACACCTGACTTGCAACAAACTACACCAAAAGTACAAGGGTTGAAGGCTTGTATTGGAGTCTGAGATATACAGCCTAATCCAAAACGAAGCCGGTGCTTGACAAGCACACTTATTTATAATAATAATAATACTAATAATTTGGGAGGCTAATCATCCTTACTCGCAGCTGGTATGCTGAATTGCGAAGGACGCGGCTACAACGTGGTCGGGCCGCTGGCACGTAAAGGCGCCTATGGCTGCCGGCCACATCGACCCATATATGACCACGGAGCACAGCCTGAGATCGAAAGTGTTTGATTTTTATACCTCGGCTCTTTTAAGTGCACAGAGCCATCTACTTTCCGTGCACATGGAGTTCATAAAATGTCAGTTCTTCAGTCTCTATAATTCTGTTACTGATTTCCCTACTTCAAGCAAGATCGCTCTCACCTGTTCAATCTTCTTGTTGAGGTCCGCAGGGCTCAGGTCCTTCCCTTCCAGGAATCGGACCCGGTTCTCGTCGTAGGGATTCTCCAGTTCCTTCTCCAGTTCTCCCATACGGTCCTGACACTGGGAAAGCTACCGAGAAAAATTAACATGAAAAACATTATTTACAACAGAACACAACTTTACAAGTCCAATGTTTTCTCTCTCTCTTATGAAAAATAACTAATCAATGACTGAAGTATACTGCTTTTTTTAGTTCAAGTACGCTGGTTGTAACTTCTGAAAAATTGTCTTGTCACACGTTTTTTTTCAAAGCGTTGTGTACTATTCAATTCTGGTCTTGCACGGAGTCTGTTCAGGTTTTTGTTTGTTTTTTTGTTTTTTTGTTTTGTTTGTTTTGGTTATTTATTTATTGTCGTTAATTAATGGGGCAGGGGAAAGAGAAGAAGGCAGTTGCGCACCGTACTGCTGGCCGGCAGTTGTAAGCAATGTAGGACCTTATTTCAAGCAAGGGTTACTCTTGTTTTACTTGTTCTTTTCTTTCTTTTTATTAAGGGAATAAATGTGTGCTTGGTCGGTATTAAACACTCTGTTTATTAGACCGGGTAGAGTCTGGATGCTGATTAATTACCCGAGCTGAAGGCTCAGGTAATTATCAGCATCCAGCATCCAGTCTTAAACATAATTACCCGAGACAAACGAGGGTAATTATCAGCATCCAGCATCCAGTCTTAAACATAATTACCCCAGACAAACGAGGGTAATTATCAGCATCCAGCATTAAACATAATTACCCGAGCCAAATATCAGCATCCAGAATCCAGTCTTAAAGGGAATATACATCATTTGCTTTTGCTGTAATTTTCAGAAATGGATGGAATTGGGGGGTTGGAAATATAAAGCAAATATAGTTACACTGACTTTTTGGAGGTTTTGGGTTCGAAAATGCTATAAAAACCAAGAAAAACGATCATTTCCTGTAGTCTGGTTCCCTGACTCCATATAAGAAGAAACAGAGCAGTTTACATACATTGGGGAATTGTAAGGTCAGGGAACCAGTCTAGCTGGCTCGTACCCGTTCATAGGTTTGTAATCGATTGCAAACAAGTGCAATGGTCAATTGGGGCCAGTATTTGAAAAAAAAGCCAGTTGTTTCCAACGCTGATCGGCCGATCAGCGTTGGAAATTGATACAAAAATACCACTTTTCTTGAAAATGACAGTATACCAGGTGCCATAATTTTACAGGATGCTTTAGACTGTCATTTACCAACATCCTATTAAGGTATTTCGCAAAAACTTGGTAGTTTTATTTTTCGATGTTTGCAAATGTTGTATATTCCCTTTAAACATAGTGTTTAATACCGACCAAGCACATATTTATTCCCATTCATAAATACCTTTTCATTCAAAAATTAAACATTTCCAATGATTTTGTTCAACAAACTTTTATAGAAACACCCCTCTAGCTATATAATGGAGTGTTCAGCTCACGAGTAAGACGTAAACAACTCCTTTTATGGAGATAAAAGGCAGATGCAGCTGTGGCGAGTGCATTGTGAATTTAGGACTATGAATTACTGACTTACTGGTAGTATTGCGCATGCCAAAGTGAGGATTGTGAATAACATTCAACCAATAAAAGGATAAAAGGCACTGGATTGATAGGAGTCAAAATTTCATGTGACACTGGAAAAGTTTTTAAGACCAGCCAGCTGGTCTTTATCAACTGCTTAAGACAGGCCACATGAGAGGCTCTCGACAAATGGGAATGGGTAATTTTTGGTATTTAAGAATAAAATTTAATTGTTTTGTGGAGGGAAAGGGATCAAGAGAATAAAACAGTTTAAAAACAGTCTTCTACCTCTCTCTCTGATATAATTCTTAAAAAAGAACAAAAATGCCAGAATGGTAAGCCCACTAAAACAGTACCTGTATCTGTAACGTGACCAGCTCCTGTTCCAGGGCCCTCTTGTTGGGCAGCGTCTGTCTCTTCAGTCCGATGGTTCTCTTCTCTTCGCTGACTTGCATCTTGAGGAAGCGGATTTCCTCCTCTCTCATCTGAAGCTCCACGTCCCCCTTGCGTATCATGTCTTCCTGAATGTTCACCTTCTCGTAGAAGATGCAGACCTCCTCGTTTCTCTCAATCAGCTGCACGCCCCTGCAGGTTCAAAATCAAATTTTGTAAAGTCTTGTGAAAAAACACCCAAAGCAGTACAATATACAAGGTGAGCTCCTCGACTCATGGTAAAATGCCTTGCCCAAGAACACAAGCACCATATCCCCTGGCAGGTTCAAACCCTACCTTGCGCAAGAATGATATACAATAACCATTGGGCCATGACACTCCGCTCTCCATACCTCATGCATACAGTAAACTCAGGCTAAACCGACATCGTAAAACTCGTCAAATCGCTCAAGTCGGCCGTCTGACTTAAGTCCGGATTGTCTTTAATGCATTTCCATTGAATTTTTTTATTTCTAAGTCGCCATTTTGCTGAAGTCGTCGTGTTACTTTCGGTCCCTTTTCCATAAAAAGCATTACAAAATCCTTTGTGTAAGTCGGCATTCAACAAATCACGCATTGGCATCGACTTCCTGTACTGCGGTTGGCAAAGTGTCGAGTGAAAAGTGGTTTCGCACGGCCCGTGATCGCTGCATGCATTGGTGTCCAGAAAGGGTATCCTACTGCATACATCGCATATGCATTGTGAGCATATCAATACCAGTACCACTAGGCTGTACGCATGCGCTCTGTCCATTTTGGGGGTTGTCTTATTGAATGACTAGTGCTATAGTGCTGCAGTCAATGCGTGCGTGGTATATACCGGACCACACACGCATTTAATTCGTTACTGTGCTCGTACATATGTATCGTGGTCTCCACTATCAATACCCCAAACGTTATGATACAATTCGAGGATTAATTTGCTGGATTCAACTCAAGCATTAAGGAGATAATCCAGGGTAAATCGAAGCCAATTAGTGCAATGAACCGTGTGTGCAAAAGACCATTCATGTAAGTCGCCAAAATGACGATTTACAGCAGATGTCGGCATTCGCGTAAGTCGTCACAAATTCTCCGGTCCCGAGAGTGCCGACTTAGCTGGAGTTTACTGTATGTACTCCTTACCTGTCGTTGCGGTGTTGCACGGCCGTCTCGTATCGCTTCCTGAGCCTGACCATCTGTTCCTCAGCCTGGTTGATCATCAGGTTCAGCTTGGCGATGTCCAGCCGCTGCTGCTCTCGCTTCTCCCGCATCTCCTCCTCGATGCGCTGCTGCTTGGCCAGCTCGTTGCGCAGCTGGTCTCGCAGCACCACGGCGTTGACGTGCTTCAGCCGTGCCTTCTGCAGTTGCCTGTTAAACATCACATACAACCGAGATCAGTTGGGGAACCTGCTGCTAATGCTAAAGTGGATTTGAACCACCCAACGAACCCCGATAAGCTCAGTGGTCAAGTGGCAGGACATCTTCACTAGTAAGCAGGAGGTCGGGGGTTCGAGCCCCACCACGGAAGCTTGTGAATTATTTCTCCCAAGCCCTTGGACAGTACTGAGTTACAGTGCTTACAAAGTTCTGAAGGTGAAGTTATGTAGATGAAGTTATGTAGGTGATGTTATGTAGTTGAAGTTATGTAGGTGAAGTTATGTAGGTAATGTTATGTAGGTGATGTTATGTAGTTGAAGTTATGTAGGTGAAGTTATGTAGATAATGTTATGTAGGTGATGTTATGTAGTTGAAGTTATGTAGGTGAAGTTATGTAGGTAATGTTATGTAGGTGATGTTATGTAGGTGAAGCTATGTAGGTGAAGTTATGTACATGAAGTTACATAGGTGAAGTTTGGAAAAAGGTCAGAACTTTAATAGCCTGTGGGTTGGGTGGGGGGTGTTCCCAGTGTCCACCCCGAACCCACCGCCACTGGTATTTCATTTAAACTTTAGTATGTTCTCAATAGGAAAACAGATGCTAACAGTGAGCATTTAGGGATGTGCTCTCTCAGGAGGCCACTTATTGGAACCGCCTCTGATTGAGCTTACATGCATTTTCTTAGCACTCGGATTGGAACGGAGGGGAACAAAACGCCATAACCTGAGCACACCTTGACCGATCTTAATCAAACTTGGCATAATTAATCTTCATAGACAGCACTTTCAAAAAAAAATCTAATGAGATGATGCCTTGCTTACGGGCAGACGGAACAGATGCACTAAACTGCTCTTTCAACCCGATAGGTGAGTCAATATTGATGCTTTGATCAATATGCCCCGATCTTATTTGCAATACCGTAAAATTGAAATGAAGGCCCCCTCAAACCTAGTCTGAGTATCACCCGTTATCCACGGAGCCATCTCCGGTCTAACGTCTGATATGTCAAAGCATGCAGATTTATGCAAGCCGCGCGCCAGCCAGTCGGAGTCGACGTAACTAAATCGTGACGTAATTTCATCCCAAAATCAGGACTAACGCTGTGATTGGTCGATTCGTATGCAACATTTTGTAATACAACAACAGCCGGGAGCGCATTCGCGTAACATGATACCGAGCACCGCGCGCCGTGATTGGTCAATTCGAATGCAGTGTTTTGTAATACGACAACAGCCGGGAGCGCATTCACGTAACATGATATCGAGCGCCGCGCGCTGTGACATTTTTTGTTTAAATCCATGTCTATGACGCGCAACGGGTGAATGACCGAAGACCCGATAGACCTATAAAAAGCACCTGCTGATTGGTGAAAATCTAGGAAGTCAAGAGGCGGGGTCTTGCCTAATTAATCAGCAAATCAGTTTGCGCATAATAGACCACGGCATTACATAGACTACCTCAAACCCCCCCCCCCAAAAAAAAAAAAAAACCCAAAAAACAAACTTAAAACAGTTGAATTCAAAAAATAGACAGCAATGTTCAATATATAAGTAATGCGATTTTCTTACATCACACAAACTGACAACAAAAATATTTTTTTTCTTCAGGACTGAAAAATCAATGAAAATGTATTTGTCAAAAGTCTGTAACTGCTGCTCCTATTTTCTTTTCTTTTTCAACCCATTTACTTTTAATTTTCTGAAGACCGGTTTCATTTCAAGATATTGCAAAAAAACCTTCAAATACGTATAACACTGGCATTAAAATTGCATCTCCAACAAACTTTGACAACTTGTTCCCTCCTAGAAAATTTTCACAAGTCGTACAATCTTTGTTTTTACCTTTCTTTAGTCTGGCATGAGGTCCTGAGTATCTCAATCTCATTCTGCAGGATCTTGATCTTCTCTCGCATCTCGGCCGCCTTCTGGGTGCTGGCCTGGATCAGGTTCACGCACTTGTTGCGCTCGTTCTTGATCACGTCGTACATCTTGGCAAAGTCGCGCAACCTGAAGACAATGAGTAATAATCTGCTGATCAAGTTTTACATGTGCAAAACCTAAACCGGCTGCTGATCCGAATTTCCGTGGGCCTGCGCTTGTCAACAATTGAACGTAGTAAAAGAATAAAAAGAACATCATGTACGTATAAATATACTTTTTCGTGGTAGCGGCAGGGCTGATATTTGGCGAGATTTTAAATACAAACATTTCAGCCACAAGTCCAAACCAAAGCTCCTAAAATGGCTTTCTTCAAAAGTTTGTCATTTGACAAAAAGACCCTACAACTTTTATGATTAAAATAACAACTTGGACGCGTTTCATCATCTCCTCAAGAGACCACTCACATTTTTCAAGTATGAATAAAAAATGGTGTTTGGATATTTTCGGTGGATGATTGAATATGCGGTATATTGAGCACAACCCTACATTGGCTCTGGCCTATATCAGTGACCAGGCCCCTAACTAGTTTTAAACCACACATGTACAGAGAGTGCCAAAACAGTGCAACATTCAGAAACAAAATAACTAAAACTGTTTAATGTTTTTTGTCTTCAATGAAATGATATATTACATTAAAGCATGACTATTTCTCAATCCACTCCTTTTTACCCCATTCCATTTGGGTCCCTAGATCCAGAAATAAAATCCATTACTGTGAGAGGGTGTAAATTTGACTTGGGCCACTTTCACCTGGACATGCTGAATCTGGGTTAAGCATTGAATAGACATTGAAGTTGGTGACATCACAGGTGAGAGTGGCCCAAGTAAAATGTACACCCTTTCACTTCATTGATTGTATTTCTGGATCTAGGGACCCAAATGGAATGGAGTCAAAAGGAGTGGATTGAGAAATAGTCAGGCTTTACTGTAATATATATTTTATTTGGGGGGGGGCACTCTGTATAACTGCTGCATCACACTTTTATCCTCTTTCTTTTGTTTTTAATTGCTTTTACCTGATCATCATCTCCTGGTACTTCTTCTTGTTGTCAATAATCGACAGGTCCTTGGCCTTGAGGTCGTCCAGCGCCCGGTGGTAGCGCAGCTCGGCGCGCATGAAGTCCCGCGCCTTCTGCTCGCGCTCGTCACCCTTGATGGCTGCGAGGCGCGTCAGCTCCACCACCTCGATGCGCAGGTCGCTCTGCTCGTACAGGAGCCGTTCCTCCTCCGCGATGCTCTGTTCAACTTTGACCTGCTCCACAGCTGTCAACGAATTCTGGTAGTGGGGCAGATGTACATGTATTGTTACTTGCATTACTTTATTGCTATCTTTAAAGTGGGCAGCAGTCCTGCTTTTTTTTTAAATGTAACAGTTAGAGCTTTCAAACTGAACTTGTGCTTCTTAACTCTTTCAGTGCCAAAGTCGTACATGTGCGAGGTATATTTGTTAGTTCGAAATTGCCAACCTCGTACATGTACAAGGTAATGTTCGTACTTAAAACCGCCAAACCTAGTACCTGTACGAGGTAGAGTATTAAGCATGTTATCACAAGGGGGTGCTCTCGCTCTTTCTAATAATATCATTTTCATTCAGGTACGATTTGTATTTATTTGTTTCATTCGAGTTCTTGCGAGAGGGCGCAGCACTGACACTAGTATTTTCTGCAAAAGTGCGGAATTCCCCTGTGTGCAGGACAGTGTTTCAGGGTGTAGCACTATGTATGTGACAACTATTGACTTTCTAATGTACCAAGGATATACCAGAGAGCCAACAACAAAAAATTTAGTGAGTACAACTTATTTAATTTATTTTTTATAGAATTTTGAACAATTAAAAAAAAGGCTCGAAGTTGGGCACTTTAGGGTTAAACTTTTCAAATTTCGCAGGCACTGAAAGTGTTAATACTATTTCAAAAATAACAAATAAAACATGTCAAAAATTGTCAAATTCTCTAGAAGCGTATTCAAAAGATTACCGAATATCATAATAATTGTGCAATGTCAATTTATGTTTAAACTTGCATTTTGTAAGAAAGGTCATCATTAAAACAGTTGAAATTGGCCCCTAACAACCTGAATCAAATTTAAGATTTTTCAAAAAATGCATTTTCTCTTCAATTAGCACTAAGAAACAACTTGAAACACTTCAATGATGTTTTTTACTGAGAAATCCAGAAAGTCTGGTACCCATCGCCTACCTGATTGCCTAGCATGCGTTTGGTCTGTTCCACCTCTCTCTGTAGCTCTTTGCGTTTCTCTAGTAATGAGCCATCGTCTTTGGGGCCACCGTCAGCCTGAGATTTCACCTTGTCGAATACGGACTGCAAGAACCAAAAAAATACAGTGACACCAATGAAATAATTTAGAACCAGAAAGTGTAGGGCAAACGAATGGAGTATGCGCGCGTGTTGGTTCACACAGTGTGAAATGTTGCACAACTTGCACAATAAATTGTGGCGCAAGTGGACTTATGCCATTGTGTAAAGTTTCGTAAAATCGGATGCTGTTGACCACCAAATACTAAATACCTGAAATGGGAATCTTAGTATTTGGATCTGAAAAATTGAGCCTCACGGATGCTATACATTCATGCTTATGCACACACATGAGGTATGCTCAAAATTCTCAGTTCTGGGTGCCAACATTCCCAAGATTATATTTGATTTATCCAAAAAGCGCCCTCTACCGCCACAGCGGCTTGCCTGCGTTCGTCCATGGACCCAGATCAAGTGTTACGCCAAGATTAGGAAAATACGCACGCTTTCTCTTCGCCTTACCTGTGTGTGCGCCAGGCCTTCGTTGGCCACCTTCAGTTGCAACTCGGTCTTTTTCAGGTTGCGCAAGTCTCGTTCTTTCTCTCTCAGCTTGCGCGCGTAGATGTCGTGTTGGTTCTTCTTCTCCATCTGCACGTGGCGCAGTCCAAGATCCAATGTTGCTCTTTATTTTCCAAAAAATAAAAAAAAACATGAAAAGATAGGGGCATGTGAGGTTTATGAAAAAGGTTATACCCGATTGCATAACTATTTAACCACATGGGAGTTTTGAAGCAAACCTAAAATGGTATATAGCAAAGATAGACTTTCTTTTCTTCATTTTTCAATAACTATTAAGGAGGAACTTGTTTAAGGCCCAAAAAAAGTCTCTGGTTTCTGGTATGGAGCTTGCCCAAAAAGTGGTGCGGCGAAGTGTTTGCTATTTTTTTTTTTACCCTAATTTTTTTCTTCTCCAAATGTTGGCTGATGTTGCAGATGACACTTCAATCCCCTTAAAACTCTCAAAAATATCCTTCAGAGTGGAGCTTGAGGCTTGAGAATTCTGCACCCACTTGCGATCTCGACTGACACAAATTTTCTTCGGGAAATTTGGATAATCAAGGGAAAATGGTAACGTCAGACCATACAGCGACATTGACATGAGCTGCCAGGCTGGTCATTAGTCTGCTCCCTTACTTATTGCGCTAATTAAAACGCGTTTACAGGTTCCAGATACCAACCATCGCTCCCTTAGTCTGGCTTCCAGATGCACAATTACAAAATTACAACATCGTCTGCAAATGGTGCCAGACTAAAATTTGCATAAAATATATGGGAGCCCAGAGAGGCTACATAAAGCTTATACTCAATCGTAACCCCATCTAAAAACAAGCTACAATTGTGCAGCAGCAGGATTCCAGTCAAACCAGTGAGTTTGGGGGTTTTGAAACATCATCTTACATTGAAAAACTGTTTAATTTTCCCGATGCGCATGGCTACGGCAACAGGCACGCAGACCAGAAACTGAAGACTTTTTTGGGGCCCAACTGTTAAGCCTAATTTCCATATCGACATAAGAAAAACAGACAGCAACACAAACAAGACCTAAACTGCAACGCAGACATATGAAAACATTTCATCTGCACATGTCACCGACAACCCAGACAGATGCAAACTATCTCGCGGACGATCGTCAAAGTTGAACTGGGTCAACTTTGCTGACCTTTCAACGCACTGTCTGTGCAGTCTGCATGAGCTTAATGTCGATATGGAATCTAGGCTTCCTGGAGCTATACCCCTTGAATCTACTCATATCCGACAACTGCGTGGTATGCTTTTTAACCACTATGTAATTTGAGCCACCCGGCCCTCAAACCCAGCCCATTCACCCCTGGTATCCTTCAGACCCCAAACAGCCATTAATTAAAGCCACAGACCTGCCCTGTTAATACCAACACTGTTCCATTTTGGTCAGCAGGGGTGATTCAGGCAATCCCTATGTGAACAGTACAATTGTACACAATACTAGGTCTTCCCGTCAATTTTAACCCCTCCACTAGGGTCAGCCACGTGACACCCCCTCTGGTGGATGTACCATGGGCCATACTAAGGATCTAGTCATAGGTGACTGCAGGCATGGTTACCACGTGGCTGGGACAATATTAAACATAGAAATGTGGGAAAGATTAATGGCACGCTGGCTCCGGGGGAGGTTTTCAGGGGTACTTGTGCACAGAGTCACATTCTCATGGACATTCAATTTCTAGTCCCTATCCTCACCTGTCGCCCAGGTAGACGGCCTCCTTCTCCTTCTCGTACTCAAAGTCCTTCATCCTCTGGTCAAACTTCATCTGCATCTCCTCCAGGGCCCCCTGGCTCTTCTGCTTCTCTCGCTCCAGCTGGAACTTGTCGTCGGTCAGCTGCTGCTGGCGGGACAGCAGCCGCTGCAGCTCGCTGGTGTAGTCGCTGCAGGTCTGGTCCACCTCCGCCCGCTTCTTGTCCACCTCGCTGCGTAGTTTGTGGGGAGTGGAACACGTCATTACAGCATAACAAATCTCAGAGGTTTTTGAAACATTGACTGAGGTTTATTTGAAGCTGTATCAACTTCTTTTCGCTGAACCTGATGTTACATACATGTTTTGTAAATCATAAACAACGATTCTTATAATTTTCTTAACATTCCTCATTTGTTTTTCTGAGTCGGTGGGAACTGGTACAGAACAGCAAAAGCGAAGTGAAAAACAAATGACTGCATACAATTATTACTTTTTCTGAAAGTCTCTAGAAAAGCGATATTCAGAGGTACCAATGTTGCGTTGTTTAGCAAGGATTTATATTAAATTTACGTACTTTTGTCTGTCCTCCCTTTACAACACAAGATACATTTTTTTGTGGCGAAAAACAAGGCAACCAAAATCTGTATCGTACAGTCTTAAAAAAAATGTTTGTACTTGACGTGACGAGTAAGAGAGAGCGCGAGTGCATGCAGTCCACGAGATGTGCCTACAGTACACTCTGAATAGTCAATCCGCATCGTTTACGTATTCTACAAGGCCAGGGGTTTAAGGGTGAAGGAACGCACACACAGCCCATGGAGTCGAGGCTGGGGTGGGCTTATGACCCACTGCAGAATGGATGGCATTACTGAAAAGGCCGGACTCACTTTTTCTGCTTGTTCATCTTGTCCATGTCCTTGATCAGCTGGCCCGGCAGGGAGTGGACCTGCACCAGGTCCTCCTTGAGCTTCTCCTGCTGCTCCAGCTCCCGCTCAACCTCCTTCCTCTCCAGCTCCACCTGCCTCTCCCGGGCCGTCAGCTCCTCACGCAGGTTCTTGGCCTCCAGCTGCCGCTGGCCGATCTCCAGCCGCAGCTCCTCGATGTGCTTGGTCAGCTCCTTGGTCTGCTTGTCGATCTCTTCTTTCTTGGGGAGGCGGCTGTACTCCCGCTCCAGCATGCGCTTCTCCTCTTGCAAGCTGGTGAAGATGAGGGGCGAGGAAAAGTCAATGAGATGGTGAGGCAGGATTGCAAGACATCACGGTTTAATAATAACAATAAAGACAAGCATTTATAGAGTGCTCTTACACATAAGGTATCACAGCGCTTAACAGCAAAGTAAGTTACAGAAACTAAGACTCAAAATTAGTGAAAACCGTGAAAGCAGTTAACGATTGAACAGAAAAGTCTTGAGACATTTCTTGAACCCTTGAAGTGTTTGTGTTGAGTGGATTTCCCTCGGAAAGACTATTCCAAAGACGTGGGGCATGTGCATAGAACCCACGTTCCCCTATCCAAGAATGCACTTTAGGAACTACATGTACAAGCAGTGTGTTGTTTGAACTGGACCGAAGGCCAGGTCGTCTGGGGTGATACACGTCAATGAGAGTGGTGAAATATGAGGGGGCATGGTTATGGAGACATTTGTAGACTGTGGTGAGCATCTTGAAGACGATTCGGCGGTGGACTGGGAGCCAGTGAAGTTGATGGAGGAGAGGTGTAACGTGTTCACACTTCCCACATTTGTGGATTAATTTGGCAGCACGGTTTTGAACCGTGGGGCATGTGCATAGAACGTGTGCACATGCCCCACGCCTTTTTAAAAAAGGAATGGTCATGAACAAAATGGCATTGCATTTTTATGGTGAATTTCAATTTTTTTTCCCCCAATTTTTGCTTCAAGTATTATACAACATTTGCTTTTGCTGTATTTTTCAGAAATGGATGGATTTGGGAGTTGGTATTTTACAGGAAGTATTGATTTTTTACACTGAACTGTTAAAGTTTTGTGTAGATGCAAACAAGAAGAACAAAATGTTGTTCTTTCAGTCTGATCCCTGACCCTTCTTCAGATGAAATGAAGCAATTTAAAGACACAAGGGAATTGTCAGGTCTGGGAACCAGATTGGTTGGCTGGCACCCCTTTACGGATGTGTAACCAACTGCAAACAAAATGTGGACTAACTAAATTTGGTACATTGTGGGCAGTATTTGAAAACAAAAGTCAGTTTTTTTCCAATGATGGTTGGCCAACCATCGTTGGAAATTGATACAAAAATTCCACTTTTCTTGAAACTGACAGCACACCAGTTGCCATTTTACAAACAAACAAACAATCAAACAACCATGATAGCTTGCAGTGTTCTACACAGAGTAAAAATTGAGTTTGCGGCATGGTGAGCAAAATCCGTGATCGCATGTGTAATGGTCAAAAGTCAATAGGTACATGTAGTTCCTATAAGTTCCCATACATTTCCCAATAGTATAGCTGTCAAAATTAAAAACCAGCTAGAAAAAACACGAAGTCAAAACTGATGGTTCCGAGACCTAAACATAAAAATGGAACGGAGACTTCAACAAGCACGAAATCAATTTTAACCAGTCCAACAACCTTCATGAGAAACATGCAACGACGACAAAACCACTGGAAAAGCTGATCAAACTAAATAACAATCTGCGATTAAACATTCTTGCATTTATCGGAATTCCCCAAAATGAGCACGAAGCTACATTTGTCTTGCTTAAAACTAACCCGACACGTCTGCGCAACAGATAACTGGGTACGAGCGTCCAAAACATCGCATCCATGAAAAAGATGATTACAGCCATACCTCTCAATCTTGAAGTCATTCTGGTAGTTCCTCTCGGAAGACTGGTCAATCTCGTTGGTGTGCTTGAGGAACTGGGTCCTCATCTTGGTCACCTCGGTGTTGGAGCTCTCGGGGAAGTTGTCGGCCTTCTCCAGCTCCCCGCGCTGCTTCTCCAAGACCACCGTGCACTTCTTGGCTTCCTGGAGGTGGGAGGTCTCCGAATCGCGGGTCCTGAAAGTGAGGAACTTACTCAAATTAGCATTTTCTCTAGGGTTTTCTCTTGAGTCCAATGGCACATTCTCTGTACATAAACAGTATGGCCAGGCTCTATCTTGAATATCCTCCAAAACAACCTAAAAGACAGAGGTCCCAAAATCTCTGTCTTGCAAGGCATGAGATTGTGGAAAATGGATTATTAGTTTCATATTTTCTTCATGAATCCATTTCATCCAACATAGTGTTGAAACCCAACTGAACATTATCTACACCCTAAATTTCAAAGTAAGGGAAAGGAACATTTGCTCAAATTTGCACAATCGTTCAAGATTTCCAAATGGATTTTGAAATAACCTGGTTGCAGTTAATCCAAGAGTCTAATTTCTGTGGACTTCTTGCAAAAGCATCCTGGCAATTGTGAAAATGACAAAGGTACCCATACTGAAAGACACTTAGGTGCGTTATCTCATGCACAGATGCTACATGGTTCTTACACATTACACTTAAAGAGTGGTTGAGCACACTACTAATATGTAGGCGTAGGCGCAAGTCAGTGCAAACTTGAGATGTATCCTTTCCAGGCTACCTTCTACATTTCTGAGTAAGTCCCCAATGAATTTGTTCATATTTAAAGGGGTACTAGGTCCTGAAATCCCCGAAAACTTCATGGTTTGGATTGTTTACTTATCCTATTTCAAGCATCTGGTTGAAAGGAAACCAACCTAATGTCTTACCGTTCCCCAAAAAAAGAGGAAAAAAAACCACTTGTTTATATCGGACAAGACAGGGTACGAATGCTTTTTTCATGTCATTCTCAGTGTACGAAACACACGTTGTGTGTCTCTGGAACAGCAGTGACAAGTCACCAATGCAAAAAAATGTGGTTTCTTCAATGTCCACAAGAAGGAAAATTCTTTATGAATGAAATCACAACTAGCATCCAAACAGCTCGAATTTATGGGGTCGGAAAAGTGGACCCCGAAATTTGTTCTTGGATAGTTGTGTGGATGTTTATATCCTAATTTTAAATGTTCTTTCCGATTAAAGGGAATATACATCATTTGCTTTTGCTGTAATTTTCAGAAATGGATGGAATAGGGGGGTTGGAAATATAAAGCAAATATAGTTACACTGACTTTTTGGAGGTTTTGGGTTCAAAAATGCTATAAAAACCAAGAAAAACGATCATTTTCCTGTAGTCTGGTTCCCTGACTCCATATAAGAAGAAACAGAGCAGTTTACATACATTGGGGAATTGTAAGGTCAGGGAACCAGTCTAGCTGGCTCGTACCCGTTCATAGGTTTGTAATCGATTGCAAACAAGTGTAATGGTCAATTGGGGCCAGTATTTGAAAAAAAGCCAGTTGTTTCCAACGCTGATCGGCCGATCAGCGTTGGAAATTGATACAAAAATACCACTTTTCTTGAAAATGACAGTATACCAGGTGCCATAATTTTACAGGATGCTTTAGACTGTCATTTACCAACATCCTGTTAAGGTATTTCGCAAAAACTTGGTAGTTTTATTTTTCGATGTTTGCAAATGTTGTATATTCCCTTTAAATCATCTCGTTCAAAGCGCGTTTTGTAGCCCGATTGGGCTGTTCCAGGACCCAGTGTCCCTTATAAGCACCCTACCTGGCCAGTGTTCTGTGTAGTTCTGTGTATTTGGCCTTCAGCTGTGCCACCTTAGTCCCTGTCAGCTTACCCTGCTGAAACAACTGAAAAGTCAACAAGAAACACATACAAATTATATGGCATGCACAAAAATGCAAAGTGTTCTGCTCCTTGCCTAAAGCTGATGGTGTGATATTAATTATCATTTCTGTTGACCAAATGTGACCTGCCAGAGCATAATGAGAAATAACCCCCACATTTGACTTTTCAAGTTATATACATCATGTTAAAGTGCAAATCATTGGCTTTCCAATGATACCTAATTTATTTATGTAGCTAAATTTATTCCAAAGATATGTCGCAGGAACTTCAACAGTGTCCTGCAATCTTCAACGACCTCATTTCGAAAAAAAAAACGGCTTTGAAAAAAGATATACGCGTTGCGCTGCCAGCGGCAGAGGTTAACCTTCTTCAGTTTTTCCTCTTTTTGGGATATTTTTGGCCCAACAAAAATGCAAAGTGTGAATCTTGGATACCTTGACTACTCAAAAATACAAAACAATCAATAACAATTTTGACATTGTTTTTTTTTTACTATATCCGACTTCAGGCGTCAATTTCTCAAAACAAGGTTTTGGGGGACATTCCTCATCTTGCCTCAGTAGGTCACAAATCATGTGAGCACTGACTGAGTGACTTGTATCGTAGAAAATGATAAAATGAAAAGGACATCAAAGTTTTGAAGCATCTAGCATGCCACGAATGAATTCACTCAATACACACCAAGCACCAAACCGAGCAAGCAATTAATGGAGTGGTCTCCCGTCCAAGTACTGCCAGCAGTCAAAGAAGCTTAAAGGGAATGTACATCATTGGCATTTGCTTTAATTTTCAGAAATGAACTATTTGATGGGTTAGTATATATATCAAATTATTGTTACACTGACATGTTTGAAGTTTTGTGTTGGAAAATGCTGGAAAAACTAAGAAAAACAAAAATGTTCGAGTAGTCTGGTTCCCCTGACTCCACTGAAGATTAATTGGATTGATTTATAGATGCCGGAAAATTGTATGATAAGGGAACCAGTCTAGCTGACCTGCACCCATTCAGAACATGCAACCAATAGCAAACAAAATTTGGACTGAAAAAAAATGGTACATTTGGAGCAGTAGTTGAAAAATAGTTAGGTTTTTCCAACGGTGGTCGGCCGACCACCGTTGGAAATGTATACAAAATTACCATTTTCTTTAAAGTGACTTCACACCAGGTGCCATAATTTTACAGGATGCTTTAGACTGTCATTTACCAACATCCTGTTGTGTATTTCGTAAAAACTCGGTAGTTTTATTTTTCGATGTTTGCAAATGTTGTATTTTCCCTTTAACTTGACATTGTTGCCGATTGTAACAAATCCTGGTTCGCCTCAATACCCCCCTCCTAAAAAAAAGTGTTGACGCCAGCATCGCATACCTCATCTAGACACTGGAAGGCAGGACTGGCTGAGACCTCCACTTGGCTCTCCTCTTGCAAGATGACCTTGGGAGCCAGAGGAGCGATAGCTGGCTCATACTTCTCATCGTCACTGCTGCCGTCTTTACTCATGATGACTACTGGGAAAACAAATTGGTTAACATCTTAGTAACCCTCCTATGGAAACATGCATTGTCTGCCTGGTTATTACTTGGGTCAATATTGGTCAAGACCCCCATTGGTTTGTACACAGTAGGCCAGGAGGCGAGGAAGAAAATGTTGACCATTGGTGACCTCTTATTAGCAAGAGGAGGGTTAAAGAACATTTCAGACAAGAATTTGTTTTTATTAATTGCCCCCCCCCCCCCAAATTTACCAATCTGCTGTTTTAGCAACGAATATATTGCATTATCTACATGTATACTATAATTCCAGGAATCTGTGTGTATGTTTATGGTATAAATCGAGGACACACATGTGTAACATCATCGGTGAATCTAGGTCAGCAACCAAGTCGAGGACGACCTCGATTAGAAAATGTGTACAAAACCAATGAGAGCTGTTAGAGCACAAACAATGGAAAAGGGAAGAGGAACAAAAGAAATCCTTGATTTACACCATACCCTGTAGGCCTAGTCCCACTAACTGGGGTGCTAGAAGTAGAACTCCTTTTTTGACATTTGGGAAGTTGGTCTGTTGTACTAGCGTCCCACTAAGGAAGTATTGTCAGTGTTACAATTTCAAAGTTCACCACAAAAATCACGCAAAATACTTGACAAAAATACCTTTGAAAGCACCTACTGGCTTCTCCACATGTCAAAGACGAAGTAATTGGGCTTCAATGATACTCACGATTATTTTTTGGGTTGCAAATCCGTGAAAATCAACCACTATAGCACAGACATCATACAGCGATCATTCAATAATGTTGTGGCTGTTTTTTTTTTGCAACGTATTGTCTATGCACGTAGCGCAGGAGACATGACCGTGACTCGAGTCAAAAAACAAACTCCGCGTGTAGATCGGGAAATGCACCAACGACTGTTATATGACAAGGCAATTGAACCATTGACAATGCTTCTGTAGTGGGACGCTAGCATGACAGAAAAAGGAGTTCTAGCGCCCCAGTTTATAGTGGGACTATTGATTGCACTATTAACTTTTACAAGTAACCCCAAAGATATCAGGAATAAGGACGGGTTAATTAATTGTTTGTAACTACATAGCCAAGAAGTTGGCTGTCATGTCGGTTTACCATCGGCATCGTGTCTTTGACTCAAGTTGTCCACAGGAAAAAATCACCTATCTTTAATTAACCGACAAAAGAGTCAAATGCAATGCAATCATTTCCAATTCATTGCCACTGTTTACAATTACAGTTTGTTTTTTAAGTTAAAATCCGCCCATACATGTGGTCCATTTGATGAATTAAAAGTAAGGCAGTGTATATTTTGCCGGAGACGGCAAACCTTTAGTAAACGTTAGTTTGCCAGATATGCACTGAACATGCGCAGTTACTGTTTTTTTGTACTTAAACATTTTGCGGTGACAAGTTTTAGTCTGGCTCCATGCCAAAATTATCGTTGTTACCTCGTATTCACAAGATGGGATTCAGACCATTTTATAATTTCGGACTTTATTTCCCTTTTAAAAAAAATCCTCCAGAGCCACAAATCTGAAAAAGAAAATGTAATACTCTGCAAAAAATGTTTGAGACATGTTAAAATAATAAAAGAAGAATATTTTTATTTATTTGGGGATGAGAAAAAAAAACCTTAAAAATGTGGTGTGGTCGGAATCGAACGCGAGTCATCCCGCTTACTAGAGCCTTTGCTTAAGGCATTACACCAAACGTGCTACATAACTTTTGGTGGGAATTTTAATACATGTTATAATTCAGCCCTATTTTAAAGAGTACAGCGCCCTCTGTTGATATGGATTGCCGCCGGCAAACCTTTAGTAATCGTTAGTTTGCCGTCATTACCTCCGGCAAAATATCCACTAGGCCCTACCTAAAAGTAACAAAAACTAAAGTAAGTCAAAATATGTTAACTCACTAGAGGGCGCCCTCGTCCAGTAAAAGGGCGCTAGCCTAGGGCCCTAACAAATGTGCAGAGAAAAATCCGACAAAACAAACAGACAACAAAATCTTAACTTACCAGTTTTATTCTTTAAGCAGACATTAACTTTTTAAAATATTCAATATACCTATCAAACTTTAATACTGTTGCAAATTAGTCCAAAATACAATCATAACAAACACTTATTCGATCACGCTGTGCCGATCATCGCTGTGGTACACATCCAGTTTCCAAGGAGTCAGGCCGAAACTCTGTATCAACTTATTGACCATTGGCTGAATAATAAAGTGTGTCAGCTAAATAACCAATCAAAACATTTGAAAGAAAATAGACACTTCAGGAGCACCACTTTCAAACTTTATCTTTGAATATTGCATAAGTATTCAGTTTAAAGTATAAAGTTTAGGACAGTGAATACATATTATTTTTTTCTTTAAAATCATATTTAAAACAGGCATTAAATTAATTTATTTTGTCTATTTTAGTCATAATTATTCCTTTTATTATTTTTGTATTTTGTCCAAAGAAGGTCTGGTGAAAAAAATACTCAATGCAGAATGCAACATAATCGTAAAGGTTACCAGACAACACATCGCTGCAACGATTTCAATGGTAACTCACCACTTGAGTTACCGTAACACTAGCGCAGAAATTGTCAGGGTACCAAGGAAACTTGACAGTGTACACGGCGCGGCAATCGTGAAATAGCGAACAGAAATTATTTTACTTTTCTCTAGATTTCGGCCTACAACAAGCACCATGAAGATCGAAGAAGTAAAAAGTACAACCAAAACTCAAAGAATAGCTAGTCACAGCCACGTCAAAGGACTTGGGCTAGATGATGCTGGAAATGCCATTACAGCAGCTGCCGGTTTGGTCGGTCAAGAACTTGCACGTGAGGTATGCCATGGCCACCGAATGTTGGACAACTCGTACCCGAGACAACTCGTACCCGGGACAACTCGTACCCGGGACAACTCGTACCCGGGACAACTCGTACCCGGGACAACTCGTACCCGGGACAACTCGTACCCGGGACAACTCGTACCCGTCTGAAAATAAAACACTGTGCAGCGTACTCGTATCTGTGCCTTACTTGTGCCGACTGTTATCATACTTATTTTCAACCAATTATTATTCAATTATTTTATTTCCGTTTTTCATTTTCAAATAGAGAAGAAGTTTTTCATTTAAATAGGTCTCTCTGTTGTTGGCCTGAAGATTTTTTTTTTTTTAATACTGTTTTATTTTCATTCCGTTTCATTCAGAAACTCTGATGCAATCTCTTTTTGGGAATTATGTGGATAGAGACTAGAATAAACCGATGAAGACTTTGCAGGCTTCTGCAGCGATGGAGAAGAATAGCATACCTGAAAATTAATGTCATAAAAAGTGTAGAAGGTGACATATGTAACATTTTTATAATTTTAATGAATCAGTCCACTTATTTTAGAAATAAGTTTTCGCAATAAATGAAGATCAAATAAGTTACGAAGCTCATGATTGCTATAGCTCCTTCCGCGAATTCCGCGAACTCCGCGATCATCGGCCAGCTGCCAGAATCTCTCCAGAACAATCTCTTGCTTGTCACCACTGGCAATTCCCCAAAACTCAACGGCTTTTGGTTTTCCACATCTTCGGATTTGTCAATTACATCTAACTAAAAAGGAACAGAAAAGTAAATGGTAAGAAAAGTACAAGGTACGAGTCGTCCCGGGTACGAGTTGTCCCGGGTACGAGTCGTCTCGGGTACGAGTTGTCCCGGGTCACAAATTTGGGGTGCGAGTCGTCCCGGGTACGAGTTGTCCCGGGTACGAGTTGTCCCGATACCTGGCCACCGGCCACACATGACACACAGCCTGCTTCTGGTCAACTCGCCCCTGACCAACTCGCCCCCTAGCCAACTTTCCCCCTGGCCAGAGCCCCTGCCTTACAAATACAATGTTTAATGGAAAAATTCGGCTATCCGATCACCACTTTTTTCAATTTATTTTCTAGCGCCAAAAGTTACCTCTTTAAGTTTTATGGTTATTCCCTCCACTTTCCCTCCTCTACTCTCACCCCCCCTTTCCTTAATTTCTATTTATCAATCAGTCGCTCACTTCATCGAGATTCGAACCTCGGACGCTTGCTTGATACACGAGTCTCTTAACCGCTAGGCCGCGCACGATCGCTGTTGCAATGATCAATCTTTGGACGTATTTGAAGTATCCATTGAAATAAACTAAATATTCATGAGAAAATAAATATTCATACTCATGATAATGACGTAGTGCACTATCATTGGCCGGCTCATGCGACGTCATGGTTATCGATGTCATGCGTATAACGTACCGCTGTTCCAGACACTTCAATCAGTTTTGACCGGCTGCTTCAACTCAGATCTGCACTACATGTGCATCCAAAATGTGCTCTAAAAACACATTTTAACTAATTTTTTTCTCGCATGTCCGCTGTTTCCTGGATTCCTCTTGGTTGAAATCACAAGGTGATGTGAAAATGTATTTGTTTGGCGGCAGGTAAGTGGTGATCGGGTATGGATTTTTTCCCCTATTCTGATTTGTGGCTTAAGTTTGAGGATTGTTTTAAGGCAAATAAAGTCCGAAATTTTTACCGAATTTATTCATGTTTTAACCAATTCTATTCCTGTTTAATTCATTAATAGGCAGCAGGAGTCATCGTGGAGTTGATCAGGTCTAAGAAGATGGCAGGTCGGGCTGTTCTTCTCGCTGGTCCCCCAGGCACGGGCAAGACAGCCCTCGCCTTAGCCATAGCCCAGGAGCTAGGCAGCAAAGTGCCTTTCTGTCCCATGGTGGGTAGCGAGGTCTTCTCCACTGAGATCAAGAAGACGGAGGTGCTGATGGAGAACTTCAGGCGAGCCATCGGTAAGAGACACAGGCCCTAACCCCCTAGTAGTTCCCCAGGACTGCCCCGGTAAATCCAACAGAGTCGACGGTTACTCATATGAGTTTCCTGCTCAATCCAACACAGTCCTACACAACCCAACTTGCCAAGTTGTTGGGTACCTGAACATATAAAATGACTGGCATGCACAATTCAAGAGCCTTATTTTTCTGTTGTCTGCTGGATCAAACAGAGTCCAACTTGGCGTAACTTACCAGTACCCAACAGAACCCAACTCTGGGTGTTTTCAGTTGCCTGCTGAATCCAACAGATTTCAATAGGAAGGGGTTTACTGCTCAATCCAACAGGAACCAGCGGTTATCTAAAATAGTTGGATCCTGTTGGATTGAGCAGGGTTAGTGTTAATAGTCCATGGCTGCATTTTGGCATTTTTCCCCCCAAATGCAGTCGGTCCATGGTAAATGTCAAGCCCTTGTGGCAGTAGAAGGCAATATCAACAAGATGAATCAAACCTAGCTGTCCGTTGGCACCCAGAGCAGGGCAAATCTTATAATGCATCACGTGTACTTACATGTATTAGCTTGAGTATATTAGCTCGAGTATATTGTGGGTGCCAACATTCCCACTGCTGGACTTGATCCAGACAGGGCTCTGGAGTGCTCTGAAACGTGCAGAACTAAATCAGGCCCACTTTACTCACAGTTTAGCCAGCAAATTTCTCCAAAAATTGCACTGGGGCAAAGAACATGTCCTCAGTATTTCACCAACCAAGTTTGCAGACTCAATTCAATTTTTAAAGGAGACTTTTCTTCAACATTTTGCACATGAGAGGGAAGTCAAGTGATTCCAAAATGGGACTAAAGACTAGACTGGCACATGTCCAATCATGGTCCAACTATTTGGAAAGACTGACCTCTTCATTCAGTCTCAATAGTCTGGTGGCTTTACTATGGAGAAATGTGTAGTACATTGAGACTAGTTCCCGCTTCATGCCACATGTTTCTTAAATTCTGTTAGCATGGTTGACTGATGCAGTACTGAAAGACTGGTTGTTTTAGGTGCGAGTCTATTTTCTTGTTTTGCATGTTTTCAATACCTTATGTTTTGGTACTCTCATACACAGTATTGAGAGTCCCAAATTTTCGGACTAGACTTGATTCATCTTCAAATTAGGTTTTTATAAACACTTGTGTACTCAGTGTGTTACCTCCCGAGTGAAAGTTGGAAAAATCACACGGGTGGGACTCGAACCCACGACCTCCTGCTTTCTAGTGCAGATGTCTTACCACTCGACCACCAAGCTAACGTGATCGGTTGGCCGGTTCAAATCTGATGTACATTGTACATAGCGACGGGTACCGCATTAACTTCATATGAATCGATTCATCTTGGTAATTCAGTACAAACAAATCCACTTTTCTTGGGAAATCACAGCACACCGGGTGCCACGATTTCACAGAAATGCTTGAGACTATTATTCACTTACAATCAAGTCAGGTATTTCATTATAATATGGTAACTTTATTTTGTTATGTTTGCAAAATGTTGTGTATTGCCTGTAATAGGTACATTTGTTTTCAGTGGTTTTCTTTTTAAATTGCCTCCAGGTCTTCGGATCAAAGAGGTGAAGGAAGTGTATGAAGGAGAGGTGACTGAGTTGACACCATGCGAGACAGAGAACCCAATGGGAGGTAGGGAACCCAGGATATTCATTATTTATTAACACTAGTACAGGGCCCGTCAAAATGTGCCTGTTCGGAAGGGGCAGAGAACTGCTCATACAAACAACGCACCCGATTCAATGGTGTTGTTTACACAGGTTGAACGCACACTCACAGGTTAAACGCACATTTTTTACATGTGGACAGACACAAAGAGATTCCTCGAATCATAGTAGGAAAACATGAGGAAGAAAAGTGTGCTATTGCTTATTTACCCATTGTTGGTGATGGAATAGCCCAATAATCGACGTACAGACAGACAGACACACAGAGATTCCTGTAATTATAGTATAGATAATATAAAAATAATTTGTCTAGTTTAAAGTCAAAACTTCCGCGGAACAAAGTTTTTATTTTGGATAGCTTTGCACCTCTCGCACCTCAAAAAGATCCACTTGAATAATTGTTGGGAATAATAGTTTTTGTTTAAAGTTGAACAGTATTTGTTCCATTTCATAATTAAACATTGGCACATTTTTGTGTATGTGTGATACCTATAGGACTTTAACCCTAACTCCCTAAGCCTTTTTGCTAGGATGTAGCCTCAATCCTGCAAAATCTTCCAATTGGCCTCATTGAAAAATAGCATATAGCCTCAATCCTGCAAATTCCTCCATAATTTCTTGAATATGGTCCATGGAGAGGTGACCACTGCCTGAATCCTGCAAAATCCTGCGGCAGTGACTGTCAATATGTTGAGGCTTGGCCAGTGACATCCTGGAGCAGTACGGAGGATTTCAAGCATTATCCAGGCCTATATTTTATTCAGCCTGAGCAAAAACAACACAAGGTTCAGCCCAAGACCTCGACAAAGTGCATCCTATGAAATCAGTAACGCACTTTTGCTATGTAACCTCAATCCTCCAAATTCTTCCACTTTGGCAAAGAGGATTTTTTAAGGACTCAGTGCGGTTAGGGTTAAAAATAAAAACTTTTGTAATTTTAAACAATATATTAATTTAAAACAGTAGCAATTTCAAAGAGCTACTTTGGGGGTGAAGTTAGATTATAAGCATGTTCAGAGCGTCTTTCAAATACAGAAATAGCATTTGGAGAGCAGCTTGAACTGAATATCTTGCATACATTGGCTCTTCCGCTCCGCATTTACAGGCTATGGCAAGACGGTCAGTCACGTCGTCATCGGCCTGAAGACAGCCAAAGGCACCAAGCAGCTGAAGCTGGACCCGTCCATCTATGAGAGTCTACAGAAGGAGAAGGCTGAAGTGGGCGACGTCATCTACATCGAGGCAAACAGTGGCGCAGTCAAGGTAAAGTCAAGTCTCTCTCATTAATTTGGCCAAACTGACAAGCTTTCAACTTGGCTGTTTGGCCTGTAACTGCCAGTGACATTCTGTTTAGTTCAGTGATGCGACTGTAGGCTAACAACATAATAACACCCACACAATGACCAACTCAAACCCTCTTGTGGATCGTGTAAGAACTCGGCACCTCAAAGTCCTTGGGAACATACTCCGCATGCCAGACTATGAGCCTGCAAAGGTGTACGCCCTTTATACCTTACCCCAGGGAAGAAAGAGACCAGGAAGACAACGCACATCATACCTAACTTACATTCAATTCTTGCCTGGAGATAGTGATGGCATGCTGCGACCAGACCAAATTGCAACACTTGCCCATGATCGCAGTACAGTGGAACGTAGCTATACCGAACACCGCTATACCGAACATTTGGCTATGCTGAACATCATCCTTGGCTCATGATTTCAGTGTACAAAATGTAACGAATATTGTTGTTGAAAAATTTCAACAGAAGAGCAAAAAGTGGCTATTATTTCCCCAAGGAATAGAAGGGGAAAGCCACCCATTGCTGTAGGTAGTAAGCTCAAATCTGTGTAATTTCATTATTCAATAGTCAACACATTTCCAAGTCATTTTTCAGTAACTAGCAGTACCAGGGCGTGCAGGGTGAAGTTATGAAGGGCGCTATTTATTGAAAAATGAGTACCGGAGCACCAGCAACTTAAAATCGCTATACCGAACAATCACTATTACGAACAATTTTTGTGGATCCCGCGATGCTCGTTATAGCGGCGTTCCACTGTAAATGAAAGAAGCTTGTAGTTGACTGCTCCGCAGCCGAAGGATGATGATGAATAACATGAAATAAAATTTGTTGTCGTGGGTTTTAGAATGTGCTTTTATGGGCATTTTTGAAACCAGTTACTCAGTTTGTATGATTGGCTTGAGATTCTGCTTGCATTTACTCTTGCACTTTCTCAAAGGAAACAATCTGTTTCAAAAAGTATTTTGTTATTTAAAGCTACAGTTCATCATTTGCAGCTATCCAAAAAGTAACTGACGTAATTATTGTTGAAAAAACATACTTGGTTGAAAGATAGAAAGGGGATTAAACTCCCTGTGAAAGAATTCTTTCTGGCATGATGTCATTTTGAAGAAATCAACGAAAGAAGGCCTTTCCAATGATGCGTCTAAGGACGCATTGTTGGAAATTTCCTTTAGTAGTTCGTTCTTTTATTCGGCGAAGTACGCAAGAGTTGACACGACGCACACGTGCACGCTTTGGCTATAATTCATCGGATCAGTGCGTGACATCGAGTAGCTGCAATCGGCTCAGTGAGAACATGTCTCAGACGCTGAATTCAGGCCCAATTTAAAACATGATTCAGCAACTTATGATTTGAAATCGAGATCTTAGAATATTGTTTTTCGCGGAATCTACAGCTGAAGCTGAGCTGAAACTTCATCAGGTTAGTTGTTCACCCTTCTTTATATTTTTAGCACGTTTGTTGCTTCAAATGAACAAAATGCACAAACTACAAATGATGGACTGTACCTTTAATTGTCAAACTGAAAAAAAAGGTAACTAAATACTAATGCAGTAATTGTTGCAGGCTTATTTTTTTTGACCGAGTCTCCTATTTGAATAATGTATTGGCCACTTGCCCTTTCTGTTCTGCAGAGGCAAGGGCGTTCAGACACCTACGCCACAGAGTTTGACCTTGAAGCCGAGGAATACGTACCCCTTCCCAAAGGAGATGTCCACAAGAAGAAGGAGATCATCCAAGACGTGACCTTACATGACCTGGATGTGGCCAATGCTAGACCGCAGGTATGATAATGAGTCTTGGAAAAAGTTTCCCGTGGATCGTCCATAAGTACGGCAGTAAAAATATCTGCGCGTACATGTATTTACAACCTTGAGTGATTCTATGCCGATTTGGAAGTCAGCTGCCACGCTGTCAACTTGTCAAGTGGTCAAACCCCAAACGAGGGATAATCTGTATTCTCTTCCGTCAGCTTCTTTTAAAGGACCCTACTTCTGTTTTGTCTCTTTGTTGTCGTTAGGGAGGGCAAGACATCATGTCCATGATGGGCCAGCTCATGAAACCCAAGAAGACAGAAATTACAGACAAGCTGCGGAAAGAGATCAACAAGGTCGTCAACAAGTACATTGATCAGGTAAGAATCTAGTGAATAGTGTACAAATATTGGCTGCATCAAGTGGTGTATAGTACACATATATTGACTGCTTCAGTGGTGTATAATACACATATATTGACTGCTTCAGTGGTGTATAGTACACAAATAGTGACTGCTTCTGTGGTGTATAGTACACATTTATTGACTGCTTCAGTGTTGTATAATACACATATATTGACTGCATCAGTGGTGTATAGTACACATATATTGACTGCATCAGTGGTGTATAGTTCACATATATTGACTGCTTCAGTGGTGTATAGTACACAAATATTGACTGCTTCAGTGGTGTATAGTACACAAATATTGACTGCTTCAGTGGTGTATAGTACACAAATATTGACTGCTTCAATGTATATACTCGGTATCGTCCGAGGGGTTGTGAGCTAATTCACAAACTAACTTCCGTTAAACGCAAAATATAATTAATTTACATCTTTGATATGCAAAATTCAATCACACAAAAGATGGTTTGAAGAGTTAAAGGAATTGTATCCCATTTGCACTTGTAATTTTATATTCCGGTCTGATGTAGAGGGCTACGTAACTAAAGTATTAAACCAAGCATATGCACAAACTCAATAGCTGGCTCGCACCCGTTAATAGATTTTTCCGACGATCCCCTTTTCTTGAAGATGTCAGCACACCAGGTGCAACGATCTCACAGAATGCTTCATACTATTATTAACTTTTAACCACTTGACGACAGGTTATTTTCTGCTGAAACACACCATTTTTGAAAAAAGACAATATGCACAGTCAAAGACCACAAATACTGACTCTTAGGAGTCATTTATACAATATACTTCTCACTGTAACTCATATTTTGCAACACACTGAGACCCCGCCAAGGAGCGATATTTGCTACGACGGCAGGCCATGTACAGCGGCCAAGTTCAACACATAGTGTGTAAAAACAATGGGAACCACTACCGTGTTTACACGTCCACTGCCTGAGACTCGGGCAAAAACTTGACGATTTAACCTGGCACCCGCCCCTGTGAATATACATTGCCAAATCATTAACACATCCTCCAGTGTTACTGGTTAATTAAGTAGATGATTTCAAAATAGTTTGGCAGTTTCGTTTTTGAATGTTTGCATATGATATACAATACCTATAAAGACAAGGAGGTTTAATTCGTTTGCTACCAGGGTGTGGCTGAGCTTGTCCCAGGTGTACTGTTCATCGACGAGGTTCACATGTTGGACATTGAGACCTTCACCTACCTACACAGAGCCCTGGAGTCTTCCCTCTCACCCATCGTCATCTTTGCCACCAACAGAGGCAAATGCACAATCAGGTATTAAACACACTATTCAGAGCTACATCTTTATCTATTGTTAGCTTGTTCCCACATGGTTGTAATAAGCCAGTTTGGTATTCCAAAATATCTGGTGCACAGCAAGATTCGATGATTTTTTTTTTGGGGGGGGGGGATAACTGCGACAGACAAATGCACACAAGGCTATGGGGGACGTGGTAACCAAACCTGCATTCTGTGAAAGTTTTGTGTAATCGAAAAAGATGGAAATTTCGTTCCCACAAAAGTTTTTGACACACGAGACACCTAAAAACACTTTGCTGTCCAAAGGTTTTTTGCAAAATGTTAAACTTTAGAACACGATGATCTCTTCAATTTTGCTGGTACCCCGCTATGCTTTTGCATGCATACGATGAGATTTTTACCCGAAAGAGAAATTCGGCAAATCTTGATGTGCACATGCGCAGTTGGAATACCGAAGTCGCTTATTGTCGAAGACTTCGGGCATGCAACTTTTCCTCAGACCAGCAGGTTTCCCACTTTTTCACTTCACACTTTGCCTTTAAACACTAAAATTTTACGTCTCAAAAGTGCTTCATGAGACCACTTCTCTGAAGCCGAAATTAACGCAATCTGGTCTCTACCCTCCCAGCTGCCCATTTATACACACGGGTGGAGCCAGGCGATTGTAGTGAAGTGTCTTGCCCAAGAACACAAGCACCATGTTCACCGTCATAGTTTTAGCCCACGTACCATGACACATGGGTCAAACACTTTATCTATTAGACCACGGCGCGTGTCCATGGCAGTACTATTAACCTCAATCTCGCATTCAGGGATTGAATATTACTGAAGCAGAGGGTGAACCTAAATTGAACCAGGGGCCTTAAAAAATTCCCAAATCTAAAGCCTGCGACACAGCCAAGGGTTGGAACCTCCAAAGCCTTCAGTGATAATGGACCGTTGCAGAATTGGCCATAAGCCCCGCCTTCCAGTGATTTGTGTACATGCTTGTGCTCAGTTTGACAGAGGTACTGTGGTCACCTGACCAGAAGTCGCTGTCTTATTGGTCAATGCACTGTTTGAGTGACAGGCAGGAATGGACTGTTTGTAATCCCGCCCACATTTTGTTACTATCTTTGCAGAGGTACTGAGGATGTGATCGCACCGCATGGTATTCCCCTGGATCTGTTAGATAGAGTCATGATCATCAGAACCCTGCCTTACACACAGGATGAAATGATGCAGGTAGGATACACACCTAGTCAACCAACAATTGATGCTTCACGTGGTACAGTAAAACAACATCCGCAGGAAACTTGTGGAGTTTTCTAGAATGCCCCACAGATCACACTCTCGGGAAGAATGTAGTATCCTAACACCACTTCTTTGGTCGTGTGCTCGCACACCAATACACTTAGCTTTCAAAGATGTGAATGCGGTACAGCCGTGCGGAACTCTTAAAGAGGTTGTGGAATGCTCGAAGACGTTTCCGTCATTTTTCGGGTATATGTAGCCTAAGGTGTGATGAAATAAAAACGACTATTGTGTCTGTCGTGAAATGAGTACAAAAGGTACTTATGAGAGCTGTTTTTCAGGTCCTGTTTCGACCCGAACGTGCAATTTGTGTAAAAGTCATCGTTAAGGGCAGCAAACAAAACATAGTAAATCGTGACGTAATAAACAGGACTCGTTTATACTACGCTGCATCGGGAGTCCTGTTTATTACGTCACGATTTACTATGTTTTGTTTGATGCCCCCTGCGAGGACTTTTACACAAATTGCACGTTCGGGTCAAAACAGGACCTGAAAAACAGCTCTCAATTTCATGACAGACACAATAGTCGTTTTTATTTCATCACACCTTTAGGCTACATATACCCGAAAAATGACGGAAATGTCTTCGAGCATTCCACAACCTCTTTAAGTTTGATCGAGTGAACGTAGTACGAGTCGAGCACAATGACAACTAGTAATACGTAACCATTGGCTCATGAGCAACAATCAAACCCGTGGAAACAGATTTCCTACTACTGGCCAGGAATTTTTCTTTTCTCTCCGTGCGCACAACACAAGTATTGTTCTGGCCTGCGAAATAATGGAACGCTGGAGTTTATTTCCCAAAATTGAAAAAGCCGGAATTCCAGCCAAAGGCAAAAGATTGGCATCCCAGCTTTGTGTATGTGTTTTCTGAATGGAAGCAAACGGATTAGATACTGTAGAACTAACGAATCAGTCTCGTAACTTTTGGTGTGTTTTTGTCTGTAGATTCTGAAGATCAGGGCTGAGACGGAGGGCCTGCTCATTGAAGACGAATCACTCAACAAACTGGCTGAAATTGGCAGCAAGACGACGTTAAGGTACCATTCAAATTCAGTCTTTTCTCTGGCCTTTAACCGCCTATTGCACAATTATGGAGGTTGGCTAACTTCTCCTGAAGCACTGTTTAACAAGAGCGCGGTTTTTCGAGGAACAAACTTGTAAATTCACCGTTGGGTAAAAGGTAGTCACTTTTCTATCATTCAAAAAGTACATGTTAACAATGAACAAATTGTTGGATTAACCCTAACTCCCTAGAGTCTTGTACTAAGCACTGGACCAAGTCCGCCAAAATCCATCACTGACCCTGCTTCACTTAATGCCTTAGGACCAAATCCGCTGAAATCCACCACAAGACCAGCGCTACTATAGGTGGATTTTGATGGACTTGGTACAGATGGCTTGTCTGCCAAAATGCCCCCCCCCCCCCCCAATTGGGGGGTTGGATTTTGATAGAGTTGGGAAGGTTAGGGGTAATAAAATAGTTGCTAAATCTAAATATTTTGAAAGGTAGCTTCAATATGTGGAACTCTGCACAGCATCGTTACAACACCTTATTTTTTTCCCCCAAATATGGCCCTATTCAAATGCTTATGTTTATTCATGATGTCTCTTGTCTTTAGGTACGCCGCCCAGCTGCTGACGCCCAGCAGCATCTTGGCCCGCATCAACGGCAAAGACGCCATCAACACGGAGGAGATTGAGGAGATCAGCGGTCTGTTCTACGACGCCAAGTCCTCCGCCAAGATCCTCGCTGAGGGCGGGGACAAGTTTATGAAATGATTGCGCCCATTAGACCGCCACCCGTTTCTGACTACCGTTCCCGAATTGCACCAACCCAAATTACTTCCTGGGGAGTCGGGTTGGCGCCATGGTTCTATCCTAGCCTTCCACCTCTATGGCCCGGGTTCGATTCCTGCCCTGGTCCACATGTGAATTCGGTTTTCAGTCCCAACCGGATTCTGTGGATTTTCCCCAAAAATACTCTTCTGGGGTTTTCCTCCCAACTCTAAAATTGTAATTTCTTCTCATTGTCTTCTCTCTACCAGTTTTTTTTTTTTTTCAGGCTTGCGAGCTACAGTACCTAGGGCGCTTTTGAGTAATCCTTGGTTTCATTACCAGAAGTAAAACATAAAATTTGCCCGCCTGAAACCAAAATATTTAGGGTCGACCCGAGTCTCTTCTCATGCTATTTCGTTTGATGCATCTTTTGGAGGCCAGTCTAAAATGGTAAAGATGACTTTCATGTCCTGACAGCTGGTTTTTGGTTGGCTCTTGGGCAATTTCCAAAATGACCCTTGAAGAAATGTTTCTGTGGAGAAAGTATTCACGTGATTTGGCCTCCCCACCCCTCTTATAACAGTGTATAAGATGCCACACTGGTCTTACTTGCTCTAATTTTCCTTTTGCAACAATGAGCTACAGTTATTTATAGGATGAAATAAGCTAAGTTTTGTTAAAATCCTGACTCCATATATGTTACAGGTGATGTACAATATGGAGTTGTCTGTAATTGAACGATGGACTGAAATCATTGCATTTCCAATGGGCCTTATTCACAAGTCGGCCATGTTGAATTGAAAGTGAGGTAAAATGTTCATTTTTGGAACTCACAAAGAGAAATAAAAGCAAGTACTTTACTAAATAATTCAAGTCTGCTTAAACGAATAATTTAAAATTTGTAATTAAACATTACCTAATGTTTTAAGCCAGATTTTAAAGAAAACAAAAGTAAAATAAGGCTGCCTAAATAGTCTGGCGCCATCCCATTCAACAGTTAACAATTTATGAAATACATTCAGGGAACATGACAATAATGGCTGCCTAGTGAATAAGGTCAATTAAATTCTTACCTGGAGAGCAATTTGTGTGCAGCACTCTTGTAGTGTAATCCGACAAACAAAAGTAGAAGCCATTTTTGAGGTGGCACCACATTGGCGCACATGCCACATGCGTTCTTAAAGACGAGGCGCACATGCATTTCAGTAAACCTATTTGTCGAAGGAGCCCGGAGTGCGTGCATACTACCCGAGCCTGACTCGCGCGGGGCTAGTGCCACTGAAGAAAATGGATGCCGTCGCTGTACACCAATCCGAGCACACTGTCATTGTTCATTCATTTCATGGAGGCCCCCTCCAATGGCGACAGCATTGTGCTAGCTATTGTACAAAGCTACTGCCCCGTGATGGATTATCTGAACAATAGCTGGCACAATGCTTTCGCCATTGAAGGGGGCCCCGTGAATGGACATTGATAGTGTGCTCTGATTGGTCCATGCATGTTTCATACTCGTGTACCCTTGAATGTAAAAGTACTTGTTTGCGTAAGGGCACAGTGGTTCATGTTGTGTATAAAGTCATGAATTTCTTAGCTTTCAAGTGTTGTTTTTTGCTATGATTCTTTTAATAAAACAAGTGTTTGGAAACCAAAATGTGTAAAGAGTTTTACTACTGATAGATTTCTTCATTGATGTAGGTAGCATGGGTGCGCATTGGAACCAGGTACCCGAGTACCTGACCGCTGATGTCAGGAACCGGTTCCAGATAATAGGATCGGGTGCCCGTAACCAACTTTACAAATTACTTAATAACTTCTCAGACAATGAAAAAGTATGATTTTGAATGCCATTTGTGGGGAGTTTCGATAAATGAAAACCAGGCTACATGGAAAACCAATACAGATTCCATGTTAATGTGCATTTTAGTGCGCGACAGATGAAGCTCGTGAAAGTTGCAGTTTACACCGTAAAGCTATAAAACCCTTCAGACAACTTCCGGGATTGAAATTTTGGGGTTGGGTTGGGTTTCTTTTACGGGTACCTGGGTACCCGTGGTTTACTACAGTAGGGTTCCCAGTTCCCGTACTACCCGCAAATGCGCACCACTACTAGGAAGTATCAATTGTGGATACAAAAGGGAGATTACAATGACGTATTTTTCTGTTCGAAGAACTCAATTAATTTTTTTTTTATTTTGACAACTGATATGTTGCAGCTATATTGCAGGGCAATCAAAATTGCCGAGTGCAACAACTGATGCAAGGTTACCTAAAAAAGAAAAGTGAAATCTTTCAACCCATTTTGTACTGCCCCGATTATTACTCCTTGTGGCCCCCCCCCCTCCCAAAAAACTGACAAGCCTGAGCACTGAATGATTTTATGGATTTTTCAGTGAATAAACATTAACCCTAACTCCCTCGGCCTTTTTGCTAGGATGTAGCCACAATCCTGCAAAATCCTCCAATTCGTGTCATGGAAAAATAGCATATAGCCTCAATCCTGCAAGTTCCTCCATTATTTCTTTAATATGGTCCTTGAAGAGGTGACCACTGCCTGAGTCCTGCAAAATCCTGCAGTAGTGACTCAATATGTTGAGGCTTGGCCGGTGACATCCTGGAGCAGTACGGAGGATTTCAAGCATAATCCAGGGCTACATTTATGCATGGCTGAGCAAACACAACACAAGGTCTTGCCCAAGACCGTGACAAAGTGTCTCCTAAGAAATCAGCAACGCACTTTTGCCATGTAACCTCAATCCTCCAAATTCCTCCACTTTGGCAAAGAGGATTTTGAAGGATTCAGGGCGGTTGGGCTTAATAATGTAATACAATGTGGTACAGGTGCTAATGTGTTTAGGGAATAATTGTGTGTTTGGGAGGTATTAAACACAAGGTTTAAGACGGTTGGAGTCTGGAATGCTGATAATGACCTGAGCTGAAGGCAAGGGTAATTATAGTCGGGCAGATTGGTGCACAATGTGAAGGAATTGTTCATTTGACGATTAAAGCATGAAATTTAGCACACAGTCAGAGTGCACAGTAAGACATGGAAAAGATATTTGGCTATAGGGCCTTCGAAGAGTTATCCTTGGAAAAAAATATAGAGTAACATGCAATGGCCGCCATTTTGAAAACTCTGAAGATGTCTTGTTATCCTTTTTGAAAAAGCAAAAAAATTAACTTTCCATCAACAGTTTTACTTCATGTTTTTCGAAACACCCCTCTGGTTGCATAACGGATGTGTCCAGTATTAAACAACTCCTTTTACGGAAATTGGCGCGTGTGACACGGTTACTGCGCGATGTCGCGCAGATGCAACTATGGCGAGTGCGTTGTGAATTTAGGACATGTACATGTATGAAATACTGACTCACTGGTAGTATTGTGCATGCCTACGAGAGGATTGTGAATGTTTGATCAATGAAACGGTAAAAGGCACTGGATTTCATACATGTACTAGGAGTCCAAATTTTATGTGATGCTTGAAAAGTGTTAAAGACCAGCCAGCCATGTCTTTATCATTTTAAGACTGGCCACGTGACGGGCTCTCAGCCAATGGGAATGGGTAAACTGTCTTCGGCATTTATGAATGGTGATTGAAATGCACCAATAAATAGCAAACACTAGAGATATCTATCATTTGAGACCATTTTTTGCAACACTCCACCCTGTGATAATAAGCACACTATGTACACGGTACAGAAGTTTCAACAAGTAACATTTATTTGTATTCTGCAAGATGATTTTTAAAAATGAAAATTACACATCTTGTCCGACCTAATTGCGTGTAATCGTGCTATAAACTTGAACCCAATAAAGAAAATTCATTTCCCCCCCCAAGGTCTTGACCTAAAATACAAATACATGACATAAAACACTGAAGATGTACAAATAAATAACGGTTATTTCAAAGTCTGGATATAAACAAGCACAGTAATGGACACGCAACTAGGGAAGTCCCATCGTGTGATCTTTCAAACTTAACAATTTCAAAAGGCAGATTTGATTGTTTTAAAAATAATAATCATAAAATTTCAAGACAATCTCACTTGTGTTCAGAAAATAACAAGTCGGTTTTAGGGCACACATTTTTGATCAATCGTTCACTTTTAGCTAATTTATCTATACTTGCCCCCAATATTCCTTGTTTTGACTATAAATACTTGTACTGGACAAGTTCCCACTTAATTCCTGCGTCTTCCATGTTTCCCTTGACTTTTGCTTCAGTCAACAAGAACATGTAACCCCTCGGATCTCAAAAACATGACCAACATCACAATAATTACATGTAACCCTCTCATTAATAACCAATTTCATTTAAAAACAAAAAAGGAGTAACACGATCTAAAAACAAAACTGCAGTGCAGCCATGATCCGACTTAAATATTTCTGGCCCGATTTCATAGCGTTATTAAGCAAACAATTTTTTGCTAACAGAGCTGTTGTGTACTCCAGAGAGACCATAAAGCAGTAAGCACACAAAAGGCATGCTTACTTCAATGGATAAAGTTGCTTAAATCAGTGACGTAACAACAGAAATCTCAGGAAAAAAAAACAGAAAAGAGTGGAATCCCCCTCCCTGCTTACTGTTCAGCAGTGCTATGAAATTGGGCCCAAAATGGTCCAAAGATGTCATTACTTCATCATGTTAATCCCACAAGTACACCGTGCATGTACCTCACCACAGGTTTCTTATGACTTTCAATAAGTTCAACTATTGCCCTTATCAAAAACATAATACGGCCAGTCAACGTCCTCATACAGGAATTTCATATAAAACAATTAAAACAAATGAATGCATCTGTCAGACATCGGGGTCGTACATTAGCAAATCAGTCGAGTACAATCATTTGCAGTGCACATTAGTACTACTTTGTCCAAAAGTCGGTTCATAATTTGGAACTATAGACTCCGTGCATAAGTACTCCTTCAATGGTAACAAAGTTACAGGAGACCACTGGAAGGGACGCTTGAACGAATCATGGAAAACGCCCGATGCTCACATGAAGACAGGTTTGTGCAGATACCAAAAAATTGACACGCTGGAACCGCACAGCCGATTTGAAGGTTTGAATTGGATATGTGGAGTACTGCACGGCACAGTCCTGTCGATACACACCTTGCCAACTCATCCCTGTTTGGTCTCTAAAACAAAACCACAGTGCAATCGGCCGAAGTGCCCATTCCATCTGCTCAACGTTGATTCCCATTTACGACTACTTGAAATTCGTCTCATTCGTCCGATTCCACAGTCACAATTGCACTTTGCTCCGAAGCTGGATCGTTAACCTGTGTTTCCTCTTCACTGGCCATCCTGACCGGATCGCCGTCTAGTAGGCTGTTCAGCGTCAATGGAATGTTCGCGTCTGTGACTGCCTTTTGTGGCAAGGAGAGACTTGAAGACGGTGCGACAGACATAGCGGTAGAGGGAAGGGTAGACAGGTTGGTGGGTGGCCTGGGTGCAAACATGCCTATGGCAGCTAGCGGGACAGTTCCACCCGCCAAAGGATTCCTGTGTAAAGGCAGTCTGTTGTTCGTGGGAGCGATGGAGGCGAGACGGCCAGTCGAGGAGAGAATAGATGCTGTTGTCGGTATGTTAATCATGCCAGAATTGTTGACAAGACTTGCTGGGAGATTTGGAGAGGGTCCCCCAAGGGACACGTTTTGTGTGCCCTGTGGGATCTCCTGCAATCCCAGGTTGTTCAAGGACTGCAGACTCTGTGGGTACCCTAAGTGATGTGCTTGGCCCATGGTACTGCCAGATGAGGTGAACTGGGGCAAACTACCCAAGTCAGTGATATCGCTCTTGTCCAGCAGGTGCTGCAAGTCCAGATTGTTTGAGTTGGCACCATCGCTGCCGTTTGACAGATTGCCGCTGCCCGATTCTGCAGAAACAGATCCTGCACTGCTTCCAATCCCGCTGCTGCCACCAACACTGTTCTTGCTGATCCCGCTGCTGCCACCAACACTTGGAAGCCCGCCCGCACTAGTCGTGATGCCCCACTTGGCCTGGCTCTTTGCAGATGCCAGCGTGGTAAACTGGTTGAAGGGCGGCATTCCTGGATGGGCCTTGCTGGTCTCAGTCCCACTCGGGCCTCGGACGGCCAGGATCCGCCCGTCTGTGGTACGCAGGTACAGGCCCTTCTGAGTCCTGATGAAAGTGACTGTCTGGCCAGCTTTGATGACAGGACCTGAAGTGTGGGTGTTGACACCGGGTAGCACAATATCTGTCATGCAAAGAAAATATTGTCAGTATTAAATTTTCAAAAACTGGTTGCCATTAAGCATTTTGCATATAAATCAGTGCAGTGATACTTACCTCGCCTTCCACCTCTGTGTCCGAGGTTCAAACCCTACCACGCCCAACATGTTGATTGGTTTTCATTTCCTGCCCGATCATGTGTAATTTTCTCCAAATTTCATTCTCAATTTTTCACCCTGCTTCAAAAAATTTGAAAAAATCTCCTTTTTTTCTCTCCATTTCTCCAGAATGCTTAGTATTTTCCGTGCAATTTCGAGAGACCCTTGGTTTTATTACCAATAAAGAACAAAAATAGCTCGTTTTTTACTGAAGGGCAAAAACAAACTGGAACAGGTTAGAAGACTTTTCAATGAAAGAGTCTCTTACCGGTGGTTGCGACAATCTTCTGCATGGAGACTCCTGCTTGCTGGAGTTCGGCCAGTCTCTGCTGGTGACCGGAAGAGACCAATCCGGGGTGGAACCGCGGGACGGGTGTGGACTGGACCGGGTGCATGCCCGCGATTGGACGGGTGTAGAACTGTGGTGCACCCCGGCCGGGCATACTGGGTATGTGGGGAAAAAAAGGGAGGGTGAAAAATCAATGTTTGGTCTAACTGTTAGTGCTTAGCATCAACACAGCAGTTTCCTGTTCTCACCGATGTGAGGAGAAGCTACTCATGACAAAGTGTGCTGCCTAAGGACACAACTTTAAAAATGAAACTCACCCGTACGTCGACTGCATAACACTGCCCCCTCTTGACTGGACATTGGTCATTGGAGGGTTGCCGTCTTTAGGGTAGAAGGCCTGGTAGGAGGGGCGGGCGTAAGACACCCGGAGTTTCTTCTCTTCCTCGTAGCTTTTCTTGGCCATGCGTTTCTCGGCTCTGGTCAGCCGCCGGTCTTTCCTGTCCCAGATGAGGGATTCGGTGCTGAAGGGTGCCTGGGTGAACAAAGCAAACCGTAATCAATACTTGTCTGGTGGAATTTCTGCATCAGGGAACTGTGAATTCAATCTTGGGTTTTGCCCATCACTGACGTAATTTCGTAAACACAATCGAGTATAAAGCTCACAACTCCTTGGACAACACAGAGTATTCACTGTTAACCCTAACTCCCTAGCATCTTTTACTAGGAACTGCACCAAGTCCATCAAAATCCAGCAATCACTGTGCGTCCAATGCAAAACTGTACATGACGTAATGGAATACACCGCTGACGCACTGGTTGACATTCATGGACTTGCTACACATGGCTTTTATCACAATACATGTACTAGGCAAATCAATTAGATACCCCTAGCACAGCTTCGGGCTATTAGGCCCAAGTCCATCATACTCTATCAATATTTAGTCATGCCAGGCCTTCTGGACCAAGTCCCCCAAAATCCACCCAAATGGGGGGATGGATTTTGACGGAGTTGGGGTGGTTAGGGTTAATGAAATTACAAATCGCTGAACGGCAAAACCGATACTGAAATAATATCAACTTGTATAACAACATATGGTTAATTCATAATCAAAACAGAACGATGCGTATTTGTTTGTGAACAAGAAAAATGTATCACAGTGGGATGTGAGTAAATATGCATGTATACCTGATTTTGTGACGTCCACTTTGAGTGGTGTTCAGCGCATGCCTGTGCACGCACTCGTGTTTTACTGTACTCTCGAGGACAAGACTTTGTGTTTCCGTTTGTCCCTACAATGTAATACTCTCCCGTAGAGTAGGCACACATGATCGAGGACAAAGAATCTGTTGTTCTCCCTTTGTCTGTCTGTCCTTGGTGTGTATGTAATACATGTATACACAATGTATACAAGTGTTTTACTTTACGCACACTGCGCTGACACCCAAACGTGACATAACAAAAGATACATGTCCTGAATACTCTGTTAATAACTCCACATTATGGCACAAGTACTTATTTGCACAAGTACAAAGGAAGCTACATTGTACATGTTCCTCAATGAGGGCCTGTCTCAATTCTTATCAGGGACGACTTCCTGAAAAGATGAGGACGTTGTATCGGGTATAAGTTGCAGGATTCTTGGTCAATCAAGAAGTTGCTGATGAAAATTTCATCGGAACATGTCTGGGACAAACGCAGAGCTTCTTCTGGACAAAGTGAATGATTCTACCCAAAACTTGTCTGGAACTCTTCCCTAATAGGAATTGAGACGGGCCCTATTCTACAAGCCTGAGGCACATGTAAACATTCTTCGAAATCCTGAAAATTATTTACAAAATACCAAATCAAACTACTGAACAACCCACCTTACTGAGGAAGTTGCTGTACTCGTTGCAGATGTTGACCAGCATGGCGTCAGTGTACTTGACGGCCACATTGCTGAAGTCCTCATAAGGCGTGTCGTCAGCGTCGGCGTCAAACTCCAGCAAGGATTCAACTTCCTTCTTGGTCAGGTTCATCTCTGGGTTCAGCTCGTCAACGACCCGGTCTGGAACGATCATTCACAAAGAAAATATGGTTTCTATTTTGTTTTTTTCAATTCAAGGAAAGACTCGGGTTGATGCAAAGAAAATACAGTTACGCAGTTGAACAATGAGGATGTAATCGATACACACTACTGCAAAAAGTTTAAGGGTGGTATGCATGGAATTCACTGGAGACTGTAAACTATAACTCAAATTATGTGCTTTGCATAAAAAACAACTAAGTGCCGAGTTCTTGCCTTCAAGTGCCAAATGAGTAGCAAATGGAATATCTACAAATTGTTTCCCATAATGCCTTGTAAGTAAAGCAAGATTTATGCCTCTACTAGCAGTGTTGATGTTGAGATCTCTTTATTGCATTCACAATCCCCATGTAGGCATGCGCAACACTACCAGGGAGTCAGTATTTCACAGTCCTAAATTCACAATGGACCGGCACAGCTGCGTTCTGCGCCACATCCCGCAGTATGTGCAACATCGCACAGTGTGCGTGACGCGCGGGCCCATCTCCATATAAGGAGAGGGGACATACCATAATTTAGCTAGACTTTTGGACCGAAAAGTTTTGATTTTTGAGATGAGGGTCATAATCAACATCCAGAATCCAACCGGTCTTAAACATAGTGTTTAATACTGTCGAACACACGTTTATTCCCTTATCAAAAGAACTTGGCGACTAGTATTTTCAATAACAAAGTAGAGTTATATTTTGATTGAAAACTGATACGGGCTTCGTGCGTGAACAAGATAGCACTTTTTTGACCGATTGCAACAGTCCTGTTGACGGGACACACCGATTGTGCGTACTGTTTACGCGCGAAGTAGGCACGACTTATTTTATTCTGATTGTGGACAAAGTCATGTCATCTTCACACGAACATCAGTGGTCTCTCCCCCCCCCCCCACCCCCCCCCCCCCCCCCCCCCCCCCCCCCCCCACCCTACAGTGGGTACTTGTGCACAGAACCCATTACAGTCAGCATTCTGTTTCTGGTAAAATACCTTATTTCAGAATCAGGTCTTTCAGATCTTACAGAGTTATTCCAGATCCAGTTGTCTTACGAAATGTGTATTTAAACATGTTCAAAGGTACTTTTTATTCAGGGCAAATCAATTTGTACTCCATTAAAAAACTAAGCCTCCGAGATTTTGAACTCCTTCAAATTGGTCTTGACTCTCAAATCTGATACTTTTTTAGTGACAACTAAGAAAAAGGTCTAGTGCACAACACTGTGACAATGGGCCTTATTCACAAGTTGGCCATTTTTGTTGAGTTCCCTGAATGTATTTCACTAATTGTTCACTGTTGAATGGGATGGCGCCAGACTATTTATGCAGGCACAATGCAGCCTTATTTTACTGTAATTTTTTTTTAAATATGGCTTGAAACATTAGGGAATGTTTAATTACAAATTTTAAATTATTCGTTGAAGCAGACTGGAATATATTATACATTAACATGCTTTCATTTCTCTTCGCAAGTTCCAAAATTTAAGATTTTACCTTACTTCCAATTTAATATGGCCAACTTGTGAATAAGGCCCATTGGTAACTATTCTTTAGCGTGAAAATATCAAATGATTAAAAGGAATTTTTTTCCAGTTTTACCTGACATTCCTTTCTTAGAGATCTGTCTGTCGTAGATCTTTTTCTCCAGCGTGTTGTCGGTCACCATCCGGTAGACATGGCATTTCTTCTTCTGGCCGTAGCGGTAGACACGGCAGACGGCCTGCGCGTCGTGGCAGGGGTTCCAGGAGGCGTCCAAGACGATGACGCGATTAGCACCGATCAGGTTGATTCCTAGACAACCGGCCCTGAGAGTGAAAAACAACACAGATTGCTATGCAGTGACCAAGTCAAGGCACTTGTGGTGGATTGTATTTAAGCGCATTACATGTCTGTCCAGTCACAAGTCCGGTCACAAGTAAATCACAAGTCAATTCACAGGTACATCACAAGTCCAGTCACAAGTCCAGTCACAAGTACAGCCACAAGTCCAGTCACAAGTACATCACAAGTCAATTCACAAGTCCAGTCACAAGTACATCACAAGTCAATTCACAGGTACATCACAAGTCCAGTCACAAGTCCAGTCACAAGTACAGCCACAAGTCCAGTCACAAGTACATCACAAGTCAATTCACAGGTACATCACAAGTCCAGTCACAAGTCCAGTCACAAGTACAGCCACAAGTCCAGTCACAAGTACATCACAAGTCAATTCACAAGTCCAGTCACAAGTACATCACAAGTCAATTCACAGGTACATCACAAGTCCAGTCACAAGTCCAGTCACAAGTACAGCCACAAGTCCAGTCACAAGTACATCACAAGTCAATTCACAAGTCTAGTCACAAGTACATCACAAGTACAGCCACAAGTCCAGTCACAAGTACATCACAAGTCAATTCACAGGTACAGTCACAAGTACATCACAAGTACATCACAAGTCGAATCACAAGTACATCACAAGTCAAATCACAAGTACATCACAAGTCCAGTCACAAGTACATCACAAGTCCAGTCACAAGTACATCACAGGTCCAGTCACAAGTCCAGTCACCATCACAAGTACAACACAAATCCTGTCACAAGTACGTCACAAGTCCAGTCACAAGTCCAGTCACAAGTCCAGTCATAGTCCATCACAAGTTCAGTCACAAGTCCAGTCACCGTCACAAGTACAACACAAGTCCTGTCACAAGTACGTCACAAGTCCAGTCACAAGTCCAGTCACAAGTCCAGTCATAGTCCATCACAAGTTCAGTCACAGGTTAATCACAAGTAAATTCGCAAGTCCACTTGTGATGGACTTGCAGGCACTTGTGATGGAATCGCAGGGACTTGCAGGGACTTGTGATGGACTTGCAGGCGCTTGTGATGGACTTGTAGGGACTTGTGATGGAATTGCAGGGACTTGCAGGGACTTGTGATGGACTTGCAGGGACTTGTGATGGACTTGCAGGCACTTGTGATGGAATCGCAGGGACTTGTGATGGACTTGCAGGCGCTTGTGATGGACTTGCAGGGACTTGTGATGGAATCGCAGGGACTTGCAGGGACTTGTGATGGACTTGCAGGGACTTGTGATGGACTTGCAGGCACTTGTGATGGAATCGCAGGGACTTGCAGGGAATTGTGATGGACTTGCAGGGACTTGTGATGGAATCGCAGGGACTTGCAGGGACTTGTGATGGACTTGCAGGGACTTGCAGGGACTTTTGATGGAATTGCAGGGACTTTCAGGGACTTGTGATGGAATTGCAGGGACTTGCAGGGACTTGTGATGGCCTTGCAGGGACTTGTGATGGCCTTGCAGGGACTTTTGATGGATCTCTCTAGGATTAAATTTGCTTAACAGCTCCGCGTAGCAATGACACCTTACCGTGTGGAGAGCAGGAAGAGCCAGAAGTGTTTGTTGTTCTCATGGTTGAACTGATTGATCATCTTCTCCCGATCAGAGGCCGGTGTGCTGCCATCCAGGCCTGAATCAAGAAATCAATGACATTTCTGTTCGTGTTAATACTGCAGTAAATTTCCCCCTTATTAGTGGTTTGTCACACTTTCCTTAATCCTGCATAATCCTCAAAAACCTCCCAGAGGACTGTTGAAGAATCTTGGATAAATGGGATTGTTGCACAATAACCCTTTATAAGGGACGTTCTTGCTTACATCAAAATACTAGCTTTTTGTGTATTTTTGAGGCGTGGACTTGCAAACAGGGGCCAATTTCAAAGAGCTGCTTAAGCACAAAATTTGCTTAAGCACAAAAACGTCTTGCTTAATAAAATCAGGTTACCGGCCAAAACTTCATGCAATTGTTATGCTAAGTAAACAACAGCTAAATACCAGTCACAAGCAATGTACATCACATGAAGTTTTGGCCGGTAACCTAATTTTACTAAGCAATGTTTTTCGTGCTTTAGCAAATTTTCTGCTTAAGCAGCTCTATGAAATTGGGCCCAGTATGTCACAGTCAGGCACATGCGCTCATCCAAGTGAACACAAAATGCCATAAGGGTTCATTAAATACAGAGTTTATAAACAAATCTCAGTTGGACCATGATGGTAAAAAAAAACCAGACAAATCACTACGGCAAATAACCCGTTATCACCAACACCACACACTAAACTTTCTTCTACTCACGGAAGTACGTCTTATTCCGGACCCATTTCCCATCAAAGTCCGATGGGGGATCCGGCGGTTCCGGCATGGTCCTCTCGGCCAGGAACTTCTCGATCAGGGACAGGGTGCTCAGGCTCTGACTGAAGACCAGGAGACGGTCCCCCACCTTGATGGAGGCCTCCAGGATCTCAAAGAGCAGCATCATCTTGCCGCCGTTGTACAGCTTGTTGGGCTGGTAGTTCTTCATGATGTCTCGTGCCTGGGAAAGCAGGAATTTGACATGCCTCAAGTTATTTCACCTTAACCTTAAAGCCCCACTCACACACATTCACGGTTTGGAGCTACGGATCTCCAAGGTTTAAAATTTGTGATAAATCATGGGAGTACCGTGTTCATCCTTAGTACCTCCGCAGTGTTCTCCAACTTGAAAATTAAAGGTCGGTGCGCTGTCAAAAAGCGCAGGGTGGGGGGGGGGGGGGCACTAGAACTATGTTAGGGGCGCTATTTACAGTCACACATTTCTTTATGCTAGGGGGCGCTATTTGCAGATGAACATGCAATTTATGTACGGATAACAGCTTTAGGCCATTTCTATTTAACACAGTAACTGTTAAGTACAATACTGGCTCAGCATCATCTTTTTTAACACATCAGTGACCAGGGACTCTGAGGCAGTTTAGCCTTGAGACTTCTGATCTGATGGATTGCTACAATGAGCAGGCTTGTCAGTTTGACAACAGTTTGACAAGTGTTGCATGTTATTACTTTTGGCAGAATTTCTGGCCAAATATACCCTGGAGGGTAAGGGTAGTCCCACTTGTTTGTCTTTTTTATTAGTTTTTCCTTTTTTTTAAGCATGGCGGACAACTTTTGAAGCTTGGCAGCAGCTTTTGAAGCTTGGCGGGTGCCTCAGAAAGCTTGGCGGGGCACCAGGTTATATTTACAGGTTGGAGAACACTGCCTCCGTGGTTATCCAATCAATTTCCTTGGGTATTTGTAGAGGGTCTACGGAAATTTTAAACTGTTCCAAACTTCCATGGTGAATCGTCATGAAAATCAATTTGTAGTGTAAAAGTGGGACATCTGTAGGACAACCGTACCGATTCGTAGTGTTTATTCGTGGCGATTCGTACATATTCTTAGAGATTCGTAGCTCATTCATGGTAGAAATCTCTACGAATTTGCTACGAATGTCCTACGGATATGCCCAGACATGCTAGGATTCTGCGAAGGTTGTACTACGAATATGTATGCTTTATTCGTAGGAGAACCTTGGTCATCTGTGGCCCAATCGCAGACAACCGTGGCATTAACGTCATCATTCTTAGTAATACCGGTACAGTCAATATTCTTCAACAATCTGTCCATATTCTTGACAAACTGTGGTGTATTCGTAGAGAAACCTTATAGGACAGTTGTGGCTATCCGTCCTGAAACCGTAGTGCATTCTTAGAAAGTCGATTTCTCCACGAGTCTTTGCGGTTCATCGTGATTGTTTGATTCTTGGTAAGCCGTGGATATCCGTAGCTCCAACCGTCAATGTGTGACTGGGGCCTAACCCTACAGGGTATGTTTGCTCGAACCCTGCCGAACGTAGCAAGATGCAACACTTGACTATTAAAGTGACAAGCCTGCCAAATGTAGCAAGATCCATCAGGGGAAAAGTCTCAAAGGCCACACTGCCTCAGAGTCCGTGGTCACCGCACACAGCAGGATACAACTGTGGCATTGTTAAATGGGACTAGCTCTCATTTGTTACAGAGCTGGCCGTTCATGCACTGGTGTTGGTAGCTGAATGCATCAAAGTGCATCAGTTCTTTTCCACCTGATGCACTGAGTTGCGTCTGGCAGGGTTAGATTTAAGATATTAACCCATTTGGTGTAAAGATACATGCCAATAAACTAATGTCTTCAAACTGTGTGCACTATTGTTGCTGATTTCTGTGAACTACCTAGCAAATGGAAATTTGACACTGGCACAGCCCAGGCACGAGTCTAGATTTTTCGGTCTCAAAATCTCATTATTTTTGGGTCAATCTCATTGTTCTCACCGGTCAATCTTCATATAATAAGATGTTTCAAACTTGTCAACTTTTTTCACTTCTTTTCACTTCTTCTTTTTTTATTCCATTAAAAAGAAGAAGACCATCCTGCTATTCGAACATTCACAGACGGTCAAAAAAAATCAATCCTCTTCCTCTGCCATGTCTTTTACACAGCCTAGTCACCGACAGTCAGATCATGTTTCAAGCAAGCACCATGACTAGTCAAATTCAGTCAACAGACAAAAACAGGCAAGTGGTAGGCGCAGGTGGTTTATCAATCACCTACAGTCACAGCATAGCTGTATCAGTCACAGCCAGTCAATCCTGCTTTATGTAGGCTGGGAGCTCTTGACTGTTGAAAACAGTCACTTGACTGATTTTGACTGCAAAGACAACTTGGCAGAGAATGTGAAAAGTGCTACGTGCAGAACTTCTGCAAAAAAAAATAGGAGGCGCCATTTGGGTTTCCTCATTTTTGACTCGCCCTGTACTAAGCAAATATTTTCTTAAGCTTAGCAGACTTCTTGTGCTTAGTGGCTTCATGCAAATGCTTGAAGACTCACCCATTCGAACGAGATGATCTGATTGACCTTCTCCTGGTAGGACTGCTCGATGGCCGGTCCCATCGCTACATCTGCCTCCTCCTTCTTAGCTTCACAAGCAGGCTTGGCGGCGGCCTTCTTGCTGGACTTGGCACCGTCCTTCTTGCCTTTCTTGGAACACCTGTCAGGAAAACATAGTGCAGATAAGTATTCAATGAACAACAATCTTCAGAAACATTTAACTTTCAAATTTGGTTAAACTCAAGGAGTTTTGAAAACAAGTACCCAAAACTCATTTATAAAGAGAGAGAGCTAGACAGGACTCGCGTGTATCACTTTTGTATATCTGATGTGCGTGCAAAGACGAGACGGGTTTGTCCACAAATTAATGGTGCATACTTTGCACCAAATATCCACAAACAATCTGCATCTACAGAGCTCTTGAGAGTGGTTGTGAAGTGCCCTCTACGCTTATGCACATAATCCAATGCGAGGCCAAACATTTAATTTCATGACTACTAGAGACAAAATCACTAACTGGCATGAATGGCAGCATCCAAGTCCTGTGCTAGCTTTATAAACCCTTAACCTGCTACATGCAACAGAAATCTACGGTGGTAAAAAAAAAAATTGTCTGGTTTCATTTCATTTTTTCCTCACCTTGCCGATGTTTCAGGGAGATCCAAGTCCGTGTCCAGGTCGGCCATTTCATCTCGCTTTTGAAGAACATCGCAGAGGATATCCGGGTGATTCCAAATCTAGTATGGGAGGGAAATAAAATAGTTGAATATTCCACTTCAATGAATGCAGATGTACATGTATGAAGGGTACTTGAAGTAAGGGGGGGGGGTGTGGGGAGCAAAAACTCCAAATCCTCCAAACACTTGATTTCAATCTTCATCCAACACATGAAATTATCGGAAATGAAAACTCTACATATTTACATGGGATTGCTATTGGTGTCAATCAAACAATGTTCATTGGCCAATTAGATAATGACTTTTTGTCAGGTGACCACAATAGCTCGGTCAATTTGATCACTAGCACTGACAGAATTGTACACAAACCAAAGATGGGCGGGGCTTATGGCCAAATCAGAAAAGGTTCATCATACCACTTCTGGTTGTAAACCAAAAGTAAAACAAAAGGACAAGGATAAAGAGTCAGGGAGCAGATTCAACAAAGTATTTGTTAGAAAAAGGAAACAAAATTTAACGTTGAACAAAGAAACTGACTGTAGCAGAGTTTGAACCTGTGACCTCCGGATTGCCATTCCGGGGCTCCACCAACTGAGCTATCCAGCCCTTTGTTGGCGGTTCCCAATTTTGTCAATGTCTTTGTTCAAGGGGCGCTAGTCAAAAGCCATAAACCACTAAGTCTATGCCATGTAGCCAGGGATGACGCCCAAAATCACAACGTCAGCAACAATAGCAATGCTGCGAAGCTGGGAAACAGCAATTAAGGATCAGTCAAAGAAAAACAAAAAAAGAGGATCATAAGTGACAATGCCAGGAAAACAGCCGTACTCACCTTGCAACCAACCGAGAAAGCCTTGAGTGGGTTGGCCGAGCACCATCCCCCAGCGCCCATCTCGGTGAAGGACTGCATGAACTTGATGTACAGTCCGCGCTGGAAGGGGGTCAGCCGCACAAGCAGCACGCTCTCCTCCTTGGGCGGCAGGGTGCTGTGGAGGACAGAGAAGCCGCGGCGCTGGACGAAACCTTCCAGGAGGCTGAACAGGACGTGGGCTCGGAAACGCATCAACTGCATGTCCTGTGGAGGAAGGAGGGAAACGGTGGCATACAATCTTTGGCACCAAACTATTTTTTTTTAAATATCTGGATGTATACTTTAATACTACATGAAAGTTATATTTAGTACAGTTATGTAATCTTTAGTGTAGATGGTGTTATGTTGAATTTTGTTTTTAATAATAATAAAAATAATATCGGAGTCTTATATAGCGCATGTATCTACCAACTATTAGGTACTCAAGGCGCTGGAGATATGTCTATTATTAAAGAAAGGTAAATAAAGTTTATGAGAAATATGAGACCCATTATTTAGCACCTTATAAGGGTTTACAAGGTGCTGCGGCGCATATTGCAGCCACTGCCAGAAACACCGGGCAAACCCCTTCTCTTAGCGATAAGTGTTACTGGGTTCTTTAACGTGCATTACACAACACACGGGACCTACGGCTTTACGTCCCATCCGAAGGACGAAGTAATAATGGTAAAGTGCCTTGCTCAAGAGCACAAGCACCGTGTTTCCACGGTCAGGATTCGAACTCATGTACCACGGCACACGAGTCGAACACTGTAACCATTGGACCACAGCACCCCACTGTGTAGATGATTTTTGTTTTTTACAGTGTAGATGGAAACGTGACGCTTTTGTTTTTCACTGTTTGGAAGGCAATGACTTTTTCTAACCATGTACATGGTGATATGATATTTGGGGTTTTTTTTCACCGTGTAGACTGTGATCGAGCTTTTCTAGCAAACCCTTAGAGGGCACTGAGTATACAGTCTTAAAAGTGGGGTAGATCGTTTGTCATTTGTGCATTTTTTTCGTTTGAAGCAACAAAAGCTATTAAAATCTTAAGACGGGTGTTTAACGAAGTTTTAGCTCTGTGAATGTTGTACATTCCAGGAAAACAATATTCTAGGATCTCAATTTCAATTCAAAAGATGCCGCGTCATGTTTTGAATTGCGCCTCAAATCGGCATCCGGAACACATTCTCATATGAGCCACTTGCAGCTACGTGATGTCACACACTGATCCGACGAATAACAGCAATCTCGCGTCGTGTTTATGCTTGCGCGCACCCATTCATGGATTCGCCAAAATGCTAACCGTCACCTGACGCATCTTTGGAAATGGCCTTCTTGTATTGTTTTCTTCAAAACGACAGCATGCCAGAAAGAAAGATTTCACAACGAGTTTAGTGCCTCCACCTTCTTTTAAACCAAGTAAGCTTTTCATCAATAATTTTGTCAGTTACTTTTTGGATAGCTGCAAATGATCTACTCTACCTTTAATGAATAACGTCCATGAAGAGAGAAACTTAAAGCTATAGTCCATCATTTGCAGCTATCCGAAAAGTAACTGGCGTAATTATTGTTGAAAAACATACTTGGTTAAACTCCCTGTGAAATTATTCTTTCTGGCAAGCTGTCATTTTGAAGTAATCAACGAAAGAAGGCCTTTCCAATGGTGCTTCTTAAGACGCACCGTAGGAAATTCAAATTAGTAGTTGGTTTTGTTATTCGGCGAAGCGCGCGCAAGCATTGGCACGATGCACACGCGGTTGCTATAATTCGTCGGATCAGTGCGCGACATCACGTAGCTGCAATCGGCTTAGTGAGAACGTGTCTCGGACGCTGAATTCAGGCCCAATTCAAAACATGATTCAGCAACTTTTGATTTGAAATTGAGATCCTAGAATGCTGTTTTTCTCGGAATATACAGCTGAAGCTGAGCTGAAACTTCTTCAGGTTAGTTGTTCAGTACCCTTCTTTTAGATTTTGAGCACTTTTGTTGCTTCAAACGAACAAAATGCACAAACTACAAATGATGGACTGTACCTTAAATAGTGAATGTAGATCTCCCCGATACAACATTCCATCTCACAGACTTTACCTTTTGCGTGCTGTCTATGCATTGACCATTCTGGATGGGCCTCTCGAACAGGTTGGCAAACTCGTGCCGGGTACCGAGGAAGTTTGGTCGGACGAAGTCCACCATGCACCAGTACTCCTGCAGGTTGTTCTGCAGCGGGTATCCCGTCAAAACAACTCGTCGTCTGTGGTAAAGGAAAGATTTGTTTAATAAGTTTTTGGCTCATTTTTGGCACATGTGCAAAAGAATATATAGACTAAAAATAGACTACTTTTGGAATTCCATAAAGTTTTTAGACAGCATTTGACAAACCATTTTCAGCTCATGTTATATAGTAATTAGCGCCTTGAGTACCTAAATGTTGGTAGATACATGCGCTATATAAGACTCCGGTGTTATTACAAGAACTGTTGCATCTTTTGATAATTCAACTCCAGAAATACACGCTTGAAGAGCATGGCCAGTACATTTTTAAATGCAATGTAAATGTTGTTATGCTATCCTTGAAAATGCACCTTTGTGTCCCATTTAACCTCATTTTCAAGTTTCATTTTGCCATTTTGAAGGGTGTTCTGGTGCCTCTTTGGTTTTTATGCTAATGCTAATTTCCATATTCATGAGCAAAAGTGTGATGTCATTCCGGGCAGAAATCTCAATGTTACAGCTATTTCAGCACAAAAAGTTGCTAGAATTTGGGATATTTTACTGTCATAAATGTTTTTTCTTTGGTGATTCGTTGCTGTGCTAGTATGGCAGTAAGCCAATGGACACAGTTTTCTCAAAAAAAATTTCAATTAGCAAATTTTGGGTTGAGTCACAATTTGAACAGAAAACCCCTGAACTAAACAAAAAAAGGAATGTCAAATAGTTTTCCTACATTTAATAGGAATAGAAAGTTGCATCATCACGTGACCTTTAATATTGGGCTGGATTCCTCATAATATTACATTTTTCTCAATTTCTTTTTATTATGGACCTCTACAAAAGTTGAAAGTGAGAAGTTTTACACAAATTGATTGAGTACAATTATTGATTTTCTCACTGATTTTATCAATGGTGTGTAAACTAAAAGAATGACAAAAATTCCCTTTCAATTTGGGCAATTCACAATGCAGTGCGCCACCAAGAGTTTGCCATGGAGAGTTCATTTTTCCCAGTGCATTGCGGGTGATAGTAAACAAAGTCGCAGCGCCGGATATTTGAAATTGTTAGTTTGTCCAGTCAGTAGTTTACTTAGCCTATAATTCCAATAATCTGTTTGCCCTTTTCATTTTTTTTTTTTCAATAAGGTGTTTTTTTGTAGGGCAGCAGAACGCTACACTCCAATAAGCTTCAGTTGTCCACTGACAATTGTTGAAACTGGCCATGTTTTGTCGACTATAAACATGAAAAATGGACTCTCCGTAGCAAACACTTGGTGGCGCACTGCATTGTGAATCGCCCAAATTATATCAAAATGGAATGAAAGTTCATATATTTAACCAGTGAGTTATTCATTTTCAAATATACCAAAATGAAAAAAAAAGTCAATTCATCAACCAGATTCAGCCTTCCTTGACAAGGATAACGACGGCCAGTACCTTGTCCTGATGTTCTTGAGCGCCTGGGAGATGCCCGCGTGGATGTTCTTGATCCGGTGCCCCTCGTCGCAGACCACCAGGTCTGGGCCCGGCCTACACAGCGCCTTGTGCAGCCCTTCGGCCATGATGGTATTCTTGTCTTCCTCCTCCAGGTCGATAATCTCCGGCTCGTCGGCGCCGTCGGACGCCTTTTTCTTCTTCTTCTTCTTTCGGTTGGCGAGGTGTTTGGATAAGGAGAACGAGGTCCTGGTGGAAGAGGCGGAGGCTCCACGGAGACTGAGGAGGCGGTACATCTCGTAGCCCATCAGGAGGACGCCCCCTGTCTTGTGCCATGTGGCTGGGATGAATCACGACCAAAAGAAAAAATTTGAATATATGCCACTAAGGCCAAAAAAAAAAAGTCTCCGGTTTCTGGTATGCGCGCGCATCGCCGTAGCCATGCGCGTCGGCAAAATGAAAAAGTTTTTTTTTCAATGAAAGATGATGCACAATTTTAACGTGTTTTTAGATTGGGTTATGGTCGAGAATAAGCTTTATGTGGCCTCTCTGGACTCCCATATATTTGCACTAAGTTTAGTCGGGCACCATTTGCAGTCATCAGCCGACATTTGAAGCAAAAAAATCAGGTAAAAAAAAAAAAAAAAGCCGCGTCGCCGCACCACTTTTTGGGCAAGCTCCATACCAGAAACCGGAGACTTTTGGGGGGGGGGGGGCCAAACGGATTGCTGAGAATGCATTTTCATTTTGTAGTCATGTGCATAATGGACGGTGCGTGAATGGTAATTCATATTCAAGTTCAACTTTATTTTCCACACTAAAAAGTATAGAGATTCAGCTTCCACTGGCATTTCTGAACAATGACATGACATGAAACCACATAACCAGTATACAGGGTGGATGGAAAAAACCGAAGCCAAGATATTATTGCTAATTGGAACAGAAGTAGGGCACATGTGAATCCAAGGAAGATATCTTCTGTTAGGGTTGAATCTCCTCTTTAAAATGACACCCTGGTCATGTCCTTACATTCACGGTTGACTGAGCAGTGACCAATTTTATGAAAGGGTCTATTTAGAGAATTGCTCCACTTTTCAATTGTGGTTTTTGTTGTGTCATTTGTCACAGAGTGAAAGGCTATGGTTGCCAATCAAGGCAGGTGGGGGAAAAAAGAGATTTCACCATGAAAAGTGGCGCAAGTCTCTAAATAGACCCTTTCATAAAACTGGTCACTGCTCAGTCAACTGTGAATGTGATGACATGACCAGGGTGTCATTTTAAAGAGGAGATTCAACCCTAACAGAGGATATCTCCGTTTGATTCACATGTGCCCTACTTCTGTTCCAATTAGCAATAATATCTCGGTTTCTGGGTTTTTTTTATCCACTCTGTATAGTACAATATACACAGATCACTAGAGAGGAGACAACACCAACAAATGGAGGGCGACAAATCCAACACATGGAGTCAGATTATCGTTTCAGACTTGTGTTCCTGTGTTAGAATCAACCCAAATTATTCCTAAGATTTGCAACATGGTAAAAAGTACATGAGAAACTTCTAAGTTTGAAACGGGATGACTGCATCGAAAGCTTGACTGATGAAGTCATTCCAAATGAATATTGAGTCTGGTCAGTTGAAACTCTGTGCATGAAGTTTGCTTGTCTGAAATGCAACATCAATTTGGGTGGACCCAAGTCATTCCTTAGTACTATTCTGTTCAGCGCGATTCTAGAACACATGTCTGAAATGGGTGTCAGGAACATTTTTTTCACTAATCACTATCAGTTTTCTTAAGCATTCACCAAAAGTTACTCTTCACTTTTGCGTGTATTAAACTTTTGTGTAGAGAATGATGTCCAAGCCTACCCCAGAAAACAATGTCATGAAATCGAAACATTTTTAAAGGGCCCATGAAATGAATTTTTTTCACAGGAACATATTTTGTGCAACTTTCTACTGCTCTCAATCCCTTTTTGATTTATTTGATTGAAAAGTGCACTTCTTTAAACAAATTCTCCATGCTTTTCTGCACAGCTGAGGGCGCTGTTGCCGCGATGTCTTTTCAGGAAGACACTGTTCAGTTCAGGGGTTTTCTGTTCAAATTGTGAACCCACAAAAATTTGCTTATTGAAAACATCTGTCATGTCTGTGAGAAAAGTTTGCTCATACATGTAGGCTTACTGCCATGTACTGACACAACGACGAATCATCACAGAAAAGGATTTATACGACAGCTCACTATCCAAAATTCTTGCTAAACTATTGGTGCTGAAAAAAGTGTAACATTGAGGTTTCTGCCTGAAATGACATCACACTTTTGCTCACGAATATGGAAATTTGCATTAGCATAAAAACCAAAAAGGCACTAAACTAACGTTGAAAATGGCAAACAAAAATTGAAAATAAGGCCAAATGGGGCACAAAACTGCATTTTCTAGGACGGCATTAAAAAATTACATTTCATAGTCCTCTAAATTGCTGCATTGATATCGCTAGCAATAAACCAGCATTTTCCTTCTTTCAACTCAAAGAACCTCAATCATGGCCCTATGAAAATACTGACAACTTTGGGATCTTGCTTGGTAACTTCTCAACTTACTGATAACCTGATGGCGTGCAGCCATGTTCCTGTAAGTGTCGTTCATGACATAGAGCGGAAACTGCCTGTACACGATCTCCTCGGGAAAGTCCTCCCCGTCAGCCTTCGGTGACGACTTCGTTGACGTTGACGATGAGGCTTGACCGTCGCAGGACGACATGGATGCATCTTCGTTTCCCGGCAACCTCTCCATCGTAGGGGTTGCTGTATCCCCTCGACTGTCAGAGTCCCCCGGGAGCGACATGCTCTCGCCTGACTCAGTGTTATCAAGCGGTTTTGTTTCACTGTTTGTCACATCGGGTTTTGCCTTTCGGCTGGAGCCCTTCTTTTTGTTCCGGGTTTCGTTCTCCGTCAGGACACCGTTTGATCGACGTTCCGGCAACCAAATGTTGAACTCCGCAACCCAGTTTTGAATCGTGTTGATTGGGACAATGCAGAGAACCTTTGGAGAGAGGGAATTTTTTATGAATTCAGATTACTTTTGTTGAAATTTTTTAATCATCTTCATTGCTGCTATCTTGGTGAAGTTCCCCACATGCATCCTGAATATGGCAATGCTACTGGCAAACAGTAATCAGGCACCAGTCTATTACGCACAGGATCATCAGATTGTATCCACACTTTTGGAACCACCATGACAAGGCGATTGGGCTACGCCGGTGCCAGCAATGCCTGGTATGTCTTTTAGTGTGCAAGTTTAAGAAACATCACAAATCAATCACTAGTTGACTAAACAGCAACCTTTAACAAACTCGCTCTAAATGTCTCCTGCACCAATATCATGGCAGCATTTATCTCTGGTTTGGTTTCCATGGCATGAAACGACTGAGAAAAATTCTAATCCCCCTGGATGATATGCCAGACCTTCGCAGTTACTCCCCAGCTAATGCCGGTACCCATTTCTATCATGACCCTGCTCTGTGATAGATCGCCGTTAACCCTAACCTTCCCAATTCCTCCAAAATCCTCTTTGCAAAATGGAGGATTTTGCCGGATTGAGGCTATATGGCAACAGTGTGTGGCTGATTTTGGAGGATGCACTGTGTCAAGGTCTCAGGCCGGACCTTGAGTTGTTTATGCTCAGCCGTGCATAAATTTAGTCCTACATTATACTTGAAATCCGTCACACTGCTCCAAGATGCCACTGGCTCTGCCTCAACATACTGAACAGTGATTGCGGGATGATTTTGCAGGATTGAGGCAGTGGTCACCCCTCCAAGGACCACATTCAAGAAATAACGGATGATTTTGGAGGATTGAAGCTGTATGCAATTTTTACATGGAGGCAGTTGGAGGATTTTGCAGGATTGAGGTTGCATCTTAGCAAGTTAGGGTCAAGGGACTAATACTGAGGCTTTGCAAATTTGTTTCTGTGCAGCTTTGTGGATTTCACTCACCGTTTTGGCCTCGGTGTGTCTAAGGAAGATGTCGATGAAGGAGATCATCTGGAGCGTCTTGCCCAGGCCCATGCTGTGAGCCAGGATGCAACCAAAGCCGAGCGTTACTCGAAATCTGGACAGCGACTCTACCAGGTTATCGTACAGGAAACGGATACCTCCAATCTGCATTGAGATAAAAATATTGTTTGCCTAACCAGGGTTGTTAGTAAAGACACTGTGTACTACAGTGGTTGACAGTTGTCGAAACAAGTATTCTCTGTCATTTTCTTTGTTGCTCCAAACAGTCAGAATACACAATAAATTGCTTTTCTTTGGATGAAACAGGTTTTAGGGTCATTGGGTTTAAATGGTAATATTGTTTGAACAGTTTGAGCAATTTGAGTATTTTTTCATCTAAAAGTAGCTTATGAAATTGGCTTTCCGGTCATTTTTATTTTTGGTGCTACATATTTTTTAAAATATGAAATATAATTTGGGGGTTTGGGTTCCGCTTTTTCTTACTCACCCTGTAAAACATTACAACTGACAATGTGTTCCCCTCAGAAACATATTAAACACCTTCATGCTATAGTAGCAGTGTCAAATCAGACACTGACTTGACATCTAAACTGATGAGACACTATCAACAAGATAAAGCAATTCCAGTCTTGGGAACATTGGCGGCAGGACTCGAGAAATTCCGAGCATATTTCAAGTATCTTCAAGCTAATACACTTGTGCAAGGCACATGTATGGTCCAATGTTCCTTGGTTGAGCTACCAAAACTCCCAAGACTTGATGTGATTTGTTGTGTTATTTTAAAGTGCCCTCTACCAAAGCAGCGACATGCCCGCACTTACCAGTGACCACCTACATATACATAAGGGAAACAAACTCCAAAAATACAGTGTTAGGCCAAGACTACGCAAGTGGTCGCGTAGTGCTCTACGCTATAGCAACGAGGGCGCTCTTTCCATGGACTACACCCTACCTGGTGGGGCTTGACACTCCGGGCAATCTGCGGCGGGAGGAAGATGTCCTCTTCATCTTGCGGCCGGGTGACGTTGACCAGGACCCTGCCGAAGATGTCGGGCTGGTTCAAGGCATCGTTGGTGTGCATCCCGCTGACTTCCTCCTCCTCCCCGCCACCTTCAGCTAACTCTTCATCATCGTCCTCGTCGCTCAGGATGGTCACACCGTCCTCGTCGCTGGAAATCTCAATCACGTCTGCACAGAAATATACGCCATGTCCAAGTTACTGAGTCTGAGTATCATCCGTTATCCACGGAGACAATCTCCTGTATAACGTCTGATACATGTGTGAGGGATGTCGGACGTACTTGTAAGTTACGATGCACTTGTAAGTTTAACGGTGTGCGGCAACAGCGCCACCTTGCGTCGGCCTTGGCATTCCTCACGTTGCCATCGCCTCCGCTGTTGGCCTGTCCGCTGCACACCAACTTCAGGTAAATTTCTCTATTTTGTTAACTGTAAATTCCATTTAATTTAGATAATCATACTTTTGGTGGAATATAGCAATGGTGGGACAACTTTGGTAACGTTTAAAGGGATATTTAAATGGGTAATTTAGGTCAAACTTTTCTGTAACTTTTCGATCGATGAACAAATAGAGGCCCTCTTGCGGTACGTTCAGAATAGTTCGTATACATGTACATGTATCTCATGCCCAAATTGACGATGCCATGACTGAAAACTATCGTTGTTATTCTTGTATTAAAGTTGTTGAAATCATATGGATCTTCAGTGAAGTTAGTACTAAGGTTTATTCATTTTGACTTGACACATATAAACAAGCTTTTCTGTTCTTTTAGTCACATGAAATTGTACATGTAAATGCACATGTAGGAAGATTTATCACATGTAAACAAACATGTACTTGGGGAATTTATAACATGAGTGCCCTACTTATAAATATGATTGGAACTTGGATTTGTGTAGAATATGTGGACTTTAATTAAGATGGATTTTATCTCTAAGGTAACACAGTAATTAGAGAGTAATCCGAGAGTACTTGTGAAATATTGATTCACAGTCTTTATTTCAATTTACATGTTAATTAATGACTCAAGTGACAACCAGAGTCAACTCTTAGTCATTGCAGTCAGTAAAGTAAGTCCATATACGGTAACTAAATTAGGCTTTCATTAAATTCCAGTAGGAAAACTGACCAGGGTAATTAATTTCCTGACGGTTCCTAAATTTAATCTGTCGTTATCTTGCATCAAAGTTCTGGTCTGATGATTTTCAAACTATACATGTATACATTTTGTCTTAAGTTAACTTTCAGGGAATACTTGATTTATTTTGTTTTCTCTTTCTTTTTATTTTGATTCCTCACGTTGCCATCGCCTCCGCTGTTGGCCTGTCCGCTGCACACCAACTTCAGTGGCTGAAATAAAACATCACATATAGAGATCCGAATCCTGGGTGTTTGCTGTGTTCTTTACCAAATCACCACAGCTGACCAAACAGCCCCCCCCCCCACAAGTGTCAGAAGTGGGATCTCTATTTTCAGCCAGTCTGCCAGCAGCGGGGGATTGAGGATCCGTCACTGAATTCAGAGTCGTCGAGATGGCAACCCACGTCAGCGTACGGTCACTAACAGAAGAAAAGGCGAGGAAATTTTGCCTGGTTGAAGGGCGTCTGCCTCTCCAAAGCCTGAAAGGGTGTTACCCTGATGCAACCGGACTGATTCACAAAATTGACCAGGACAATGAACTGATTCTGCCAATTGTGAATGGGGCCATTCTCCCGCCAGAGGGGGGATGGGAAGTAGTAGAGTACACACCGCTTACCAGAGCCGAGATCAAAACAGAACTGCCCCATACCGAGTCCCCATCAGAGGAGCTCCTGCGTGCGCTCGTAGCCAAACCATCCCAAGTCGTGATGGCACCCGAGCGCAAACTACCGGTATTCGAGGGACGAGATGATGAAAAGTCGGTGCCCGTTGATGACTTTGTGACAGCAATGAACCACGCTTATGATAGATACCACATCCCGGAAGACCAGCGGGGCCAATTTCTACTGGATTCACTCCGGGGTGGTCCGAAAGTTGAAGTGCGGTCACTGTTGTCATCCGGTAAAACCGCAAAGGAGGCCTTGAAGTACCTAACGACGTCATATGGGGAGACCCTAACAAGTGGAGAGTTGCAGCGGCGGTGTTTGGAACGACGACAGCAGCGTGGTGAGTCCATTCGTCAGTTTGGCGTGGAGCTACAACGACTGTTCCAACGACTATTTAAGCGAGACCCCGGACTATACAAAGATCCAGACACCATCATCCGAGAGCAATTCGTAGACGGCATCGAGCAAGAGGGGCTGAGGCACTCCTGCAGAGACTTTGTCGATCGCAATCCATCAATCTCCTTCGGAGAAGTGAAGGACTGGGCCATAAAGCGGGAGGAACGAGAACGGGCCCGAGCGCAGACTACAGCCTTTCAAAGTACCTCATCGGCTATGGAGGCTGGGATGAAACCTGATGCAATCCAGCGACTGGAGAAACAGATGCAAGAAATCATGGTATCTGTGAAATCCCTCGCCGAGAGGATTCCACCTGCTGAAAGACTGCCTACTCCGATTTCCCCCCAAGCCCTTTTGGCACAGCCTGGGGGCCGACCACCCAGACCTTGGTGGCACCAGACAGACTACCCCAACTTCCCAAAGCCGAGAGCCGTCGACAACCCGTATACTGCACCAGTTCAGTCCACTCCAAGATGCTTCAGGTGTGGCCAACCCGGACATTTTGCGAGGAATTGCCTCAACTCTGCTCGGCCGCGCCCAAACCCCCCACCCCCTTCACCATTAGGAGCCATGGGTCCTTCGGGAAACTAGTACATCCTACTGTTGGGAGCCAAACAGTGGGGAACGGAATAACTGGCTCAACTCATCATGACTTACCTGGTTTTCAAGCACGTGCTGCCTCAGATTGTTATGCAGTTGATGTGAAGTTTGGAAACCAGACTGTTTCTTGCTTATTGGACACAGGATCCATGGTCACTACCATCACCAAGGGCTACTTTGACAGCGTCCTGGCACCAGAGGGTGTGAAACTTGAGAGTATTCCAGAGAAATTCAGACTCATCTCAGCTAATGGCGCAAACATCCCCTATGTAGGATGTTTTGAGACTGATGTGCATTTGCTGGGAGTGACTGTTCCATCCCGACTCGTTTTAGTCATACAAGAGGCAGGGTCTAATGCTAGTCCCTCTAATGCCCCAGGCATTGTGGGGATGAACATTTTGTCTGACTGTTGGTCTAAACTAATTGACAGTCATGGACAGGGATACCTCCGCAAACTTCAAGTGGACGGCGTTGAACCGGTGTGGGAGAAGACGCTGCAGGCCATTAGGAAGCGTCGAGCTTTTAACGAGGTCCAAGCTGCCATTGGGAAGGTGCACTTGAAAAGAGGACCCCCTCTGCTAGTCCCTGCCCAGCACGCTGTTGTTGCAGAGGCGTCCGCACGGAGAGCACCAGGAGATGTTGACTACAAAGCAGTTCTCGAACCGTTTGAAGGTACCAACCTCCCGCGGGGTGTTCAGGTGGTGAGAGGATTGGTGACTGTTTCCTTGGGAAAACTGGCTGTGGTGCTGATGAATGACAGTGAGCAAGATGTTCTTCTGCCAGAACGCAGTTGTTTGGGTACCCTTTATCATGGAGACGTTGTAGAGGAGGTCCCGATGAACAAATCCGGAGAGACCCCAATGAGTCCCGTCTGCCACGATGCCACCCCAGCATGTAGGCAATCCAACTCAGACCCGCCAACAACTGAAGTAAAGATTGATGCAGAATTGACGGGGCAGCAACTCAACAAATTTCGTACCCTTCTGTATAGATTTGATGATGTGTTCGCCAGAGGGGAGGGAGACTTAGGGTACACAGATGCTGTTCGACACCGAATAGAGACAGGGGATGCTCCCCCGATCCATCAACGCTACCGATCACTTCCTCCTTCCCAATATCAAGAAGTACGGGCTCATATACAGAAATTGATGGAGGCTGGCATTGTTCGTGAGAGTTCCAGTCCTTGGTCCGCTCCAATAGTGGTTGTGCGGAAGAAGGATCAGTCAATAAGACTCTGCGTCGACTATCGTCAGTTGAATACTGTCACCGTGAAGAACTCCTTCCCACTCCCGAGGATTGATGAGACCCTGCAGACGCTGGGCGGGGCTAAATTCCTGAGTGTGCTCGATCTTGCTTCAGGTTACCATCAGGTGGCAATGGAGGAGCGAGACATTGAAAAGACGGCCTTCACAACCCCCTTTGGCTTGTTCGAGTACACAAGAATGCCTTTTGGTCTTTGCAACAGTCCTGCAACGTTCCAACGGCTGATGCAGAGATGTCTGGGAGACCAAGCATTGGAGTCTGTTCTCATCTACCTAGACGATATAATAGTGTTCTCGACTACTTTCGACGAGCATATCATACACCTGGAGACAGTATTCGCCAGGCTGCGCCACTATGGGTTGAAAGTCAAACCCCAGAAGTGCAGTTTTTTCAAGAAGGAGGTCAAATATCTCGGGCACCTGGTCGTGGCAGATGAAGGTATTAGGCCGGATCCTGATAAGGTCTCCGTCGTACAGGACTGGCCAGAGCCGACAACTGTGACTGAGCTCAGAAGCTTTCTGGGGTTCACCGGGTACTTTCGTAAGTTCATCCAGGGCTATTCCAGTATAGCGGCACCCTTACTGTCTCACCTTAGGGGTTTGAACACCAGGGAGAAGAATCGGGCTGGTTGCAAAAAATTGAATCTTGGCGATGAAGCGTCGAAGGCCTTTTCGTCCCTAAAGTCATCACTCCTTCAAGCACCCATACTTACCTTTGCAGACTTCAGTCGTCCCTTCATCGTTGAAACAGATGCTAGCTCACTAGGTCTGGGGGCAATACTTTCACAGCAGCAGGATGATGGGTCTAGACGAGTCATTGCCTACGCTTCTAGATCACTCCGGCCAGCCGAAAGGAATGACAAAAACTACTCTGCCTTCAAGTTGGAACTGCTGGGTGTCCGGTGGGCAGTGTGCCAAGCTTTCAGAGACTACCTTATGGGGAACAAAAGCACTGTCTATACTGATCACAACCCTCTGAAGTTCTTGGACTCTGCTAATCTTAGCTGTACCGAGCTCCGATGGGTGCAACAGCTAGCAGCTTTTGACTTCCAGTTAGAGTATCGACCAGGCAAGAAGAACCAAGCCCCAGATGCCCTGTCTAGGTTGAAACGGAGTTCTTCAGAAGTTCCAGATGGCCAGGTCACTGAGCTATCATCACAAGCCATACGAGCCTACTCAGGTGGTGATGTCGGGGCTGCGACAGAGATGCCCCCAAATCTAGCGCACCAAATTCGAGTTACCAGTGAAGAAGGAAGTCAGTGTCTTCCTGGATACAAACCAGGAGACCTCCGGAATCTTCAGGAAGAAGATGTCCTTCTCCGGCGCATTCTGTTGTATGTGGAAAGAGGGAGGAGACCCTCCCGGGCTGAGAGAGAGGAAGACCCAAGGGATGTGATGTTGCTTCTGAAGCACTGGGGTCAACTCCACTTGAAGCAGGGTGTCCTCTTCCGTCGTGGAGTACGTCCTGAGGGAGGAAGTGTCGAGAGGCTTGTCACCCCAGCTGCTCTGATAGACACAGTGCTGAGATCTTTCCATGATGACTGCGGGCATTTTGGAGCGAGAAGGACACTGCGTCTGGTTCAGCCGTTGTTCTTTTGGCTGCGAATGGAGGTCTCAGTACGCACCTGGTGCCAACAGTGTGAACGATGTGCGGTTGGGAAGAAACCTGTCAGGCAAACCCGTCCACCATTAGGGACCCTCCGAGCTACGGCACCCTTGGAAGTCGTGGCGATGGACTTCACTGTGTTGGAGGCATCCTCTGATGGCTATGAGAACGTCCTCGTCCTCACAGACATATTCACCAGGTTTGTTTGGGCTATACCTACCAAGGATCAGAAAGCACACACCGTGGCCAAGGCATTGATAAAATATGTCATCACACCCTTCGGAGCCCCTTTGAGATTACACTCCGATAATGGGCGGTGTTTTGAGGCACAAGTCATCACTGAACTTTGTCAACTGTATGGAATAGGTCGCTCCCACACTACCCCTTATCACCCCCAAGGGAACGGGATGTGTGAGCGATTTAATCGCACTCTCCACAACCTCCTTGTAACCTTGCCCTCCTCCAAAAAGTCAAGATGGACCGAACAACTTCCTCTGCTTGTTATGGCGTACAACAACAGCAAACATGCAACAACTGGCTATGAACCTTTCTTCCTCCTGTTTGGAAGGACGGCGCGGTTGCCCCAGCATCTTCTCTTGAGTGTTGATCATGACCAGATTGGTGGCGCGACTCAAGATGTCTACGTCAAAAAGCACCAGGAAGGGCTAGAGAGGGCCAGGCGGTTGGCAGTCAGCAACCAGGATAAAGGAGCAGAAGCCAGGCGTACATTGCATGACCAAGTTGTGTATGAGAGACCGATTAACACAGGGGAGTATGTCTTGGTACGAGATCGCTCGCATCGGGGACGGTCCAAAATCCAAGATTATTGGGAGCCAGAGCTATACATGGTCGTAGAGCGACCGTATGAGGGTCAGCCGGTGTACATTGTCCAGAACCCTCGTGGCCAGCGTAAGATTCTGCATCGTTGTGAAATCAAGCATTGTCCTTGGGATCTCCCCGAACCCAAGATGGTGGCGGTTGACGAGACTACTTCCCCCTCTACTTCAGACGAGACGTCCCCCTCTACTTCACCCACCAGTGATTCAGCTGAGTGGGGTAGGTTACTCACCTGGGTCCCCAGGGTGGACGACCAGAGCTCGCAGGAGAAAGCAAGGCAGCTCAGTACTGGGTGTGAAGCAGCCGCCCACCCCATTACTGAAGTGCCAGCGGTATCAGCCAGTGACTCCGAGCCACCCCAGACCAGACCAGAGAACCAGACAGCACCCACAGGAGGCAAGAGCTCTACCAGAGAACCAGTTGAAGATCCCGGCTCCACAAGTGGTGCCAGCTCCCTCGCGGGGAGGACAGATGAAGCTCACCTACTAGGGGTCTCTACTGAGGAACCCACCGAGCCAGATCACTCCACGGGAGGCGTCAGGCGCTCCAAGCGTTCGACCAAAGGCAAGCCACCTAATAGGTTCCAATTCTCAAATGTAGTCAGATTATTTAACCGAGTCAAGCATATGGTTGCTCCAGAGGACACAATAGACACTGATGAATCTGGGGACTAATTTTTGAGATGTTTTTCCATTTCAACCATGTTCTAGACAGTTGACACACAAAACTACTTGTATGTGCATCACACTTAGCAAGGGAACCCCCAGTGCCCTATTAGTCCTGGTAAGCCAATTCTTAGGCCTGTCAAATTTTGACATTTATTTGACTTCATTGTTTCATGTTTAACAAGAGTTCCACTTTATATAGGAAGTCAATCAAAAGCTGTTGTTTATGATGTTTTGATTGTTGATGATTGTTTGCATGCATTTAAATCATTGTTAAGTAGTTATATAGTTTCAGTCTTAGAAGGCCACATACTTGTCGTCGAGGGCGACGACCTCTTAGCAAGGGAAGATTGTGAGGGATGTCGGACGTACTTGTAAGTTACGATGCACTTGTAAGTTTAACGGTGTGCGGCAACAGCGCCACCTTGCGTCGGCCTTGGCATTCCTCACGTTGCCATCGCCTCCGCTGTTGGCCTGTCCGCTGCACACCAACTTCAGGTAAATTTCTCTATTTTGTTAACTGTAAATTCCATTTAATTTAGATAATCATACTTTTGGTGGAATATAGCAATGGTGGGACAACTTTGGTAACGTTTAAAGGGATATTTAAATGGGTAATTTAGGTCAAACTTTTCTGTAACTTTTCGATCGATGAACAAATAGAGGCCCTCTTGCGGTACGTTCAGAATAGTTCGTATACATGTACATGTATCTCATGCCCAAATTGACGATGCCATGACTGAAAACTATCGTTGTTATTCTTGTATTAAAGTTGTTGAAATCATATGGATCTTCAGTGAAGTTAGTACTAAGGTTTATTCATTTTGACTTGACACATATAAACAAGCTTTTCTGTTCTTTTAGTCACATGAAATTGTACATGTAAATGCACATGTAGGAAGATTTATCACATGTAAACAAACATGTACTTGGGGAATTTATAACATGAGTGCCCTACTTATAAATATGATTGGAACTTGGATTTGTGTAGAATATGTGGACTTTAATTAAGATGGATTTTATCTCTAAGGTAACACAGTAATTAGAGAGTAATCCGAGAGTACTTGTGAAATATTGATTCACAGTCTTTATTTCAATTTACATGTTAATTAATGACTCAAGTGACAACCAGAGTCAACTCTTAGTCATTGCAGTCAGTAAAGTAAGTCCATATACGGTAACTAAATTAGGCTTTCATTAAATTCCAGTAGGAAAACTGACCAGGGTAATTAATTTCCTGACGGTTCCTAAATTTAATCTGTCGTTATCTTGCATCAAAGTTCTGGTCTGATGATTTTCAAACTATACATGTATACATTTTGTCTTAAGTTAACTTTCAGGGAATACTTGATTTATTTTGTTTTCTCTTTCTTTTTATTTTGATTCCTCACGTTGCCATCGCCTCCGCTGTTGGCCTGTCCGCTGCACACCAACTTCAGTGGCTGAAATAAAACATCACATATAGAGATCCGAATCCTGGGTGTTTGCTGTGTTCTTTACCAAATCACCACAGCTGACCAAACAGCCCCCCCCCCCACACATGTATGTCTAGACATATGCAAGCCGCTCGCCAGCCAATCCGAGTTGACGTTTGTACATCATGACGTCATTTCGTTCCCAAATCAGGACTAAATGGTTTGACTGGTCAATTCGAATGCAGTGTTTTGTAATACAACAGCCGGGCGCATTACCCCGTATCATGATACAGAGCGTGTGACACAGGTTTTTTTTTATCCATTGTCTATGACGCGCAACGGGTGAATGACACAAGACCCGACTTGAGAGCGCCCACTGATTTGTCAATATCTAGAGGTCAAGAGGCGGTTGTCTTGCCTAATGAATCAGCAGATCTGCTCACACATCTATTACATAGACTAAAATTACTAGGGTACAGTTAGGAATTACACTTGTGCCAAAATGTAGCTGGAACAACTCCCCATAGACACATGGCTTTCTGCAAGCACAGCCAAAGAATTCGGAAAATGGCTACATTAACAACATAAAACATGGCGAGGGTGCCATTTATACAGCGCTTTTAACAAAAATGAATATTATTTTCTCTGCCTTATCAGGATAATAACACATTCCCTTTTTATTTGACAGAAACAGCCGATTCAAATACAGATTGCCTGTTCTATAACATGGGTTCCATGTAAACTCTCTCCGCTGATCGATTGTGCTCTCAAATAAAGTCCGGTCTGCTGAATTTTTTAACTACATGTACTTCTATAGTCTCAATCAGAACATGTCATATTTCATAAGTTCCTCATTCACACACAGCTAAATAACATTGTGAGTGCTCCTTTAAAGTGGGTTGAACTATTGACCCTGATAAATCCTTAATGAATTAATCCTTATAGTGAGTCTTGCCGGCTTCGCCACAAGGCATAGATAATCAATCATCCTTACAACAAGACTAGTCAGCAACCTCAAGAGATTGCTGTTTGCAGTCGTCTGACCACTATACAACCCGAACTTGATAGACAGCAAATGGTTGATTGGATTTGGACGCTATCCAAACGAGGACTGCAGTTTACAGTATGACCGTTGGACCATGGGAGTAAAAAGTGATATCCTCGATCCTCCTATTTCTGCACAGATAAGGCTTTGCAACCCAGTAGCTTAAAAAATAGCAAAGCAAACACTCTTTTCCTCAACAAAACCTATATTGTTGGCTTACGATCATCCACCGTACCGATTAAAAAAGCAAAATCTCTTTACTTGTGGCAGCAAGCAGGGAATTCCAAAGCATGCAGTTTTGGCGTTGTAGAAAAGAATCCTGCCTAAATCTGCGCAGGGGACACTTCATGAAAAATATGTGCTGTCCGGGCCATGCAACTCAATATAAACATTTTATTTTTTTAAAAATAACTTAGACTTGTTGGCTTTAGGAAAATATATTTCCTGAGCTTTTCAAACATATTTTCTTTCTTTTCCCTTTCTTTTTTCAATGCCAATACACTTTTTGTAATTTCAAGATTATTTTCAATATATCCTATTTTGGAGATTTATACAAAGGCCTTATTTACATATTTACATAAATACATTTTATACATAATACCTATTAAATGTAGATCCCAATGATATTGTTATTCTGATCATCCCAATCAACAAAGAAAATTTTTAAGATGTCATATTTTAAAACTTATTACCAAAATAATTCAAAAATAATATGTGTCTTTTTAGTTGCACCGTAAGTTTTCCACCCTTGTAGAAACTGCAAATTCTTATCAATGACATCTTAACTATAATACTGACGATATTGTGAGACCAAGAAAGGTCACCTTTCGGTCATATTTTCGACTTCTGCAGGCCTGGAAGCATCTGCCTGCATTTGTACTTAGTAATTAGCTGTAAAAAGCCGATGTTTTTCATTTTTTGCCAGAATTCCCGGTAAAGCCTTCAATTTCCACATTTTTTTCGGCTGCTGGTTAAAGTTCATGCATTAAAGGATACGATCCCAGCGAAAGTATGTCATTTTTTAGGATGTACGCCTTGCAAAATAAACTTAAAGGCGAGTGCGCAGAAATAGGAGCGCGTAGCTTTAGGAGGTCTGACGATACTGTTGTTACGACATCCTTAACCATCTCACCTTTCTTCTGGGCTGCCGCTGCCACGTCTCGGCTCTTCCTTCTAGACGCTTCCTCCTCCCCTTCGCTGCTGCTGCTGCCCAGGACGATGCACTCCTCCTCACTCTGCTCGGCTGCTGCTGTCGGAGCAGCGGCGGGCGTCGGGGTGAGATCGGTGGCGATGTCGACTGTCGCTGCGACGGATGTCGGCAACCCTTGGCTGCCGCTGTCTAGGGGTGGCTGGGGGCCTAGGATTTCCATCAACTCAGGAGGAATGGCAAATGCTAAAAACAAAAAATTGAACATATTTTCATTTGAAATTGGTATAAAGTACTCTACAGAAACTATTGTTAATAGTATACATGCAATCAAGTCCATGTTAGAACAATCAAATACAAAAGTATTCAACAATGCACAGCACTAATAGCCTTCTTCTAAAACAGTTTCGTCATAAGCCAAGCAACTACACGTAAATTTCTGTGACTGTAAGGGAATATCTAACATCTTGAATCCCTACAACATATCGTCACCGTTTTGCAAAGTGACAAATCTGTGCACACAGCTGTACATGTAAAGCTGAGTTTCGAGAAAGCATTTAAAGTTGCCCGATTTTTCAAAACGTATTTTTCTGTACAAAATTTTAAAATATACAAATGTTGCGATAGCCCAGTAGTTAAATAGCCAAAAACAATTCTCTGTTGTCATAAGATCATGTTTAATTAGGAGACGTTATTTGTCACTTTGTCAAAACAGAAATTCTACGTCACAAAAATGTAGCACATGTTTGTACACAGAGCACGCCTATATAACATGTATACATGTTGGAAAGCAGATTTGTCACCTCATCAAAACGCAAATCGCAGAGGCTACTTAAATCTAATAATAGCGGACAAGTAAAATCAATGGGTAAGTGACGAAAACAGATTCGTCACTTTGTCAAAACGAAAAACTGAGTGTGTCGCACTTTTCTTACTTTGTGTGATCAGCGTACTTAACGAACAATGGAATTTTGTGTCTTGAAATTTGGTAATCATGTAGAGGACATCATAAATTGTTAGAATATTAAAAATCTCGAACTGCTTAAAAGCTTGTTTTTTGACGGATTTAAAACGGTGACGGTATTTGCAACTTGGACATGACAAATTTCCGACATGTTTTCAACACGAGCGGGCCACTGCAAGTGATAGTCCAGGAATACAAACAAGTGCTCCTAATAACTTTTCTGACTGGCAATATGAGGACATATTGATGCCGAGTGATTTCATACCTCCGTTCAGAGCGGCGGCATTTTTCTGTTCCTCCAACCGCTTGCGTCTTTCTTCTTCCTCTTGCTGGGCTGTCAAGGTGTCTGCGGTCAACTCCCCGTGGGTCAGAAACTTCCTGCAAATACATGAATGCAATGCAATTACCTCCGGCAGCCACATTCATGAAACTTTCAGCAAGTTCTACACTTACACTGCGTCTTAAAGGGAATATACATCATTTGCTTTTGCTGAAATTTTCAGAAATGGATGGAATTGGGGGGTTGGAAATATATAGCAAATATAGTTACACTGACTTTTTTGAGGTTTTGGGTTCGAAAATGCTATAAAAACCAAGAAAAACAATCATTTTCCTGTAGTCTGGTTCCCTGACTCCATATAAGAAGAAACAGAGCAGTTTACATACATTGGGGAATTGTAAGGTCAGGGAACCAGTCTAGGTGGCTCGTATCCATTCATAGGTGTGTAATCGATTGCAAACAAGTGCGATGGTCAATTGGGGCCAGTATTTGAAAAAAAGCCAGTTTTTTCCAACGCTGGTCGGCCGACCAGCGTTGGAAATTGATACAAACATACCACTTTTCTTGAAAATGACAATATACCAGGTGACATGATTTTACAGGATGCTTTACACTGTCATTCACTAACAGTCCAGCAAGGTATTTCAAAATGATTTGGTTGCTTTATATAGTTTTTATAAGAACAATAAACCCTAGCCTAAGCTGTGAACATCCTCATCCGAAGAGGTTTAAAATGAAATATCTAAAACACTGCCACAGCTGTGAAATATCTAAAACACTGCCACAGCATTGCCAAGTTTTGTGAATGACAATCGTAGCTGTGTGCAACATGTTCTTTGTAACACGAATCCTACACATATCATAAGTTACGCATTGAATCATGAAAATGGCAGGGGAAGCCGAAGCAGGCAAAAAATCTCAACACCCCACAGCCGACTTACTTAATGTTCCTCCTCCTTTGTGGCGGTTTGTTTTTCTTCTTCTTTTTCACTTCCACGCCTTCCGCCTCGTCTCCGCCATTGCTCTCTTCCTCGTCTTCATTCTGCCCTTTCTTCCTTCGTTTCTTCTTCGGCCCTGCCAGGGCTTTACTCTTGGCCCTGGGCGCACTTTTCCGTTTCCCCTTCGGTTGCGAGCCGCTTGGCTAAAGAGGAAGAAAATTGCAATTTGGTTATACCTTGTGAAATCAGAGATTGCTGAGTTTTGTTACAGGCCACTGAATTTGAAAAAATGCAGTGCAATATTAGAACTGTTTTAACATTCCTCTAGTTCTAACATCTTTTTAAAGGGTTCATGAGATGATTTTTTTTTCTAGGGAACACATTTTGTGCAACTTGCTACTCCTCTTAAATGTAAGAAAACTATTTGACATCCCTATTGGCTTATTTATTGGAAAGTGCACTTCTTTAACCCTTACGTACCTGAATCCATCAAAATCCACACCCCTGTTTCGAGGAATTTTCGGCGTATTCAGGATACCTCCATATTGAAAAAGTTTGGGGATTTTTATGGATTCAGGACATGAAGCCTAGTAGTACTGCAGGATTTTGATGGATTCAGGATACCTCCATATTGAGCAGTTGGGGGACTCTGATGGATTCAGGATCTCAACAGATTTACTCCCGGCTAACTGGTTGATTTTGATGGACTCACTGGCCACCAAATTGGTTTTTTTGCATGGCGAAATTGATGGATTTTGGCAGATTCAGGATACTTTCTAGTAAATATACCCAAGTGGTTAGGGTTTAACATTTAAAATTGTCCATGCTTTTTCAGACAACTGAGGGCGCTGTTGTTGTGATGTCATTTCAGGGAGACACTGTTCAGATTAGGGGTTTTCTGTATAAATTGTGAGCCCAAACATTTGCTCATTGAAAATTGACTTACTGCCATGTCCTGACACAAAAACAAATCACCCAAGAAATTTCATGATGGCAAAATATCGAAAGTTCTGGCAACGTTTCGTGCTGAAATAGCTGTAACATTTAGGTTTCTGCCTGAAATTACATCTCACTTTTTCTCATGAATATGGAAATTTCCATTAGCCAAAAATTCCAAAAAAGGCACCAAAATACCCTTGAAAATGGCAAAACAATAATTGAAACTAAGGTTAAAGGGAACACAAATGTGCATTTTCAAGCTGTACCCACCAGCAACTTGCTGTTGGAACTTGACTTAAAGGGAAAATACAACATTTGCAAACATCAAAAAATAAAACTACCAAATCATTTTGAAATACCTTGCTGGACTGTGAATGACAGTGTAAAGCATCCTGTAAAATCATGGCACCTGGTATACTGTCATTTTCAAGAAAAGTGGTATTTTTGTATCAATTTCCAACGCTGGTCGGCCGACCAGCGTTGGAAAAAACTGGCTTTTTTTCAAATACTGGCCCCAATTGACCATCGCACTTGTTTGCAATCGATAACACACCTATGAACGGGTACAAGCCAGCTAGACTGGTTCCCTGACCTTACAATTCCCCAATGTATGTAAACTGCTCTGTTTCTTCTTATATGGAGTCAGGGAACCAGACCACAGGAAAATGATTGTTTTTCTTGGTTTTTATAGCATTTTCAAACCCAAAACCTCAAAAAAGTCAGTGTACATGTAACTATATTTGCTATATATTTCCAACCTCCCAATTCCATCCATTTCTAAAAATTACAGCAAAAGCAAATGATGTATATTCCCTTTAAAGGAAATATACAACAATTGCAAACATCACAACATGAAGTGATCAAATGATCACGAAATACCTTACTGGATGACAGTCTAAAGCATCCTGTAAAATCATGGCTCCTGGTGTGCTGTCATTTTCAAGAAAAATGGTATTTTTCCAACGCTGGTCAGCCAACCAGCGTTGGAGAAACCGGGCTTTTTTTTGCAAACACTGCTCCTTATTGTTCATTTAGTTATTCCACATTTTCCTTGCAATTGATTACACACATGTGAAGAGGTACAAGCCTGCAAGACTGATTCTCGGACCTTACACTTCACCAAAGTCTATAACTTGCTCTGTTTCATCTTAAGTGGGGTCAGGGAACCAGACTACAAGAATATGATTGGTTTTCTTGGTTTTTCCAACATCTACAAGCCCAAAACATGAAACAAGTCATTTTAACAATATTTTCTATAGAACATACTAACCCTCCAAATCCATTTATTTCTGAAAATTGCAGCAAAAGCAAATATTGTATATTCCCTTTGAACAACAGTCAAAGTGCGTACCAGAAATGGGATCCGACTGTTGGTGACCAGGGCCCAATTTCATAGCGCTTCTTAACCAGTTAACAGCCGACTTTGTGCTTACCGAGCCTCCATCTATTTCATAGGAACCGTTAAGCAGTAAGCACAGCAAAAGCACGCTCAACCCCAGAAGAAAACTTTGCTTAAATCAGGGACGTAACAATAGAAATCTCCATGCACGCGCAACCGTTAGCCTGAAATAGTGCTTAAGCAGCAGCATGATTTTCTGCTATAGTAAGCACAACTGTTCTGGTTACTGTTAAGCAGCGCTATGAAATTGGGCCCAGCCTTTGTATAAAACCATGGAAGGGAAGATGATATTTTTTCCCCCTGTGACTTTTCAGACAGCAGGAGGGGTAAAGGTGACGTACACACCTTCATGTCGTCCGGAACACTCAGGAAAGACAGGGTCAGGTTGGCGTCTGCCTCAGCACTGGGGTCCACTGGAGTACTGCTGGGATCGGTGGACGGGCCTTGGGTCGTGTCATTTGTGTCATTGTCATCCATGGCATTGTCATCGCCATCGTCATCTTTGTCATCGCTGCCACTGTCCGATGACATGCGGTCGTCATCATCGTCTGGCAAGTCTGACAAATTGTAGGGAGAGATACATGAATATATTTAACCGCTATCGACTTTAACATGTTCAAGAAGAAAAAAGTTGAAATCCAAAAAAAAAAGAAGCTGAAATCAGCTTTAAAGCTGAGATATCACACCCCTGAAAAGAAACGTGTGTTCAGAGCGCTTCTCAAATTCAGACGAAAAGGAAAGACCAATTTTCAGAACGGAATGAACATTTTAGGAAATTGGCCGGGAAAAGCTATATAATGTACATGTGGATGTATAATGTACGATGTACATACCTTCTGGGGTGGAGTTGCTGTCATCCAAGTTGCAGTCAGGCAGACTACTTGATGCCGAGGGTGAGGAGAATGAGGCATCACTACCGATGCCTTCTGGTAGGAAATCGTTGATGTTGGAGGACTCGTTGTCATCACTGATGAGCACATCCGAGTCCATCTTGGGGGGGGGGTTGAATATTCCCTTTTTTGGAGTTCGTTCTGGGGACAGACACAAGGAGATATTCAAGACGTAGGCCATAAATCTGGGAGATCAAGGAAGGGATGCTGAGGAGGCAATAGGGTCAGTAAGGCCAAGAACAAATTTATTCCAGTTACATGTACATGTACACACTGTCCATGTATAGTCGTCCCGCCTGCTTCCTTTTTTTCCAATTTTCCAATTTCCAATTTTTTTTATCATTTTCCAGCAAAGTTGTGCTAGGCCTACCGTAGCCCCATAAATGTGGCCTATTTACTGGACTGCCTCCGTAAACATAGGCCACACATCCACATGTACAAAAATCGTGTCGACTTTGCCAAATTTTGATTTTCACATTTAGGCTTAGTTTGTAGGATTTTTTTGCTTTAGAAGCATACTCACCCTCTTTATAGGCTAATCAGAAAGTGCTGCCTTTTTCAGATGTCTAATTTTTGTGAAATTTCATGTTGAAATTTTGATACGCAAACGTGTAAAAATGAATCTGGAAATTTCACGAAAAATATACATCTGAAAAAGGCAGCACTTTCTGATTAGCCTATAAAGAGGGTGAGTATGCTTCTAAAGCAAAAAAACCCTACAAACTAAGCCTAAATGTGAAAATCAAAATTTGGCAAAGTCGACACGATTTTTGTACATGTGGATGTGTGGCCTATGTTTACAGAGGCAGTCCAGTAAATAGGCCACATTTATGGGGCTAGGCCTACCGGTACGTACATGCATGCAAGTTCAAAAGTAGGAAGGGTTATGGCTGTTTTGGAAACAAAAAGTATCGGCAAAAGAGTTGACAAAAAGGAAGAATCTGTCTTGGGAAATCCGCCATCTTGAAAGCAAAAAGGCCGATTCCTCCATTTTGTTTTGCAAAAGTCCTGTATGAGAAACTTTTTTTTTTACTTGGCCTAAAATAAGTTTGGTAAGTACATTGTACGGCATTAGAATTTTAAAATAAGTAAAAGAAACTACATTGGTCTAAGTACAACTGTATACGTTTCAAGCAAGTTGAGCTGGGGCAGAGAAACGGCTTTTATATCATTTTTTATTGTAAACCAAGATTAATATATAATACAATGTACATGTTATAAATGCCAGATTGTTCAGTCCCAGCTTGGACTTGGAGCATCGAATCACACGCCTAGAAAAATCGCACGCCTAGAAAATTCCAGGTGTGCCTTTTTCAACACGCCTGTGATTTTCAAATCAGGAGTAAAAAAGGTGTCATTACATTGAGAGAAGTCAGCTTTAGGTAGCAAGGTCATTTTTTTTAAATATAAAAAATCTCGATTCTAATTTGATTGAAACATTTTGTTTTACATAAAAAAAAGTCATGAAACAAACTTGGAATTGGATTTTATTTTATTAAATCTGAACATTTAGCAGATCCATGTAGGCCTATCTTAACAGAAAAAAAGGTGTCCTATAACTACACAAACGCCATGTTCTTGAGGTAACTAAATATTTACAGTTGTTTTGTCCATGCCTAGTAGTAGTAGTATTAACAAATACATAACATAGGCTTACAATTACAACTGCAGTCGCAGTGCTATTGACATCACTGAGTAAATTAGCCAAATTGAATTCAATTTCACTTTCAATTCGAAAAAAATAATTTCAACGTAAAATACAGACTTCCCATCTTCCCAACTCACCAGAAACAGAAGCCTGAGATGTGCTGTCTCACGCAGTCACATGAATTTCAGTCATCTCCGACACATTTCTTTTTGATGGGCGGCGATTTACGTAAACGAAAGGTCATAATATTCGGCCACGAATTGAAACACTAACTTTTCCATCTCGTAAACGATGCACGTCCTTTGTGTTGCCTGTTATGCAAGGGGGAAACCCAAGTAGGAATCCCAACAAATTGAGAACCTCGCCCGTTCTGAATTAAACTTTCACAAGTCCTTTTGCAATGTAGTACACGTACTTCCGATAGTTGTTCACGCACACAACTTGAATGACAGGGTGTTAGACTTTAAACCGCCGCCCAAATCATGGAGGGCGTGGCCCCTAAAATGGCCGGCGCACTTTGATTTTTCGCCTCTGCTTTGAATAAAAGTTTAACCTCAAATTTAATACTGAGTGAAATTTCATGAATCTCCAAACCTTCCCGTTCATAAATAAAATCTTGAGTCTACCCGTTACATTACAGAGCAATTTATTTTGTAATGCATTTCTTTTTAAAGGCGCCCAAAAATAAGAAAGTAATTTTGATTAACTTTTTAATTGTTGGGTATGTGGGTGGAGTAATAATGGTTAATCAGAATTTGTCAACTTTAAAGAAATTCCTAAATGCTAACCCTCTGATTTTCTGAGATTTTTTCAAGTGCGCCAGCGCAAGGTTCCGGATCGCGGAAACGACTTGGCCGATTTTGTTTGTGTTTTGTTTCTGGAATTTCGGGCTCGATTTTACTATGACACTCAACAAAAGTTCAACAGTATGTATAGTAAGCATTATGTAGATAAAAGTACCAGTATCAGAATTTGAAGTTTGTCAACAAGTTACAAAGAGGTTTGGCCGCAACAGCATTGTGACGAAAGTCGAGTGGAATGTCCAAGTGCGTCACGCTCGCGCTAGAGTGACTAGCATTAAGTTTACACTTAGGATCCGCATTCGTTACAAGCATTGGAGCGCCAAATTGCGAATACAGTCGAAACAAGAAACAGCGGAATTGCTATGGAGGCCCGTAGAAGACATTGTATTTGACGATGGTTTTCCGATATTAGCCCCAGTGCAGTACAGCCCACGTCGTGGGTATACGCGCTCAGCATAACAAAGACCAGTACGCAAGCCTTAAGTTCAAGGTGGAGAAAACACGTCTGAAATTTCCCTCGTAAAGCAGAATACGACTTCTGCTTCTGCCAATATAACCAATACAACAATTAGCACAGCACAATTTGCACAGCAAAGATATACATTACGGGCACACTCTCGCAAAATGTGGTGCGGCAGCTTTCTATACAAAAACCTCGTTGGCTCGGGTTTTGTGCGTAAATCTGATCAGTCAGCCGATCAGTCGGCCAAACCGCAAGTCCCATCATAATAAGAGTGTGTCTCTAATGGTGTTTGACGTTTTAGGCGAACCGGATTAATGGACCGATCCAGTAAACCCATAGAGTTATATTATAAAAACTAGAGCGCGCATTCACTATACCGCACGCACAATGCAGACGTGCCACCCTGTAGACCTCGCCGCCATTTTGTAAGTGGGCAAAACATACTCGGATGTGCACACTTCAGGATTGACTGCAATGCGTATCTTGTTGTTTTACTGTTGGTTCCACTTATAAATCCCCCTATGCCTTGTTTTACCGTGCTGTTTTGCCTAACATTATGTGTTGTGCGCATGTGCTTTGCCCACTTACAAAATGTCCTTGCCAGCACGGGGTCACGTGATGAGTGCGCTCTCTAGTTTTTTTAATATAACTCTATGAGTAAACCCCGCCCACTGCGCACTGGGCAAATTAACACGTGCTCCTACCAATGCCACACTGCATTTTCCTGCCGCGCGCATCATACGCGCGTGACTTTTGTGCGAGCACGTCGGACATATAAGTCACGGCTGTGATTGGTCAGAACACCATGGGGCGGTGCTTACTGGATCAGTCAATCATAGTCCACCCACACACCGTATACCTTTATTAGAAAAAAAACTCCGTTTATTTCGTTGCATTCCCGATGATCATTATCGTACACCGCCATACATTTCATCGTGAATTTCATGTCGCGAAAAAAAACGATGTTGTAGAAAAAAATTGCGATTATCGACAGTGTCGTGAAATAAATTATTTAGTACGTCTTAGTTGTCCCTAGTTTGGGCCCAGGAGCGGCGAAACCGGGGTGGCACTCCCCCCCCCCCCCCCCCCCCCCTTTAGATTTTCCACGGCCGTTTCAACCCCATAGACCGTGCGTAAATAAACTCTCTACTGTTTGTTTGTTTTTGTTTCGCTACCCCAATAATGAAGCGTGACGTCACGCAGCCAGTCAAGAAAAACATGGCGGCGCGCCGCCAGGAATTCCGTCGCTCATAAAATCAAATAATGACAAGATATCAACCCTCAGTGTCCTAAACTATTATATCCTCCATCAAATATCAATGTACAAATACAATTTCTATAAGTTGCGATTATCAAATAAAAAAATGTAAATAAAATAAGGGTCTGTGTCATGATTTTTTGATGAAAAATTATGACGGAACTATAATGTCCGTCATGTTTCCATCTCGAAGTAAAATTCCTGTTTATTGTTTTTTTTTTAATTTTTATCTCTACAAGAAGTCAATTATTTTGAGAAAAACTAAATGTTTCGTACTTTTAACTTACTTTTGTGTGTGGGCAATGGCTCAAATTCCCAATATAATCGAGTTTTGGGGGAACTAAATATGGGTCGTCTGCTTTTGAGAGCGTACGCAAAGCCCGCGAAATACGAGTTGTCAGATAGCCAGTATATTCGTGCAGGATGTCAGACAACTCGACCGTTTATCAACTCGACTCGGGACAACTCGACCGTTGAGAACTCGATCGTTGAGACAACGGACCGCTGAGACAAGTCGACTTTGACATGGAATCAACTCGAATATATGCGAGATGTTGTACACGTACATGTACTTGTACTTGAATGTGGGTAACGGATCGGAGTGCGTAGTATTTGCGTGTGCTGCGTTGAGGGTATGTCATCTTTATGATGACCGTGCGTGGGGCCGGGGTCGTGGGGCCGGAGCTGCCCGCGACGGCGCGGCTAGGCTCGGTGGCGCGACGTCGCGCGCGGCACAAAGCACACGGACATCGATGATGTCTCAACGGTCGAGTTGTCCCGAGTCTAGTTGGCAAACGGTCGAGTTGTCCAAACCCCCAAATATTTTATCAACACAAGATACAGAAGCAAAATGATGATCGACGCACAGTTCGCACTTGGTTGATCAGGTATTTTATTTATTATATAACTTAGCTACAGTACAATGTTCCGAGCTTTAACTTTTGACTATCACAAAAACGTACTTACAAAATTATGTAGAGTTTGTGGTGCAAGAACAGACATAAACAAAGGCTATAGATTGCCAACCTTGTCTGCAGACAATCGTAAGGAAATACTGGCTGTATTTGACATTAACACTTGGAGCGATAACTGTGATCAACATCCTAAAGCACTTTGTGAAAAGTGTGCAAGAAAGATAAGGCACTACAAGGCACAAACACAGGATTACAAAAGTGACAGTGTTGCATATGAACATATTGACTGGATAAAGCACCAGAGATCTGGAAACTGTACAATTTGTGAGAGATTTCTACTGTCTTCAAGGCCAGGTCGTCCAAAAAAGTGTCAACGAGTCATTGGAAAATCATCCTCTTCTTCTGAAGTTTTGCCTTTTGCCATAACCCCTGAGACCAGCAATATTTTCACCAACATTGTTAATACTACAATTGAGTCAGATCCCCACCTGGAGATACTTGGAAGAGAGGATGAACACTCCTTATTTACCTGTCCACTCTGTCTCTGTTTATTGGCTTCACCATGTGTACAGTCTCCATGTGAACATAACTTTTGTGTCAGCTGTTTAACAAAGTACTTTCAGTTCAAGAACTTGTCTCAGGTACCATGTCCAGTGTGTAAAGCAAGTTTCAATTTCAGAGAAGTATCTCTTAGCTCGCGTATTCTTACAGTGCAGCTGAACAATTTGAATTTGATTTGTTCCAAGTGTAGTAAAATAGGAAAACTCCGTCAACTCACAGCACATGATTGTGTACTTTGTTCTACTCCATCAACAAAGGGAAGAGGCACTTGTTTTTCAAGTACGAATAGGCCTATTGTAGATAATAGTACAAATCAACAAAAGTCATCCATATCAAATGCTGCTAGGATCCTACGACAAGAGGCCCTCAAACACCCAAAGGGACAGCCAATCCCTTATGAAATAGAAAGAGCGACAGACAGATGGACATGGTTGAAATTACAACAGTCAAACAGAGCAGCTACTCTAAACACAGGCGGACGGGTAAGATTAGTAAGATCATAATAAACAAGTGAAAAATAATGGTATCAATATCCCTCTAGCTCAATCCATTAAATAAATAATATTAGAACTGAAACTATTCTAAATGACCATCTTACAATTAAAACCTAAATTGCACTGTTCCTGACAAATCAAGTTTAACCTTTGTATTGTAACATTAAAATGATAAAATACATATCATGTGCCTTAACTCTACACAATAAAAAACGATCTGATTGTTACAAGTTCATTGATTTTGCCGCACATCCCCTCTCTAATATTTACAGTGACATGGGCCCAATTTCTTGGCACTGTTAACTGTTGGCTACAAATCGGTGCTTACGGCAGCAGAAAATTCCAAGTTTAAGCGTATTTTATGGGTTAAAAAGGAAATGTTGCTGATGAGCATGCAGTAAGCAGTGCCATGAAATTGGGCCAAGATACTTGTTTAACTTAATATTTACTTATTTACATACATGTATATACATTATATACAATACAATCAATATAGCTCATTGTACTTTTTTTTACAATTATGGTGTATTTTCTATGTTGAATTTTAGCCAGCACATGTTCATCAAGTCTCATCCCCTGCCCCGCAAAGTACAAAGGAACAATGCTCAGCACCAAAAAAACCTGAAAGTACACCGAGTCCCCCGTCATGTAAACCAACTGTGCCACCAGTGAACCGGTCTCTGGCGATGATGCGGGACTGCAATCTTGCATGGGAGCAATTGAGAAAACTGCGCAGGTATTTTAGTTAAATACATTTTTGAAAATTATTAACGCTTTCGATTAAAACATTTTATGAGATGAATTCAATGTTCATGATAATTTATAACCAAAACAGATATGTAGGTCCCGCCATCGCATCAGAACGATCAATGAGGACACAGCAGAAACGTCTTCTGAAAGACTACCTTGAGGGAGAACTCGTAGAGCTCATGTTCCCAAGTGCCAAGTCTGATGGGTCTCATGGGTTTGAGGGTAGAATGGTGCCATATGTCACTGTGAACAACCTCAGCATGATGGTGCTGGATTATCTGGACGGACTTGAGGAGTAAGTACTTCACCTGTAAATCAAAAAATATGTTATAAATTTCAATTTAAATGGACAAAATGTGGCATTTACAAATATATACATGTTTTTTTATAGGTGCAATTCACTGACCTGGCATAGTGGTGTCATCCCACCAAACGAAATTTGGGTCAAAATTGGAGGTGACAAAGGTGGCTCTTCGTTTAAGATGGCTTATCAAATAGTTAACGTGAACCATCCAAACAGCCTCCAAAACACGGTGGTATTCGCGTGCTTTGAAGGGAGCGACACATCTCAAAATTTGAAGAGAACACTTCCCAAAATCATAAGCCAGATCACCACGCTTTCTAAACAACAATGGAGGTGAGCAAAAATTTAAAAAGGAAAACGTATATGTTACTTAATCTTAAACATAAACAAATTAAAATTACCACGTTTATTGCTCAAAAGCTTGTATATGCATATTATTTGTGAAACTCTTATTCTCTGCTGTTTCTTTCTTCCCTGAACATGATGAACAGAGGACGAACGATTCGCTTGCTCTGCTTCGGTGATTATGAACTCCTGTCCAAGTTGTATGGCACAAATGGACCCAATGGTACTTATGTCTTTTTTGGTTAGGTTTATAATAATGTTGTCCTAGTTATGCATAGCTTTGCAAAGTTACAAGCACTGTGTACTCAGTACTCTATGAGGTTTGCAGAAAAAATCTAGGTGAGGGGCAACATTAGATAATTGATTGGCTTTGTCAATTCTTTCCTAGCACGATACTGCTGTATTTACTGCTTAGCCAGTAAGGATACAATGCAGGTGCCCATAGCTGAGAGGGGTTCTTCCACCAAGAGAACACTCGACCAAATCCAGCATCACTACAACAAATTTGTAGATGATGGAAGCAGACGAAAGAAGGCCAAAGACGTTTCCTTTAGCATTGTCGACACTCCAAAACTGCCAATCGAAATTGACCACGTAAGTAATCTTTTGCATGTGTGGTACATATACATGTATATGTGCTTATGTGTACATGTACATGACTCGTATACAATACATAACGTGTCTCGTACCATGTGTTTTGAAGGTAATCCTGCCAAGTCTCCACATTTCGCTCGGCATCTTCAAGAAGATCTATGACCTCCTGGAGTCCGATTGCCACAGCCTAGACGTCAGGTTGTTCAAGCTACGAGTAGAGGGAGCAGATGAAGATGATGATGATGATGAATTTAACTTCGACCAAGCAGTAGTTGCAGAAGTAAGGAGGCAGCAGGAACTACAACACCAACTTCTACAGAAAAGAGAAAGCCTTGAAGAATTAGAAGAGGAACTGCCCCTTTTTCAACTGCAAAGTCATCCACAGGCACAACAGGCACAACAAATACATGGCGAATACAGGGAGATGATATGTAAAGCTGGGCAGCTACACACTGATATCACCGAATTGGTAAAGAGTCTGATAACATGTACGACTGTTGCAGTGCTTGCATGCTTAGATGACTAACATAGCTCATACTTAAACAAAAAAATTAACATAAAATCTCTCTATTTTCTTCTCCTCTTAAGGAATCTCGTGCTGCAGCTGTCGACCTTCCCTTTGGTACGGGACCAGTAGCCTGTGGTCTTGACACAGTACTGCAAAAGCACAACGTTTGCAGACAAGCGTACCATGGTAAATCATTCGTGGGGAATCACGTGCATAAGTGTTGCCAGGTAAATCACATGAACATGTTGCCAGCTGTAGATATATACATTGTAGTACAATGTCACTATATTTTGTTAATTACTAATTCAAATCTTTTGACTCAATGGTTTGGTTTTCCCCCCCAACAGGTGAAAGTCATAACTGACTTGACGTCAGTTCCACGATCAGTGATTGCTAATGCCAAATCAGAAGACATTTCCATAGCTGCTTTGAATAGGTTAGAGCGAGAGGCAGCAGTAATCAGCAAGAAATTTGAAGAGGTGTTGCTGCAATTTGCCGACGTTCATCATGGCATCAACCATTCCAATCCCCTGACAGATGATGGAATCCAGCAAATCGGTACTGTACACATTCCCATATTATGAAACATTGTTTTCCAATATGTTTAATGAATTGGATTGATTAATTTACAATAAATTTACTTACATCTGCAGACATCAGCATCAAAAACTTCATGCGGTGTTTCAGGGCCCACTTCCCCAAGGCAAACATCAGTCCCAAAATGCATCTTTTGGAAGACCATGCCGTAGATCAGCTCCGAATGTTCAAGGTTGGGTTTGGTCTTTTAAATGAGCAGGGAGGTGAATTGGTGCATACAGAGTTCAACCGGTCAGGGAGGGTAGTTCAAGGGATGCAGGATCCACTGCAGAAACTTCTCAGCGTCATGAGACGTCACCATACAACCACCACTCCAGAAATTCGAGCAGCTTGTGTCAAGAAGACCTGCAAAGAAGAGTGATTTTTATATGTATCATTTGATTACTAGGCAACGGTTTGTAAATAATTAAACGGAAACTATAGGCTTAGGAAAAATATGTACACAAGATTTTTTTCAGGTACAGAAAATCAGGGTCAACAGCTACAAAAATGTAGACCTTGAAATGTGTTTAAGGCGTGTGTTGAAATCTCATTTGTGGCATTGAAAAACAAAAAATTCCCATGCATGTAAGGTTCTAATGTTACTCTATCAACTCATGGAGGAGTAAGAAGACAGGGCCCAATTTCATGGCGCTGCTTACCGCAAGCAAAAAATGGGCGCTTACGGTAGCAAAAAATTCTGTGTTTACGGCAAATCCTATTTCACAGGTAAACAAGGAATTTTGGCTTACATGTATGCACATGCACACATCCCATAACTAAGGATTCTTTGTTACGGGGTTAGCGCATAATTTTTCCGCTAGCACGGTTAGCACAGAATGGTGATGGTCAGCGCGGAATTCTGTGGTTGGCAGCGCCATGAAATTGGGCCCTGTTCGTGTAAATATTAGATCATGTTTGTGTACATGTATATTATTAAAATGGCCTTTGGAATGAGAAGGTTAGAAAGTTTTTAATGAGTATATATATTTATTTAATACTTAAGTTTGTACCCACAATTTTACATAACAGATTGTCTTCAAATTAATTCAAGAAATTTAACTAATGACAGTCAACAAGCTATGTATGGTACTAGGCCTACTCCTGGTAGCTTAGCTAGCTATGCGTGTAAACATACATTTTTCAGGTACAAAATATCAGGGTCAACAGCTACAAAAATGTAGACCTTGAAATGTGTTTAAGGTGTGTGTTAAAATCTCATTTGTGGCATTGAAAACAAAATAAAATGCACATGCATGTAATTGTAAGGTTCTAATGTTACTCTATCAGTATCAACTCATGCCATGGAGTAGCTCTACTGAGTGGAGCGTTGAATTACGGGTACTCCTCCATACAAACGAGGGTACCCGTAATTCAACGCTCCACTCAGTAGAGCTAGCCATGGAGGAGTAAGAAGGCAGGGCCAATTTCATGGCTCTGCTTACCGCAAGCGAAAATGGGCGCTTAAAAAAAAGTAGCAAAAAATTCTGTGCTTACGTTAAATCGTATTTCACGGGTTAGCGAGGAATTTTGGCTTATGCGCATGCGTACATCTCGTAACTAAGGATTCTGTGCTTACGGGGTTAGCGCATAATTTTTCCACTAGCACGGTTAGCACAGAATGGTGATCGTAAGCGCAGGATTCTGCTGTAAGCAGCGCCATGAAATCGGGCCCTGTTCATGTAAATATTAGATCATGTTTGTGTACTGTACATGTAGCGTATCGATATATTATTAAAAAGGCCTATTACCTTTGAAATGAGAAGTTTGGAAAGTTTTTAATGAGTAGGGCCTGTCGGCCCTATGTCTTTATTTAATACTTATGTTGTACCCACAATTGTACAAGTCATTACAGAATGTCTTTAAATTAATTCAAGAAATGAAACCAAGGAAAACAGTCGACAGCCTATGTAGTACTAGCTAGGCCTACTACTAGTACTAGTATCACCCTATGCGTGTAAAACATGCATGTAATTTAAACATTGTACATGTATACATACATGTACATGTACTTTCGCACGCACGCATGGGTGCGTATGCCTGCGACGTATACGTACATGTACATGTACATGTACATCAACGTACACACATTTGTACGTGTACATGTACAATGTACACAATGCACGGTACACGTGCAGCGCACAAGTGGTTAGGAACAATCGAGTTTTTTTAACCGAAATTTTCTCAAAAACTGTTCATTGCCCACACTTACTTTCTCTTGTAAGTCACGATGATGTCTTGGTTTACCACTGCACTCGCTCTGGGGATTTGTGAAAAATCCAGAAACCTGTTTAAAACTCGTATTTCTGGGACAGATTTCTGTCCGGAGTTATTCGTTTCTGGAAACCGCCACATTGAGGAATTTGTACCCATGTGACCACGCTTCGTTTATGTAAACTAGATTGACCCCAAAAATTCATTAAACATGAGTATATTTAAATGTTGCATATTCAATTAGGTTCTCTCAACCAATCAGGCAGCCAGAAATCGCGTAGGTCAAAATTTGCATCCCGACGAAAAAAGTACCGACGCGGTAACAGCAAAGAGCCGTCGGCTCCATAACTGCCGTTTTCTCAGTTGGAGCGTTTCAACCAACAGAGGGCGCACTTTTTCTGTAAGCGCTGCGTTTGAAACGGCCGTGTTTCCCAAGTGCCCCTCCTGCGGACATAATGTGCCCCCCTTGAGCATAAAATGTGCCGGCCCCCTCGAGATATATAAAAACAAAACTGGCTCTAAAGTCTCGGATAATTTGTTTTCCCAAAATGGTATAGCCTGAGAGTTCTGATATAAGCGGGGAATATGAAAACCCGAGCCCTAAAACCTCTACAATGGGCCTTGAAAATGGGCATATTATAAAATTTCAACCGGAAATACGTCAAGCACCAAGCATTGGAATTTTCAAGTCAGAATTTCTGTATCAGGGGGCCCACTTTGTTGGGGAATGGATAGGTCGATACACAATTTGGTTGAGGACTGTGTTTACCGTGACTGTTTATTCCACAACAATATTGATTGAACTGGTTACAGTGAACTGAGACAAAGAGAACTGGGTGAACTGAAAAAAGACTAGAATAGAAATGGAACAGAATTGGAATTGAAACAGAATGAAACAGAATGAGATACTGCTGGTGGAGCAGCACTTATATACTGGTGGAAACAGGAAGTTTTGAGAATAATAAGAAATACTTAAGAATGGGGAAACTTAGTCATATCGTGGTTTCCTTGAGTCTCAGAAAATGACGAGGAATGAGTAATATACTTTCTTAAAACAATGATCTTGAAAGTAACTTGGTTTAGTGACCAAAGACTTGTGTGTGGGCAGTGAAGGTCATTTGCTCTGTATAAAAGTATAGGGACTACACATTGCATAGGTACTGTGTGGGTGTATGTGTATACAAGGAGAACAATGAGTAATGCATTCAAGAGAATTAATCATTAAAAAGTTCAAAAGGAACATTGATAATTAAAGTGTGATAATTAACTAAAACTTAAGACGAATTGATAATTGAGCATTGATAATCTGAAAACGCTACAACTTCATGTAAATATCTGCTCGGTCACCATGGCGTCTGCATATTACATCCCTACTGATGAGATTATGCATGTAGTATATTCCACCAGATACAGAACCAGAATAAAATGGCCGGTTTCGAAGAGCGCTCCAATTTTTGTAAACTTGGTACCAGCCCAGCCCCCCCCCCTCCCCCCATTTGATTTTACGGAGGCCAAGTGTCCGGTGAAAAAAAACATGTCGACATCAAGTTCAGCACGGATGTGCCCCCCCCCCCAAAAAAAAGCTGGATATGCTGCTACACCAACAGAAGATGCCTTTTATTGAGCAAGTGCCCCGGTGACGCGACTGTAACCGGTCAGTCCAAAAATTCAACCCCCAAAAGTGGGTGCAGTACATTTTGTTTTCGTCCTTCACAGATTTATTTAAACAGGCAATTGTTTCAACTCAAGTTGATCAGTATGAAACTGTGCCACCCCTCTAAGTAAGTCTCGTGACCAAAATGTAATCGCCCATCGGGATTACGTCATTAGCATTCTATCCGTCATTATTTCTAACCCAGGCTTGTGCTGAATGCACATTATGCAAATAACGTGTTTAGAAGATTTCCACTCGCAGACTCCAGCTCTATTGTTACATTCATGCCTCGCTGATCACCATGGTACAGCGACCTAGCGTGCACGGGCTTTATCTTAAAGGGAATATACAACATTTGCAAACATCGAAAAATAAAACTACCAAGTTTTTGCGAAATACCTTAATAGGATGTTGGTAAATGACAGTCTAAAGCATCCTGTAAAATTATGGCACCTGGTATACTGTCATTTTCAAGAAAAGTGGTATTTTTGTATCAGTTTCCAACGCTGATCGGCCGATCAGCGTTGGAAACAACTGGCTTTTTTTCAAATACTGGCCCCAATTGACCATTGTACTTGTTTGCAATCGATTACAAACCTATGAACGGGTACGAGCCAGCTAGACTGGTTCCCTGACCTTACAATTCCCCAATGTATGTAAACTGCTCTGTTTCTTCTTATATGGAGTCAGGGAACCAGACTACAGGAAAATGATCGTTTTTCTTGGTTTTTATAGCATTTTCGAACCCAAAACCTCCAAAAAGTCAGTGTAACTATATTTGCTTTATATTTCCAACCCCCCAATTCCATCCATTTCTGAAAATTACAGCAAAAGCAAATGATGTATATTCCCTTTAAGCTGTTGTTTCGGTGCTGGGCTAGGCCTTCATTACTGTCGTTGTGCTCCTCACGCTCACTGCATGCAACTCATTACACTGCTCAAAATTATCATTTTGGCTCTGTACAAAATTGTTTATTCTAATTGAACGTGCACATTGTGTCTAATTTATATTGTATTAACGAAGACATCGTTACCATTTACTCCGATCAACACCAAGAGGGGCAATGTCTTCAAGAGTAGAAAGAGGTACGTTACATGTCTCTGATTAATGTACATGTGTATAAGGTTCTCCTACAAAATCTAGGGCCACTTTAAGTAAGTGTAAGGCCTTTATTTGTGTATAAAGTATAACTTGGGGATAAGCAATAATAAGCGATTAGGGATTCGTCTCACGCGTGCAGTGACATTGTGTTCGCACGAATGATAATTTTTTTTTGTAGGATTTGGTACGTGCAGTGACATTGTGTTCGCACGTTTAATTTGCATAGAAATTCGACTAGCAGACGCGTGCAGTGACATTGCGTTCGCACGTTTGTAAATAAAATGGGGCGTGGCTATAGGCTCCGTTAATCCGAAGCAGTTTAGATATAAAGTTTGAGACTGCAAACAAGAAGCCCCTGGCCGGCCAGGAATTGTTTCCTGGCTGAGCGGATAAATTACTTCATTTCAAGGCA